AACAAAAAAACTCCTGTCTTAATTCCCCTCTTCACTTTTCCAAATACTTACCTGCTCCCATTTTTCAAACATTTTTTCATAGATGTAGATGATTCTGAAGTTTCAAGCATAGTGCACGCTTTGAAAAACTCTACCCCTTTGGCACACGAAGTCTCTTCAAATTTTTTGATTAAACAAACATTGCAAATATACTAAAACCATTAACTTATTGTAATAATCTTTTTATTCACAAAGGTATATTTCCTTCTTGACTCAAAATTTCTAAAGTACTTCATCTGCACAAATCTGGTATAACCAATGTTGTCAATAATTGTATACCCATTTCAAAAATTTTTACTTTTTCAAAAATTTTGGAAAAAAGTATTCATTCTTGCTTAACAAACTTTTTAAATATTCATTCAAGAATTTCAAATTGTCAATATGGCTACAAGTAAAATAGTTCTACCGAATTAGCTATTTTAGACTCTAACCAATATGTACTGGAAATCTGGAATAAAATCTCATGCAATCGGTTTATTCATTGACAATACAAAAGCTTTTGATGGTGTTAGGCATGATATTCTTCTTAAAAAGCTTTATCACAATAATGTACGTGCATCGTGAGTCTTTTCGATAACTTGGTCGTCGTCATACCAATATACTATAATTCTAAATATATTGATTAGACGACGACCAATTTATCGAGGAGACTCACGATGCACGTCAAAATTGGCGCTATAAAGAATCACATGAAAAAGAAACACAAAATTAAAATTTCTTGACAAATTTTGGACCACAATGTTGAAATAGAACAAAGACATCCGATAATAAATATTCAACAACGGGCAATTGGAATTTTTCCTACCAATAAATTTAGAAACAGAGGAATCATCGATAATGAAAACACGTAAAAGTGTTATATTTAACAAATTCGAAGATTGTAAAACTGAGTATTCACTTTAAACAAACAAGGAATCAACAAAGTAGAGTAGAGGCACATTGTATAAATTTGAGCCTTTGAAGGTATAGGAATGCCGAAAAAAGCTTTTATGTTCTATCATGCATAAAATAAACAAAAATTTTGGTTTTGAACTAAAGAAACTTGAAAATGATTTATGATCAACCACATTTCTTTTGAAATCACAAATTTTAGCTAATCAATCTAATTTTAAACGTCACAATTTTTCGACAAATAACATGAGACTAAATTCTTTTTTTGCCAATTATGATTGGAGTTACATTAGGTATTCACAATGTTGATGTTGGTTTTGATTGCTTCCACGAAACAATTAATGATGCTTTTAATTTTTTCTGTTCCACTGTTCCTCATAATTCTCGTTCTAAGTTTAAACATCCATGGATGACTCATGATTTGTTACGTTTGTCTAAAGAAAAAAATAAGATGTGTAAAAAATTTATTAAAAACAGTACCTTAGAAAACAAAAATATATATTTAAATTACAAAAAAGCATTTTCTAAGTTAGTATTTTCTAAAAAACAAAATTATTATCATAAAGAGTTTTATTTAAACAAATCAAATACAAAAAACCTGGCAATTAATTAGCTCAACATTGAATCCAAATAATAGGAAATTTAAATTAATTATTAAAAATGAACAATCTAATTAATTGATTACAGACGAGAACGTAATCTGCGAAACATTTAATGGTTTCTTCGCTGATACAGTAAAAGTTTTCTCCGTGAATAATTCATCTAATAATAATTCATTCGCAAAATATCTGAGTGATTCACAGACGCACAGACGGATTCATTTTTTTTGACAGAAACCAATGAAAGTGAAATTTACAGTATTATTAAAAATTTTAAAAATTCCAAAAGTTCAGGTAAAGATAATATTTCCAATTTCATTCTAAAAAAATTAGGCCACACACTTTTGAAACCATGAAAATATTTAATTAACTTGCCGTTGATTACTGGTAAATTTCCATCTTGTTATAAGATGTGCAAAAAAATTCCTCTGTTTAAATCTGGTTGTAAGTAGTAACCATCATCCAATTATCATAGTTTGGTGTTCAGTGTGTCAAAAGTTATGGAAAAAATTATACATTCTCGATTGATAAATTTTTTGAAAAAATCACACTTTGATGTGTACGGGTACAAGAAGGGTTCTTCAACTGAAGTGGCCGTTTTTGACATGATCAGTAGAATTGTTGGCAATATGGAACTGGAAATTCATACCGTAGGGGTTTTTATTGACTTCAAAAAAGCTTTTCACTGTTTAAATCATACGATTCTAATTCAAAAGTTGAGTCATTATGGGATCAGGGAAACATTGTTAGCCTGGTTCAAAAGCTATTTATCTGAGAGAAGCCATTATGAGTCTATAGAGGGGTCAATATCTGACATGTTACCAATACACACAGGCGTTCCTCGAGGATCGATCTTGGGGCCGCTTCTTTTAAATTTATTTTTGAATGATATTGTTAAATCTTCAACAATTGCCCAATTTTTCTTGTATGCAGATGATACATTATTGTTTGAAAGCCGCTGTGTGGAAGGGTTTACTGAAGTGATAAATCGAGAACTTGCATTTATTTTTGAATGGTGTCTCGCCAATAAAATGACTATTAATTAAAAAAAACATTTTATCTAGTTTTTGGTCCTAAAATATCAACTAATTTATTGCATTTTAAAATATTAATAAATGATAACTTATTGAAAGAACAGAAACATACAAATTTTTAGGTGTGATTATCAAATCTGACCTTTCATGGATAAATCATATTAGCAATACTTCTCAAAAAATTTCTAAAATAATTGGTATAATCAGAAAATTAAAATCTATTTACCCGTTTTATATTATTATAATGTTATATTATTCATTAATTTATCCATATTTAATATATTGTTTGCTTATCTGGGGCAATAGTAGTCCTATTTGTTTTTTAGCATTATTATTAAAATTTCAAAGGTATTTTTTAAGAATTTTGTTTAACGTAAGAAAATTGGACCCCATCAGCCATCTCTTTAATTTAAGCAAAATACTTCCAATAAGCAGCTTGTATAAATTCTATTTGATGCTAATTTTTTTATAAATTATATAAAATTAATTTGTCGTCGTATGCAACGGAAGTTATTACTCGATTTAAGTTTAAAAATAATCTGCATGTTAGACATGCAAATGAGTTTTATTTGCCGGTGAGAAGAACAAAGATATATAGCAATAGCACCTTGATATGTGGATTAAAAACCTGGAACAAGCAAGCGACCAATATACAACAATCGCGATCCAACTGGAAGTTCAAGTAAGTCCGACATCCATAAACTGATAGAAACAGATGCAATTTAATCAATCTTTTTGCTATTGATTTCTTTCTTTTTTATTTTACAAAACAATATTGTGTTTTAATTTGGACATTATGAACAAATTTTGTTTCGTTAATTAGTTAAATTGACAATTGATCAACATAATTTCTGTTAGTTAAGTTGCCGCACAAGCTCTTTGGGCTTCTGGTTTTACTTTAAATAATAAATAAATAAATAAATATATATATATATATATAATATATATTTACAATATTCTATAAATTCTACCGAATGTTTGGCATTAACATGTTTGTAGTTCTTTTTTTCGATTTTTCTCACTAAAGTTCTTTGGTGAACGTATATATAATATAAATTATATATATATGCAATTATTGATGAAAATCACAGCCTGTTCGGCGTTAGTTAATTTCCTATTTGACTTTTCGATTTTTCTAACGGTTGATCGTAAATCATTCTCAAGTTTCTTGATTTCAAAACCAAAATTTTTGTTTATTTTAAGCATGAAAGAACCAAAAAGCTTTTTTGGTATCGAGTTGATACGTTGTGTACAGGGGCGTCATTTCAGATTTTGGTTGGGGGGGCGAACTTATGTGGTCTATGACTTAGCATGTAACATATATATATATATATATATATATATATATATATATATATATATATATTATTAATAAAGATCACTAAAGATCTTACAGTACTCAATCTATATGATAGTTTCTCGATTCCTCGAATAATTCTCCAATCTACCAAGCTTAACTTGTTAATGCTATTAACAAAATTCCTATTTACAGAAGATGTCATTATCTACATGTATGCATATAGTACTATTTCGACTACCTAGTCTCGTCAGTGCAGCATTGTAATAAATTTTACATTTTTAAAGTTTTTAAAATTTCAAAATTTTTAAAGTTTTAAAATTACTAAATTATATATCCTATATATATATATCCTTTTTACAAAAAAATTAAAATTAACACTTTTATAATTTTAATATTTTATAATTTTTCTTGGGGGGGCAATTGTCCCCTTGTTTGTTCAAAGTGAATGCTTAACGCAAAAGTCATAGATTTAGTGAACATGTTAATATCTGCAAATTCATTTTGTCGAAAATAAATTTCCAACATTTGTTTTTGCAAACAATAAAACTGAAACCGTAACTTCATCATTGCTGCTTCACATAAAAAAACGTTAGAATGACAATCTGCACCTTGGCGGATATACGACATCCTCAAAAGTTGTCGTTGGTTCACCTTCACGTACACCGAGTTATGCGAAGAAATCAGCAAATAAATTAAGAAGACGTAAAAACGAAAACGTAAAAGTTTTCATCAAATCAGCAATATGAAAAAATGTGGTGCGTCTGACAGTGCCGACCGCTTCTAAACATATATATATATATATATATATATCTGCTTTATATTCGAAATGTTGAAAAAACAAGTAGTGGTCCGGACTATTCCATCTGCTTCCTTCAATCTTCAGAAGAAACGAAAGAATGGAGACAATGGTAAATTAGTGCAATAAATTAGTCGTTCTAACGTCATAAAGTTATGTATGAAATGACGAAAACTTTATATGATTTTGTCGACTTTACCAATTACTAATCTGATAAATTTATTCGTTATGATAATTTTTTTATGTTTCTTAATTCTATAGATAAACAAAAACTTTGCTGAAAAAGTTACCACGTAAATTGTTAAAGTTTTCTTTAAATCTCAATTTATTAAATTTTGCAGGAGGTAAAGAATAAAACGTACTTTCCCGTGATGGTGTTCATTCACGGAGGATCGTACTTGGTGGGCAGTGGTAACACTTTTCAGGGCGATACTTTGGCGCAGCATGGAGTGGTCGTCGTCACCATCAATTACAGGCTTGGCGTTTTAGGTTGCTCAGAGTTTTTATAATTTATTGATAATTGAAATGTAAAATTCAATTGTTTCATGTTAAAATTATAAAATTAAGCTTGAACAATTACAACTATATGAATATGCAAAAACATAAGGGTTTCTTTTTAAAAATTGATGTCATCCAAGTTTACCAACTTTTTTGATATTATTGACACCGTTTGCACTTTTAATAGGTTTCTTGTCGGCGAAAAATTCGATATTGAAAGGTAACTATGGACTGCACGACCAAATAGAAGCTTTGAAGTGGATTCAAGAAAATATCAGAAGTTTTGGTGGCGATCCTAATCAAGTGACCATTTTTGGCAACAGTGCAGGTGGCTCCAGTGTCGGCATTTTGTCATACTCGCCTGCCGCAAAAGGTATCAACTGAATATTTTTTCTAGCAGCTTTAGTATTTTTTCTAGCAACTTCAGAATTCTTCACAATTACCGTTTATAACGAATACTTATCACATAATTAAACACTCATCCAATTAGATGAACATACACACACGCGCTTACATCACAATGAGATAGGTCTATTTAAACAAGCGATAATGCAAAGCGGTTCAGCTTCTGCATTTTGGGCTCAACACACTAACGACTCGATCGATTACGAGCATTACGTTAGAAGCATGGCCAATTACGTTGGATGCAGACACGATCCCTTTGAAGATTTGGTCGAGTGCTTACGACAGGTCCCATGCTACAACCTTGACTTCAATAAAATGCAATCGGAGAAAGCGGTTAGATCTCTACAAATTTTATTGGACTGTTGTATTTAAATCTGTTAATTGATGCATATTGTATTTAGCGGCTGTTTTTATATTTGTAAAATGTAATAATTTAATTTAATGTTAATTAGAAAAATATATAGTTGACAAACATAGTTAATATATAAAAAAATAGTTGACAAACAGATGAAACTTATGATTGATCACGAGTAAACAGCGTATGAAAAGTTAAATAAATTCAGTTTATACAATGACCAGCATTTATTCGAGTCATATGCTTTTTCTGCAAATGCTTCAACATGCACGGATTTCTCGTGAAATGTGCAAACGTATGCACGAGCATCGGTGCAATGTTGACCGACCGACCAACAGATGTTTATGTTGAACAAACAGAGCTAAACACACCACATGTGCTTGCTTGTTTGTCAATTATCTCGATTTCACTTATCAAAATGTTTGCGAGTTTAATTCAAATCATGTTCGACTGAAAATTACTAATTAAAATAGTATTTTACTCCTTCTTTCTTAAATTGGAAACAATGAACTGCCAGGTAATCATATTGAAACAAACGAAACACGATATGGTGCCAATTGTGGACAATGAAATTATAATGGCTGACGTGCATACCTCTTTTCAGAGAGGTTTGTTTCATCCTGAGAGGTACATGGCTGGCGTGGTCTCAAACGAGTGGTCACGACACATCTCCATGTACTTCGAACTTTACGACTTTTTTGCGGAATCGAGTGGTTGGTTTTTCTTGATCAAGTTGAATTTTGTTGTTTGACTTGGTAGTTTCATATATAAGAAATGTTGTGAAATTTAAACTTAAAACTAATGAGTTTTCAAACGTTTTTAAACTTTGCCTGACTTCAAAGTTCGTCTGACGGCCTCCTCCGACAACAAGTTCACATCAGAGCAGTACATCGAAAATTTTAAATACGTCTTATGTAAGTTAATGGGCTATCAGGAAGTTACAGCACAACTTGCCCTATATAGGTACTCCAAATATTTTTCTGAACAGAGCTCCGAAATGACGACAGAGGAATATTTAAACGTTAGTTTTTCATAATTGGAAGAGTTTGCTCATTTAAAAATTTTCAGTTTTTTGATTAATAAGTTTTTCATGCTACAAGGCAAAGAAACGCATTTTCAGCTATTTCTATTACAAAGGATTAAAAATTACTGTTATTTCACTAGCTTTTTTTCAGTTTTGTTAGATTGAAAAACAAATTCAAACTAAGCTAACATGAATTGCAGGACATTTGTCGGTAGTATAAAACTTAAAACAAATCCATATACAGTTTGCTTCAGATTTAGCTTTCGTAATCCCAACAATCAACTACTTACAAATGATAGAAAGTTTCACTAAAGCGACCGCTTATTTTTACGTCTTCAATTACGAACATCAATTTTTCAACGATTACATGGAATGGCAACAAAACCATCACGAAGGTGAACTCTACTACGTCTTCGGATACCCATACAAAAATAAAACCAAGTGCACAGTGAACGATCAAAATGTCAGCCTGCTGACCATGAAAATTTGGAGCAACTTTGCAAAATATGGGTAAATGATGCTATAATTTTAATATTTTAAATTAAATGTTGTGGTTCAAGAGTAAAACTTAAAACGTTTGTAAGTTGCATAAAATAAAATAAGCAATCAAAAATATTTGATTGCAATATTAGATAATACAACCTCCAGTGATTTATTTTATTATTACTGAAAATAAAAAAAATATTTTGTCAGTCAAAACATCACTGAACTATAAATAAGATGATCTTCAAAACAAACCTGCTGAAAATAATGGCTTCAATTATTGACTTCAATATAATCGTTTGACTGAAATAAATAAAGCGCATTATATAAAACTCAACAGACTTCAGATGCCGTCTCGCACTCTTCAAACAACATCTCTCATTTCTCCTCAAGTGAAATTGTTACGTTAAACGCAAAATAGAAAAATATTCAGCTGAGATTATGAAATATTTCAATTAAAAACTTCTATTCAGCCACATAATTTCAAAAAAATCAGTTCAGATGTTTTAATTGAAAGTTTGTGTTAAAAAATAGTACAAAACTCAAAAGCCATCTTGCGCATATGATGCTGTACTTGGACTTATGAGCAAACGTTTTTGTACGTCATGTAGTGAGATTGCGAGGCCTTTGAGCATCAATTTTAGCATAACAAGTAAAATTATTTGTCGTATACGTTTAATTGCAATGAACTAAAAAAGAAGGAATGTGGTGACTTGACACAAGCTTGTTTGATTTATGAACGTAAATATTTTCATGTATACAACACTTACATTAAATTAGTATTATGAAACGATAACTAGTAACAGATGACACGACAACGTACATTGTTCAAAAACCGCACTTTACTTCTGAGATTTAAAAAAACACAAACAAAGGTCTTAGCCTCCACTCTAAATTGTTGGATCCAATAGTTCCTTTCTCCCACTTAGTACATTATAAGTATACTGTCGAAAAGGGGTGAGCGGAAATTGAAATGTGTTCTCAATTCCAACTTATTTTTCGTTGTCATTCCTGATTTCCTCCCGAATTCCCATTTATGAAAACGTTCTCGAAAATTCCCACTTCCCATTTTTTCTTATGTTCATTTTATTTATTTTGAAAAAAATTTTCTAGTTCATTTTTCAAATTAGGCGTGGTTTTGTAATTTATTCTTTAATTTTTAAGAGATCCAGCTGTCAAAATAACTGATGACTGGAATCCCTTCCGATCGGCAACATCGGATTACTTTTTGATCGACCGACCTGAAGTTTCAAAACCGAAGAAAAAATTCCGACCCGAGTACGTCACATTTTGGAACAACATAGTCCCGATGATCGAGAAGAAAATCACGGAGAGTGACCAAGTGGAAAATTTCTGCCATTGTCGCATTTTGTTTATAGGTGGGGTGATAATCTGTATAGTTACAATACTGTTCTCTTTTTTGATCACTGCTGTTGTTAGCAAGACAAAAGTATATCATTCAAACAACAACAACGTTATTTAAATCATTGATATTTTGATTTAGTAAACTTAATTTTATATTTCACACGGAATCCATAGAGATAATTTTTGTAAATAGAAATTTTTAGAGTAATTTTTTAAAAGTTGAATTAAATGCAAAATAATTGATAGATTTTGTTGAAACAAATTGCTATAATTTACTTTTTTACCTCGTTCAATTTTTTAACCTTCAATTTGTTTATTGCACACGAGTTCTGATCTGACAGTTTATTTATGCATTTACCTGATGTAGAAAATATTTTTATATCGTTGTATGTGTATGGATGAGTCTAGGAAGTGTTCCAAGTGTAAATGTATTACACAAAAACACAACAAAGGAATTGTGGGCGCCATCTATCTTGTTTGTGCAATTGTTTGTCAGACATGTCATCACGACAAATGTTTATGTTGTTTTTAAAAATTCATCCAATAAATATTTTTAAAACAAAAGTTTCAAGCGATTTTTTCATGTTGACAGATGATTTTTGTGTTGTGTTTGTAGTAGCAAATATTTCATCAATCGAAGTAATGGAGACGTTTTGTTAAAAGTAATGTAATAATTTAACGATTGAGATGGAACATGGGAAAACAAATTTAATAAAAATTTTTTTAAGAAAATATTTAGATATATATATATATATATATATATATATATATATATATATATATATATATAGGGTTAGTATAATTTCCTACATGCTCCTGAAAGTACGGCTGGCCAGTTACACCATCCCTCACCAAAGGAGCATTACTGTGAACACCTAAAATCCTTATGGTACTCATCAGTAACCCGAGTTTAAACAGCAATTTTGAGCAATTACTATCTCAGTAGAAAATATTGCAAACTAAGGTGTATTTAAGTAATTTACTGAAACATATTTTAGTCGATAGAGACGTACTGTTACTCGCCGAAAAAAGGATTTAGTGAGTCGACTTGAATCCACAAAAAAAGTATAAAGAATAAGATATTCCGACCTTCTCCCGCCAATTCGGTTGAAAAGTACGATCTAAAGTAGGGCCACTGATGAGTTCCATAAAGAACGAAACGTGTCTAGCATAGAACTGGCCAACCGTACTTGCGGAAGCAGGTCGGTAATTTTCACCCTTTATATACTCACGTACTTGGGGATTCAAGTCCACGCAGTTAAAACGTTCAAAAATTTAAAATTACTGTTCGACAATTTATTGACTATGTTATCACATGCTTTGAAACTTGTTACAACTTGTTTCAAAAAGCTGCGTAAATTATATCAGACACAAAATGTTTCCCAACTGTTATTTTCACAAGTCTTGTAGTATCATTTGTATTGTCAAGGTTAAATTTTTGTTACTCATTGATGTTTGGTAATGGGGTTGGTGTCGTTTAGAAAGTTTAACTCATTCAGAACGCTGCTGCAAGACTGGTTGTTGGGTTTGGTAAACGTGATCACATAACTGGTTGGTTGGAGAATCTTCATTGGTTGCCAGTGAGCAAAGAAATTTCTAACAAAATGGCAGTTATTGTTTACTGTTGAATTTATGATGGTGGTGGACCAAAATACTTGAAGAAGGTTTTTTTGTAAAAAAAAAAATCTGAGCTGGACATGGGTCATGCTCTGCGATCGATCTCCTGTGAATTGATGATAGTTCCCAGAACTAAGACAAAGCAGAGTGATAGATGCATGCAAGTTGATTTGCCAAGGATATGGAGTGACCTACCATTGGGTTTGAAACAAACTGTTCCAATAAAGTTATTCAAAAAGGAACTGAAGTTTGAAACATACTGAATACTGAAACAAACTGAAACGTACATTGGTAAAATTTAAAATTAATCAAAATAATAATGTTATTAAAAATTGAATACAATAATATAAAAACAAAAAGAATAGACCACTTTGGACGTTGCTGCGGTGAGATGTGCAAAGTGGTAAAATATATATAAATTTTTATCAGAATTTGATAATGTGTGTGTGTGTGTGTGTGAATGAGTGTGTGTGTGTTATATAATATATACATTATTTGTGGTTGATTAGCTGAACCTCGAATTGATATTGATTTCGTCATTTTGGTTTGAAAACGACTTGTTAAAACGGTTTTAACATTTGCATTTTTTTAACACAATTTTCATTTAAACTTGTTTATTGAGCTGGTTTTGTTAGAATTAGATCAAAATTGAACTTAAATTAATTCCAATAATTTTTGATTCAGTAGCAATTTGATACAAATTCACTTGTAACATATTTTTAAATTTTAATTATTAAAAAATTTAAACACTTTGGAATATTTCTGCTTGGAATGGATAAAACCTTCATAAGCTTACTGTTCTCACATATATATTTCCATGTGTTCTCATGATCTTTAATACGTTGCGATCAAGATGCGATGTGTCAATGGGGAGGATTCAGATTGCTCAATGGAATAAACATATCCTACCCCTTAGCAAAAATATCTTAATTACCTCATACAACTTTCGGAAATGCTTTTTATAAAGCAAAGCAAAGTAAAGCATCACACATACGGTAGATGGAGATCCTTTTGTCGAATTTGAACGAAACATAAAAACTTTTAATTGAAGATTATATAATTAATATATATATATATATATATATATATATATATATATATATATATATATAATTCTAATCTGTATATATAGTATAATTATATTTCATTCGACTTTTATAATTTCAATCTGGATTTGGTTTAATAAAAAATAATTAGTTGCGGAACATCTACCCTGCACAATAACCTATTTTATAAAACGTTCAAATGTACTTAAATATAATTATTTACTTGTATTTTATATTAAAAATGAGAACGAAAACAGAGCAACTATAAGAATCAGAATGTAAATAAAATACTTAATGTATAATGTACTTAAATATAATTATTTACTTGTATTTTATATTAAAAATGAGAACGAAAACAGAGCAACTATAAGAATCAGAATGTAAATAAAAGTTTGGTATTTTCGAATGTCGTTTTAAAATTTTTTATAAGTTTTAGTTCATCATTTTAAATATATTTCTGCAGTTTTAGAGAACTGAACATTAGCATAGACAACCGGAGCCTTCCAGAAAATTTTGAAAACGCGGACTCTGTACAAATGGAATACAATATTCTAATTATATGGAATACAATAAATAAAATACAAAAAAATCATAACAAATAAAAATATAATCAATAGAATAGAAATCAATTGAAGAAGTAGGCAGACCACTTATTTATAACTGAACTGAACTCCATTTTATTGCCGCGTCTTAATGGGAAAATTAAAAACTTCATACTCTATGTTTAAAATGTAACTTAACCAGGTATATAAGCAGCAACACGTCTCCGTAGACGTCTTCTGTGAAAAGCTCGTTGATGATGTAGTCAGCGCGGTCTAATCATTGGACAAGATGCCAGTGCAGATGTGTGCAGACCGGCCTGCTATTAATAATTAATTAAATAAATAAAATAAAATAATTACTCTTATTTCTTATTATTATCTTATTATTTCTTATTAGTTCCCCTCTTTATTAAGAAACTAAAAACTAACGTTGATTGAATTGAAAATTAAATTTTTTAATCGATTTTTATACAGTTTTATAATAATATAATAAATAATTATAATAAAAAAACCAATTTATTAATTTGATTTTATTTATTAGAATTAGCAATCTTATATAATTTATTGTAGCATGTTGGTTTTTAATGTTAATCCTTTAATTTAATGTTTAATGTTTTTTTTATTTAGTAATTTAGTTGAGTTATTAGAGTGGACTTGCCATCATATAATATAATATATTATATATTAAATGTAAATATATTATTATATATTAAATATAAATATAAATTATATATAAATATATTAAATATATACTACTTTATTTGCTATATGCCATATAATTGCTTTAGTTTAATATAATTGGAATTGAAATTTGGAATGAATAAAGTATTAAAGTTGAAGTGTAAAGAATTAATAAAGAAGATTAACAAAAATAATTTTTAACCTTATTTGTCAATAAATAATTTTGTTTTGTTGACTATGATTGTCCAACAAGTTCAAGACAGTAAAAATTATGAAGCTGGTAATAATATTAAAATTATTAATTTAATTATTAAATTATTAATAATATTTCATTGCATAAAATTGTCGGTTTAATGGTTTTAAATTTTTGACAATTAAAATATTAAATGATTCAATTTCAATTATTTTAAAAATTGACAGTTAAATGATTTTATTAAAATTATAAAATGCGTGTTTTGTTTTTATTTTTAATTCATATTTTTATTTTATTACCAAATTTGGAATGACTTAGCCTTTTTCAATTGAGTTCAATATTAAATAAATTATATTTTTAAAAATGTTTCCTTTACACTTGATTAACTTAAAACTTAACACTATTTTTAAAGAAAAATTGTCATTTAAAATTGTTTCATTATTAAAAATATTATGCTTGTTTGACAATTAACTCTTAAAACTTGAAAGCTGTTACAAAATTTGAATATGAAACATTAGCAATACAGTCAGACCTTCTTATAGCAAACTTCTATACATCGTAGATCTCTATATAATAAATTTTTTATTTCCCTTAAATTAAAATTTTTCATTTAAAACTGTTCCTGTACAACAAAATTAATTTCTTTATAACAAAAAATTTATACAGTAAAAAGAATTATCCGACCAGCTATCATTTTTTGAATTGATATGAGCGGTTTTTTTGTATTCTTTTAATTTCCTAAAACCATATTTATTGTTTATTGTTCAAGCTCTCTACCTCAATTAATTTCAAGAAAATTGGAATTATCGTTGCATGGAACAAAAAATAAATTTCACTTCTAAAATTTTAATTTTTACAATTATACCATGTGTTATTACTTTCTGCTATCAAAATAAGTGATTGTAAGTGTTTTTTTTTTATTTTTTAATATATAAATATATAGCATATAAACACCTTCCCAAACAAATTCTATATAACAAATTTTTTATATTATAAATTTTTTTAAATCATCAAATTTGTTATATGGAGGTCCGACCGTATTTCAACAATAAAATCAACTACTACTAATGTACATTTGCACATACAGTCTACAGAGAAATTGAGGAGACACTTAAAAAACGAATAATGATTTTTGATGGTGCCATGGGAACGATGATTCAAAAGTTGCACCTGACAGAAGAGAATTTCAGGGGTGAGGAATTCAAAAATCACCCAAAGCCTTTGAAAGGTGATAATGATCTGCTGAGCATTACATGTCCAGATCATATTTATAAAATACATAAGGTTTGGTTATCTTATTTAATGAAAAAAATTTCAGTAGAATGTTGTTGAATGTGTGTGAGGCTGGACATTTTGATTTCAGGTTACCCATAGAAGTAATAAAGATGGAAATATGTTGAGAGTATGCCTTTAATAATGAGTGCTGTATTGGTTCCAATGTGATGATGGTGATGAGAGTAAGTTGGCTATGAAACTGGAGTGATACGTTAGATGCCAGTTTAACAGACCACAGTGGTCAAATTAACTCTTACACTGATGCAAAAAACTTATGTTATGGTGATTATGAAAAAAAATCAGACTAACATGCAAATTAAATCCTCTACTGAAAAACACTATTAATTAAGTACAGTGACGTGCTTACTACTTATAAAAGTTTGTTAGCTACTCTTGTTAAAATAGTTATCAACTACTTAACTATTTTAACAAGAGTTGTTATCTACGTTGTTAACATTGTGTTTAATTAAACGTTCTTCAGTTATTAAATGGAAAAAATTAAATTCACATTCAATAAATAAAAATATTATATAATGTGAAACAAGTCACATTTTTTATTGTCTGTGTACAATTTCTGATAAACTTGATTTTAATATGAACATAGGTAAAAGATTTCTTTTTTTCCATTTGTCTCAGATTTTTACAAGGAAACTTTCTAGTGATAATTTCTTTTCTCACTAAACTCACCTATTTTTATCATATAATTGTTGCATACCATAAGTATGTTGCTTCTAAAATATGTTGGATGTCAAATGAAACCTCTTGTAAAACGTAAATGGCATCACCTCCCTAGAATATCAAGTTACACTTCATATTTTTTCAGACTAAAATTTTTCAAATAAAACGGCCTGCATCTATCAAATTATAGTTGCAAATAGAAACGAAAGTAACAAAGAAAGTTTATAATATGCATAAAATAACGATGTATTACTTGCAAAAACAACCTCTAATAAATGCTTTATGATCACTTTAATGCAATCTATTGGAAACTGTACAACATTAACATAGTACTACATTTACCTCATGTGACCATTGAAGTTTTCACCATTGTCCCCGTGGAATAGAAGCGAAGAAATTTGATGCATTTTTATAAATTTATGTTGGTTTTTTTTACCACAAAAGTGGTCATCATAATTATTTTTAAGACGCCACATAAGACAATACATTCAATCATAAAAAAAAGACTCGCTTTTAAATGTGGGGCTCGTAGTAGTTCACAGGTATCCGTACCATATAAAGTTATCTTTCAAAATGTTGAGAAACGCAGAAGTGCCAGCATTATTTGGTGTCTTAAGTCATCCAAATTTTTTCTTTTTCTCACCATAGGCTTTTTTTTTAATAAATAATGTTCCTGAGATTTTATTATTGTACTTATTGTAAGGGTTCACCAACAGTTCCCAACAAAAAAATCATTAAGTTTCATCAAATGTAGCAATGGCTGTGAATGTGGACACCGGCTGTCACGTTGTTTGTGGAGCTTCTGGCGGAGGTCTCGTTGACTGCCGACGTGTTGTCACTTTACCGCTGCTGAATGTCTTGTCGTTTGTTGAGCACACTGTCAATTTACGTTTGCTGAATTGGCGTGTAGCTTGTTGAATGTATCGTCAATTCACGTTGCTGAACTGACGTGTCGTTTGTAGGACGTAATGTCGCTTCACGCCTGCTGAAGTGACGGGTAGGTTGTCGAACGCGTTTTCGAATCACGTTTGCTGAATTGACGTGTCGTTTCGTTATCAGGGTTTGCCCTTACTACTATGGAAATCAATAACCACCAACGTAACCGCTTTACCGACTGTACCAACCACCGACGTAACTGCTTCCACTAACTGTACCAACCACCAACGTAACTGCTTCCACTGACTGTACCAACCACCGAAGTAACTGCTTCCACTAACTGTACCAACCACCAACGTAACTGCTTCCACTGTTTGTACCAACCACCGAAGTAACTGCTTCCACTAACTGTACCAACCACTGACGTAACTGCTTCCGCCAACTATACCAACCACCGAAGTAACTGCTTCCACCGACTGTACCAACCACCAACGTAAAAGCGTCCACTAACTGCACGAACTACCAAAGTAACTTCGAGAGTTTTTTCAACTACCACTCACCACGACCGACTAACTTTCCAGGTCTATTTCCGGAAGAGACAGGATGACCACATAAAAATTTTGTAAACAAATTTATCTAATATATTCATCTTAACAAAAGTATGTTATATAAAGTTATATATAATATAAAGTTAAATATAATATAAAGTTTCCAATGACAAAATAAAATATGGATATTTTAAATAGAATTTTCATGATTACATATAATTAAGGAAATAGTTCTTCAGTTTTATTTTAAAATAATTTAATGAGTTAAATTCGACATTGAAACCACTGTTCACGATTTCATTCCAAGTTCTTGGTCCTTTACAATAAACATGCGAGAATATGATGTTGGTTTTTGATTTGTTGGAAACGAGATCATTTTGTCGCCGAGGTTGCTCTTTGATTTTGAAATATTTTCGAATTAATTCTGGCAACTGTTTGTCAATTGCTTATTTGAAAATAATTTTTCAGTTTCGAGAAATTTAGATATTGTGTCATGTTGAATAACGGTTGACTGTAGTCGCGTCGTTTCGATCCCGTTATGATTTTAATGGCTCTTTTCATAAAGAGTTTTATCGGCATTGTGGTTATGTAATACGATGATGCCTAGACTGTGTTGCAGTAGGTTATCAAGAGAGTCAACAGAGAGTTGTACAACAAGTTAAAGCATTTCCTCGGTAGGAATGATTTAACTCTATTTTTCATTCCTATTGTCTTAGATAACTCACTTGCAATGTATTTAATGTGATGCTTGAAAAAATGTTTTAGTTCAAAATGCCCAATAATTTTAAACGTTTTGTTTCCTCAATCATATCGTTCCTTATTATAATTTTGTAAAGATCTTTATAATTGAGATATTGAACAGGTCCAAATACCATTACCTAGCTCTTTGGTGAGTTGATCAAAAGGTTATTGCTTTCAAACCAGCAAACTATTCTTCAACTCTTTATTTGTGTTTTCGAGAAGCTCATTTACTGATTCGCCGCTACTGAAAACTGAAAACATCATCAGCATAGATGATGTGATCAAAAAATGCTGACGCAGCTGGTAAATCATCTACGTAGAGTATGAATAACAGTGGGCCTAGAATGCTACCTTGAGGAACACCCTGGTTGTTGTTGAGCGTGTCAGAGGTTACGTTATTCACACAAACAAATTGTTTTCTGTCGGTCAAATGACTCCGTAGCCATTGGAGTGACAAGTTTGTGAAACCATACTTCTCAAACTTGTTCAACATGATATTGTGATTGATGCACTTAATTGCTTTGGACAGATCCAAGCAAGTGCCAATTACATATTTTTTACGTTAGGCGTTTAAGCGAATTTTTTTAATTAACTCTACGATTGCTACCCCACCCAAAAATTTTTCTCTAAAACCGAATTGACAGTGTGACATAATTTTGATTCATTCGTTGATGCATTAGTTTCTCTAGAATTTTTGAGAAGGTTGGCAGTTTGACAAGTCTGTATTTCCTTTAACTTTTTCTACAGGAATTATTTTCGTGATTTTGAAATTACTTGGAAAAGAACCCACTTCTAAAGACAAATTTATCAAATATTTATAAAATATTCTAAAGCAGAAAATGTATTTATTTAATTGTATTTAATTTAATTTAATTGTATTTATTAATTTAGTATTATTATTAGTTATTAATTTATTATTAATTAATTAATTAATTTAATTGTATTTAATTTAATCAATTATTTAATTTTTATAAATGTATTTATTGTAACTTTGAATTAAAATTTGTTACATTATTAATGTTGCACAAGTTTTCAAGACTTTTGCCGCAGTCGTCATCATTATCGTAAGCAAAGATTTCATCATCCATGTTTGTTTTTATTGAGGCCGTTAACTTTCCGCTGATCGAAACGCCAATCTCTGACGGTGATGTGTTGCAAGATGAGGTTGGCAGCATTTTGGCAGTATCGCAACTTTCAATGCACACCCTAAACATTGTTAACAATTGACTCTGCGCGTTTCACGACTGAGTGGCATGAAACGATGAAATGATGTTTACTTCAATTGATTTTAAATATTCAATGACGTCATATTCCTGTGGCATTTTTGAACGTTGCTCATGGAGAAAAATGATTTTTTAATGAGCATTTCGCCTTGATTTTGCATTTATCATCGTTTTTTTTGTTGTTTTTTTTTTAAGTTTTATTTTCATCAACAGTTTTCACATTGATGTCGTTTTAACATCATTTTTTTATTATCCGCCTCAGGACTGCTATTTATTCTCGGTCTTTTTTTGATTTAACTAAAGTGAAAAGTTGTTATTTACTACCCTTGCGGTGCTTGACCTGATAGTGATAAGTCTGCAGGCTTTCAGCTACCGTGCCAAATGTTCTTCTGGTTTCCTGAAGTTTATTAGCCATTTAAGGGCCGCGTGATCTATGCGGAAGACGAACTCTTGGCTTTGCTATCGAGGCCAAGTCTTTCACGAAGCGTCGGCAGTAGGGTGCTAGCCCCAGAAAGGAACGTACTTCATACTTGTCTTTGGAACCGGCCATTGTTTTACCATCTAGATTTTGCTTGGGTCGGTTGTTACTTCGGCGGATACCACGTGTCCCAAGTAATTGACTTTGTTAGCGAACAGACTACACTTCTTTGTGTTAAGGTTTAAATTTGCTGCCCGTAGTCTGTTTACGAGATGTTGTTCGAGGGTCTCCCCTAGAATGATGATGATAACCAAACATGTCTTCCCTAGAGCACAGATTCCATCAACCGCTCGAACGCGATCGTCTTTCTCAGTAACCACTTTTCAGGTTCAGGGTGGAGAACCAACGTGAGCCGGATAACGTGTCCATAATGTCGTCAATCCTTGGTAACAGATAACTATCTTTTGTGGTTACCTCATTCAACTTTCTATAGTCCACGCAAAACCGGCTACTGCCGTCTTTCTTTTTGACTAGCACCACTAGCGAAGTCCATGGACTTGCTGATGGCTCGACGATACCTTACTTCTGCATATCTGTTATCATCTCGGTTACCATTGTTTGTTTGAACAGGGGAACCTTGCATGTTGATCTTGTGCTTCACTAGATTTGTCGACTCTACCAGCTAACCTCGGCCCCGTGAGGTTGTCTTTTATTAATTTTCCGTCGTTGTATTGGTGGGTGTCCTGCTCGTAGGATTTCCATCGTCTTCCTTTTTCGGCCCGTCTTCCAAGTATTGTTTTTCCGGCGCTGCTTGCAATCTCTTTTCAAATGCTCCAATTTTTTGCAATTCCAGCATTCTGGCCCCTCTCCTCTTCATTTGTTGCTTTTATTCGCCGGCGATCCTGATACACTCGTCTCACTCTGGGTTCACTTTTGCACGTTAGTTTTCCGTCTCTAGCTTTGTGTACAGCTTTAAGATTCCCTTGAGCATCTCGATTCCTGAGAAGATTAATTGATACCTAGTGCTTTGTTCTCTTAGAGCATGTATGAATTTTGTCGTCGCCATACTGTCCCTGAATCCTGGGGAGATTATTGGGTATGCCAGCAGCGTCAGTCTTTCAATATCTTTAACTAACTCCTGGGCTGACTCCCCAGACCTTTGTAGGCGGTGTTCCAACTGTATACGGGAATATCCCGTGTTGTATTTGTTCCCGTAGCGACGGTTCAGCGCGCCCGTGATGGCCTGGATGTTGTCCCGGTCTTTGACAGGTATCGATTGTAGTGCTTCTAGTGCTAGACCTATAAGTGCAAGCACTAGCGCCGTTGCGCGGTCTTTTTCTCTCCATTCATTGTTGATCGCTGCCGTTTCAAATTGCGTTTGATAACTTTTCCAAGGTACGTGCTTTCGTTGCCTTGACTGGGGCGTGACCGTGTCCGATGTTTCTTTCCTTCGTTTTTATTTCTCTTTTTATCGTATTTATTTCTTATTTCAACTCATTGATCCGTTCGTTTACCTCGGTTTTTACTTCCACTATTTTACTATTTAGTCATTTTTAATGCCTAATATTTTGTTTTTGAAATCTTCTGTCTCGGAATTGTTCTCGGCGCGATATCTGCAAGCGTTTTACGACATGCTTGTATGTTGTATGCGTTTTATGCCGGTGCAGCTGGTTTTGGAATTGGTGCGTTGGGTTCAAATGAAATTAACGTTTTTATTTGTATGTATGTGGATTATTATCTCGTGGTAAAGGAGGTGTTAGGATTAGTTTGGAGTTGTGGTATCGTTATGAATATTATAATATTATTTTGTATCGTATCGTTCTGCATGCATGCAATAATGTGATTGTATGGATAAAAGTTGTTGTAATGATAATTTTGATTACACAAAATGACATCAATGATGATAATGTTGAAAACCATAATACTAACCCAATGTAATGATGATCTTTAGGAGTACTTAGAAGCTGGTGCAGATTTCATTGAAACAAATACGTTCAACAGCACGGCAATTGCACAAGCCGACTATGGCCTTCAACATATGGTCACTGGAATAAGCATTCATTAGTTTTTTAAATTTGTTTTCATCATAACGTTTTTTCTTTATTATTTTTTTCAACATTTTCATAATTTTATTGGATAAACGTTATACTAGTAAGAATTACTTCGTTATGGTACATAATTGAAGGCTTACAGACTGAATTATGAGTCAGCTATGGTGGCTAGGAGGGCCGCAGACGATGTTACCAAAGAAACTGGTTAAATTTTTTTGAAAAATTTACTATTAAAATTGTTATTATTTTCAAAATTTAATTTAAAGTTGTTTAAAATATCTTACTTGGGTAACAAAGGAGAAATTTTTCCAATCATCAGTTGTATTTCGTTTTTTAAGCTTTTGTTAAAATTTTATTTTTTATGAGATTGTCATGCGAACACAGGTGTGAGGAGGTTCGTAGCAGGAGCTCTGGGACCAACGAACAGGACCCTCTCCATATCTCCATCCGTTGAAAGGCCAGAGTACAGAAACATAAGTTAGCGGCCCACAAATGAAAAAAAACTAATTAGTTAATTATCTAATCATCATTACTAATTAAATTGTTTTTTAATTAGCATAAAATAGTTCGATTAAGTGTCAACCATTTTTATAATACAGTCGGACCTCCTTATATCGAACTTCTAAACAACGAATATCTCTATATAACGATTTATTTTATGTCACTTGAAATTTTACTTATAAAACTGTTTCTATGTAACGAAAATAATTTATGCATTCTATAAATTGATATGAGCGGTGTTTTGTACTCCTTTGATATCTTGGAACCATATTTATTGTTTTTTGTTCTTGTAATTATTGTGAATTCTGCCTCGATTATAAATTTCAATGGAATCGGGATCATCATTGCACGGACCAAAGAATAAATTTCATTTTTAAAATTTCATTTTTTACAATTATACCATTTATTATTACTTTCTGTTATCAAAATATATGATTAGGAGGTTGTTTTTGTAGCATAAAAACACCTTTTAGGCAATATAAATTTTTTTCTCGAACAAATTCTATATAACAAAATTTTTATATAACGAATTATTTCTCTGGAACCATCAAATTGGTTATACGGAGTTTCGACTGTATTTCATAAATTTGATCAGCATTCGATGAGTTGGTGGATGCTTATAAAGAGGAAACAGCTGGTCTCCTGGACGGTCTTGTGGACGTGTTGATTGTCGAAACCATATTTGATACTGCTAATGCTAAGGTCGTTGTTGTTGTTTGCATGTGTGGTTGATGATGTTTTTCATGCTGTTTGGTTGTAACGTGTATCGTTGTTTGATAGTGTTGCACGTGTTTTTGTGGTGTATGTTCCAATGTTGCACTTGTTATGGTCGGCTGTTGTTGCTTTGCTTTTAAAGTGCACGTTGGTTGTTTGGCTTTAAAGCTGCATGTGTTGTGGTTAGTCGTATGGACGTTGCATTTATTGCATTTGTTGTGGTTGGATGTTGTTGTTTTTAGTTGTATCTGGTTGTTGTTGTTTCCATGTTGCATGTGTTGTCGCTGATTATTGTTTCTTCGTCGTTGCATGTGTTATGTTTGTTTTATCTTTCTACGTTGTGTGTATGTTGTCGTGTCTGTTGTTTTAACTGTTATTGCCTGTGACGTCATGATGTTGACATTGTTTAAAGTTTTTCTGCTGCTGATTCATTGTAGTCTAAACAACTCTCACACATTTAACTTAATTCATGAAGACTCATTCAGTTAATGTACTTGTTCGAACATGCACACTTCAAACGCAAACACAGGCAGCCATATATGCGATAGATACAGTGCTGGAAGAAAGAAATGTACACGTACCAGTTTTTATATCAGGTCAATTATTAAATTTTTATTGAATTAATTTTTGTCTGTAGGACATTGATGACTCGATAGATTTTTTACTCTTATACAACTCTGATTTTTTATGTTCAATATCGCATCGTGTTTCTTAAATTTTTAAAATATTTTCAACGGTAATAAGTGAAAATAAATTACCATCACATTACCTCCAACATCATCACCACTTGCACTCTCATCATCACCAGCACCGCCATCATCGTCACCAGCACCATCATCCTTACTCGTACAGGGACGATCGTGGACAAGAGTGGACGTACGCTGTCAGGGCAAACGACGGAGGCATTCATCATCAGCGTGTCGCACTGCAAGCCCATGTGGTCAGTAGGTTGATGGAGACTGACTGTAAATGTACATTTAATTATCAAATGTAAACTGTAAATGTACGTGAAAATTGTATGTAAATGTGTGCATGTAAATGTACGCATGCAAATTGTGAATGTAGATTTCGTTAAGTTATAAAGGTGGATTGTTATTTAAAGCAGTAGTATTATTAGTGCAGTGAAACAAAATGATATTGTCTTAAATTAACATCTGTTTTAAAAGAAAAACTGTTAAGATGCAGATGATGTTCAAAATTTTAATATAGATATCTGAATCCCAAATAAAATAAAAGTAATGGTTGTGGTAGAGATTGTGTTATCATCATCATCCTTATCAACATTGTTGTTAACTTCATCTTCATAATCACTTGTAGCATCATCATCACCATCGTCTTTTTTAATTAATTTTTTAATATAGTCATTACTGTCATCCTCTAATTCATCATCATCATCACCGTCATCATCATCATCATCGTCATCATCATCGTCATCATTATCGTCATCATCATCAGTATAGGTCTGAATTGTGCCCTGGGTGCAAATGAGATGAGGCCATTCATCGAATGTGTTGCTTTGAACACGAAGGCCTATGTTATCTGCTACCCTAATGCTGGTGTGTTTGTGTGTGTAGATGTGTTTGTATGTGTGTATGTATGTTCATGTGTGTGAGCATTTGTGTGTACGTGAGTATGTGTTGGTCTGTGTATGTGTGCGTGTCAATGTTTGTGTAAGTATGCATCTTGGATTTCCATGAATTTAAAAAAATTATTGTTTTTTTGGTTTATTATGGCCAAATAAAATTAAAATATGAATTATTATGAATCACAAAAAATGAACTTTGAATATTGCGCGCTTCGTAGTTGTCTGTTTTGATTTGGCATGAGCCGAGCAGGATCGTACGTAGCCAGGATGGATGGATTGGTGCTACATCCATCCACCCGCGTTAACATTTTTTTGTAACTTTAGAGATAATTTCAATTGCTCCATCCCCATAGAAAAGTTATGTTTGAAAAATGCCCAATGTTTTTAGACGTTATACGAACAAAAATTGGCTGATGGGCAAAAATGTCGCCTGCCTTCATAGACCTTCAAAGCTCCACCCCCCATCAAATTTCTGACTACACCATCGCCACACAACCAGGCAGTGATTATTGTGACTTATAAATTCTCTAACGACTGTTCACCAATCCAGGTCTACCAAATACGTTCGGAGAATATGACGAAAGTCCCGAGTACACTGGAAAGATGTTGATGGTACTGACGTGGCGATGGTGGTGGTGGTGATGTGGTGGTGTGGTGATGATGTGGTGGTGTGGTGATGATGTGGTGGTGGTGAAGATAAAAAATTTTAAATAACTGGTTACAAGGATGATATAATAATCAATGGTTGACGACCACCCACCTCGCAGAACTTCGCGCGTGACGGCCTGGTGAACATCGTTGGCGGCTGTTGCGGCACCACACCCAAGCATATCAAGTCTCTTGTTTGTTACTTTCATTTTGAAATTCTAACTTATTACCGGTTACTAACTAACATCAATTTAATTGAATGCTTAATAGTAAAAGATTATTATTTTTTATTGATTTGATCTAATCAATTTGAACAATTATTTCATCAGACGTTTCAAAGTTGCCTTTTAAGTTATTTTCATCTTTTGTTTATTAATATCCTTCATTTGCATCACACTATGGGGAAATAGTCCAAAAAGCCACCTGAATAACCTAATACTTTCCCAAAAAAGATCAATACGTTTAATTTTTAACCTCAAACCCGATTCTCATACTAAACCCTTCTTCCTAGCAAAAAAAATTTTACCAGTTAACTTCATCTGTCTTTACTACTCTGCTTTATTCGTTTTTAAATTTATCAACAATCTTCTTCCACCTCACTTTATCAACTTCTACACATTAAGTAACTCGGTTCAATCTACAACCACTAGACACACCCCTCTCTTCTATATCTACAAAACTCGCCTCAAATTAATCCAGACAAGCATAAAAATAACAGGTCCTAAAATTTGGACAGAACTTGTACCTCCCCATCTAAGAGCCATCATAAACCTACAACATTTCAAGTCAAAATTCCGTGCTTTTTTATTGACACTGGATCTCGACTCCACCACCTAATATTATATTAAGAATAAGCTAGAACAAATGATGCGGATGAATGGTCTTTATGAATGGTTAAGCATTTATGTGTTTATATATGTACTGAGCGAACATTTACATAGTTATATGTCTATATATGTATGACACGAACATTTACTTATTTATCTTCAATTATCTTTCTGCTTCAGTTATTTTCCTTATTTTATTTCATTAACTATTCATGTATCTACCTGCGGTGGCCACCACAAGACAAACAGTCTTATTCGGTCTCCGCATATTCAACTTCATAACTTTTATTCACTTATTTGATATGTTGTTGATTATGAATAAAACTTTGAAAATGAAAAATGAAAATGAAAATTTGTAACGAATGATTTGTGCATTCAACAATAGCACAAATTATTTGTAAAGACGTTAATTTTATTTTATTGTATTAATTAATTAATTAATTAATTAATTAATTAGCTAACTAGCGGTAATTAGTTAGGCCCAAAATCTCTATCATGCCAAAATTATTGAACGGTATATTTTCAGAGCCATAGCTGATGCAGTGAAAAGTTTCACACCCAGACTGCCCCCCGCTCATTTGCATGATGACGCCTTGCTGTTGGCTGGTAATTATTTTTTAATCGAATTAACGATCGAATACTTTTCGCAATTTATGTATTTTTGTTCCTATTGTTAATTTTCTTAAAAAAAGTAAGCAGCTCCAATGAATTGTTTGTATAAGATGATAATCTTCCATCACCAAAGTTTTAGTTGTAATCATCACCTTCATCATATTCAACTTACATCTTCACCATCCACTGCGTTGTGACGATTTCAGGCCTGGAGGCATTACGTGTTGACCAGTACACGAACTTCGTGAACATCGGTGAGAGATGCAATGTGGCTGGTTCGAGAGCATTCTGCAAACTCATCAAAGATGATAAATATGACGTTTGTTACGCAATTTTATTATTCACGATACCATTATGTTTTATTCAATTTCACTTCTACTTTTTATGATGGAGAGATATTATTGTGGATATATAAATTATGTTACTCATGTTATGTTACTCTATTATGTTACCCACATACTACTTTGTGTTTTTTCCAGGCACATCTACCAAATTTACCAAATAGCTCTCATTTTCTTAATTAGTTTTTTCACTTTTATCAGGAAGTTTTTCTTTTTTTAAATTATTACTAACTCGGTAAATTATTTCCGAAATTCTACATTTCGATCACCATACAATGTAGGAAGCACTGAACGTGGCCAAAACGCAAGTTGAGAACGGTGCAGTAGTGTTGGACATAAACATGGATGAAGGTATGTTGGATGGCAAGGCAGCCATGACCAAGTTCGTCAACCTCATCTCATCAGAACCTGATATTGGAAAGGTCAATTTAGAAAATATCCAAACGAAATAGAAAATTTTTTTATTGCTTTTGGGATAAATTATTATTAAATTGTGATATCCTAACGGTTTCTTTTAAACTAGTTATCACTGACAGCAAGTTAACAAAAAGCACTTGAACTCTAAACAAACCACCACTAAACCACTTCACAGGTCCCACTCTGCATTGACTCCTCGAACTTTTCGACCATCTTGGCTGGCTTGAAGTGCACTCAGGGCAAATGTATAGTCAACAGCATCAGTCTGAAGGAGGGCACCCAGGACTTCATCTCAAAAGCCAAGCAGATCAAATTGTTTGGGGCTGCCGTGGTTGTCATGGCGTTCGATGAAGTTGGACAGGTTGTCTTGTTGACACGGATAGATGATTGTGATAATGTTTAAAATTTGGATAAATATTTATTACTGAAATTTATAAGAATGCTATTTTGGTTTTAACTAAAATGTTGACCCCGAGGGCTCAAGCCAAGTACCATATACTTGGGAAAACTCATCTTAAGACAAAATTAAAAATTTCTTATAGAAAATGTAAACTCTGAAGTACCCAAATAAGTGTATAAAATAAATAAAATGTATACATTCTTCTTAATCTAACGGGCTTATTACTTTATTCAGTGGAAAACTTTTTGAAGCGAAGTAATCTCGGATTGTCACAACGGCAATCACTTCAATAATTTTACTACTGCACAAATTCCGCGTCTCATCTTAATTATTGGTCAAAAATGTCTGAAACATATTGCTTTTTTTTAAATAATTTATAATTTAAATTATCTTTCCAGGCGTAAATTTTAAATTATGTTTTCAACAGTTTCCATGTAAGTTGTCATCTAGACGTATTTTTCAAACAAAATAATTATTGGTTCAGTTTATATAATTTTTTTAAAAATTATAATTGTGAATTTTTTAAAATGGTTAATATTTTATTAAAATTTAACTCCTAATTTATGAGAAAAAGGGTAGAAGAAAATTAAATAAAATTCACGACATGTCAAAATTTTCATTTTGTAGATGTCCCATGTTTGTATCCACAAAAATAACAATATGACAAAACATGATATCATCAACTTGACACCATGATAACACTAACTTGACATCAAAAAACATCAGCATAACAACATGACAGTAACGTGACATCAACATGGCATCGGCCTGACATCAACATTATACCAACATACTACCAACACAATACCAACATGAAACCAATACAAACATGACATCAACATGACAGCAACTAGAAATGAACAAGAGCAAAACCCAACAGGCCACAGATGTAGAAAGAAAGTTGGAAATATGCAGCCGATCGTTCAGAATCCTGGTCAATGAGGTGGGCTTCCAACCGACTGACATCATATTCGATCCCAACATCCTCACCATCGGAACTGGAATGGAGGAACATAACGATTATGCTCTCAATTATATCAACGCTGTTAAGCTCATCAAAGTTTGTTTACTTCGTTCTTCTGCTGTTGAGTTATTCTATTATTTTTGATTATGCCAGATCGCATGTATGTGTGTGTAGACCAGTTTGTTGTTTGTGTGTGTTCACCTATTTGCACATGCTGATTATTGAATTGGACTTTTCTACGTTTTATTTAACATTCTCACTTCAGTTTTTTTGTTTGCTTTGTTGTATCAAGTACTGTCACCTTGTCAATATCTTACAAAAATTCCTAATCAAGTGGTATATTGACTGCTCCAAAAAATACTGGGAAAATACTGAATAAAATGTCAGCATAATTAGAACAAACTAATTATAAAACTTCAAGTTTTGCAAAAAATGATGTTAATCAAGCAAAGATTAAAGTCCAGGTAACAATGAAAACCGCCACGTTCTTGTAATAATTAAAAACATCATCAATTTATTCAACATCATCCACCGCTGTTTAAAGAGCGACGGCGATTTTCACCGCTACTTCTGTACTTTATACTTAATTGCGTTTAGGGACGGTCGTGCAACTTTTCACTCATTATTAGCGGTGGCAGGTCAATTTTTATGAGTAGCGTCAACAGTTCTGGCTGATGATATGTATTAAAACACGAACAGGAACATAACAAGGGTTGCCGCATCAGTGGGGGTGTGTCCAACTTGTCGTTTGCATTCAGAGGGAAGGAGAGGATCAGAGAAGCAATGCATAGTGTCTTTCTCTACCACGCTATTAAGGTATTTGTGTGTTTTTATACGTATGTGATTTTGTACGTGTTTTTGTATGTTTCTGTGTCTGTTTAGTATCACACCTCACATGTCTATTTGGTGTATTTGTGTTTCACAATTCACAATTCGTTTATTCATCAAAACAATGAAGGTTTGACCTGGAGACCTGGAAGATTGAAATCTTGTATTGGCCACTAGTTCAGAAATCAATAAAATATTTGAAAATAAAATGTTTGAGTACAAATTACAATAAGTATATATATGTTTAAAGAGTACAGTAATTCAATAGACATAATAAAACCAAATAAATTCAAAATGAGAAGAAAAGAAAGAAGGATAACAAAAATCAATAGTTCTAAATACATTGAATTAACGTTAAAACATAAACATCATTTATTAGTAGAAAAAATCTTGCTTAAAACCAAATTTGTAACTGATTTTTTAAAAAAATGAAAACTGTTTGATTCCTTAATTATATCAGGCAAGTAGTTCCATAAACGCATTAAATTACAAAAATTCTTAATCAAGTGGTATATTGACTGCTCCAAAAAATACTGGGAAAATACTGAATAAAATGTCAGCATAATTAGAACAAACTAATTATAAAACTTCAAGTTTTGCAAAAAATGATGCCAATCAAGCAAAGATTAAAGCGTTTAGTTACTTAAATATAGCAGGTTGTTTAGTTCAGTCATTTTGTTTATTAAACTTCTTTCATTAATGTGTAACATAAAAAATGAGTTAACATCGTTAAAATAAGTGGTTATTTTTTCAGGCAAAAGGAATGGCGACTGAGTGTTTAACGAATTAAAAAAATTGACATCAGGATCATGTAATCGATCGTTAAATACATCATTTTCATTACAAGTTACATCATCACTGAAGCTTTGCTTGAAAACACTGTTGTTGTTGTCATAATTATTTATCGACCATTGTTGAAGAGCGATTTTTCTTTTGCATCTTTGTCATCTAATTTTTTTTATACGAGAAGTCCCATTCGCGAAGAAAAGTGTAACGCGGCCAGATGTCTGGATTAATTAACTTTGGCAGTTTTGATAGGGAAAGAATAATTTTAAACGCAGTTGAATCTCTTGATAAATTGTCTGTGACAGATGACTCCTCAGAAGTTTTTTTCCGAAAAACATGAAAGCACTGGTTGAAGACTATATTGTTCGCTTTTAAGTGATTTTTAATGATATCCTTTTTACACGGACCAACATTTCCAACATAATGAGTGGCTTTTTTTCGATAATTATTGAAGATTTCAGAGTGCAGTTGATCTCTGTACCGAACAATGTTTCATTTTTATAGCCTTTACTATTTGCCATGTTTAAATTGAAATGAACACTGTTCAACGGCGAATTAATCGATTTTTTACGTTTTTTGGATTTGATGAGTTGGAAACCATCCATAGAATCGCTTCCATCTAGAGATTCGTTTTCTGACCTCGTTCTATCGGCCCATAATTCTTTATTTGAAATAACATTTGCAAAATTGACTTCAACGTTATTTACACTAGCATTAGTTTTGTTTACTTTTTTTGAAAGAGTTGTACAAGGAACTGCTGTACTAAGCAAGTTGTTAGACTGTTTTAATATTCGACCACATTCTGATTGGGCACATTGCTTGTTTATCTGTTCGTTCAGCTCACGCACTTGAGATATTAACATATTATTAATATTCATTATATTGTCCAGTTTTGCCTCCATATTTTCCTTATTTTTATTTATTAAATCAAATAAATCTTTAGTATTTTCCTGCATAATTCGTTTAGGCTGCAAAATCACGAATGTAGGCAAATTTGAAATTAAATCATTTTCCACGACAAAATTCAAAATATCGACTATTTCGAGCGTTTTTTCCAATTTTGAGTTGCCGGTGTATTTGTGTTTATGCTCAGATCTGCATGCATAAAAATACATACATGTTATAACAAACTCAAACATGCACACACAAGCACATAAACTCACAAACATGCACAGACTAGCACATACACGCACATGCATACACACAACGATATAGACACACACGTATATTCACACAAGCACAAACACACACCTGCAGTCTGGTATGGACATGGGCATTGTAAACGCGGGCTGTTTACCTCTCTACAGCGACGTCAACAAAGAACTATTAGAACTTTGCGAAAATTTAGTTTGGAATAAAGATAAAGAAGCTACAGAAAAATTATTGCTCTATGCTCAGGTGATGATGATGATGCTGGAGTTTTGATTAGAAATTAATGATGGTTGTGAAGCTGTTGTACTGATGATGATGTAAAGAAAATGACAGCAACGAGTTGTTATGTAGCTTGTTGTTAGTTGTTAGTTGCTTGTTGTTAGTTGCTTGTTGCTCGTTGTTGCCGGTTGCATCAGTGGTCCGTCGTTATACATGCGATTACGTCGATCATCATTGTTATCACCAACATCATCACTATCACCAGCATCAACATCATCACTATCACCACCATCAACATCATCGCTATCACCAGCATCAACATAATCACCACCATCGTCATAACAAACATCATCAGGGTCACATGAGCAGCGACAAGAAGCAGATCATGGACGAGGAGTGGAGGGCGACATCGGTGGAAGAACGATTGGAACATGCTCTCATTAGAGTTTGTGGTGATGATGATGGTAGTGGTGGTGGCGCTATGATGATGGTAGTAGTGGAATGTTGGAATGATGATGATGATAGTAGTAGTGGTGGTGTTGGGATGATTGTGATGGTAAGGATGAAGAAAAAAATTATGATGATGTACTAGGCTTTTGACATTTTTTGATTTTCGAACTGGCAGCATTGGATCCTGGTCATTACGCATTGACAGAGCAAAACATGGCACCTATACAGTCTCAGCTGAGCTAACTTGCTATACACACACGCACACTCACACGCACTTACATACAAGGCAAAATAACAATACAAGAAATTTTGTTTGACCCCAAAAAATAAAAACCATCATGGTGCTTGACGACTATAAAGAGTTTATTAAAAACTCATCGTGCATACTCCATAGTCACATGAAACAGAAATTCAACAGGAGGATGTGTTTATAATTCTTTTACAATTTTTCAAAAAATTGAGAAACTTTCCTGAATAATAATATTCCCCATTGTACAGAAATAGTAATTTTTAATAATCGAAGCAAAACAGAAATTATTACAGTTTTTTTAATTGTAAAAGCCATCAATTTTTAGCTGGATAACAACAGTTGATTATGAGGGAAACCCTTGTTCAAAATATTATTTCATAATCTTCTTTTTATTCTTTAAAAATCAGGATCTGACAGATGCAGAAACTGTAACAACATGCATGACAGTAGTATAAAATTAAACAAATAAGTAAATAAATAAATAAATAAAACAAAGAAAGAAAAATGTTTAAACATGAAAAGTAAAATAAAATAATAAATAAATAATAATAATAAAATAAATAAAAGGAAATAAAATAAATTGACAATAAAATGAAGTAATGGCATAAAAAGCAAATTAATAGACTAGAAGGATGACTTAGTGAGTTAGTGAGGTGATCGATAAATAAAAACTAGTTGTGTGAATGATGAAGTTTTATTGAGTGTTAATATGTTTGAGGTGTCTTGTGATGAAAGTCTTATCCTGATATGTAGATTGGGTGGCGACTTGATAGTTATGTTTGCGCTGACGAAGGTTGTACGTTGTAGTTTCAATTGGTGGTAGTAGAGGATGGATGACGTTGTTGTTGTTATTTTCTACTTGAATCGAGTGTGTTGAATATCTGAGTGACGGTAGGATATGATGCAGGTAGATAGTTGAAGCGAATTAGTTTTTTGATGAGAGATTGTAGTTGCTGAAGTTGTTGTTGAGTAACAAAACCAGACTAGGAGGAAGCTGCATATTTGATGCGTGAGATTATGAGTGATTCAGTGATGTCGAATAATTTGATGCCTCGAGTGTTATCTACCTCAGAGGCATGTATCAAATCAGGCAATCACTAGATAAATCAACATTGGAAACGCTGGTCCCTGCCCTCATCACATCTCATTTAGATTATTTCAACAGCTTGTTTTATAAACTACCAGACACATCAATCACAATTTTTCAGTCAATACAAAACAGAGCTGTGAAACTTGTTATTGGTTGCCTAAGATTTGATCATGTGACACCGACCTTGAACGAGCTTCACTGGCTGACGATAAATAAGAGAATAGTTTTCAAAATTGCAGTTCTTACGTTCAAGTCATTGAATGGTATGTCACCAGAATATATGACAATTAAATTCACTCGAAACCAAGCTACATCGACTTTTCATCTCCGGTTGGACGGTTTGAATTTGCTGTCTGTGCCAGTTACACATTTGCAAATTAATTCAAGAGACATTGCAGTTGCTGGTTCCGCTGTTTGAAATATTTTTCCACAGGCGTTGAGAAGATCTGGACTTTCATTAGAATTATTTGAGAAAGAATTGAAAATATTTTTATTTCCTGTCAAACTGTCAAAATTGTGTCTTTTTTTATTTTTGTGTTTCATATATAGGAGAGTTGCTCTGAATGGAACACTTAACAAAAAATGGTCATAAAAGATTTATGTTTAGCAACAAGATTGAAATGTGATAGCCATTCTTTTAAGCAAAACATTGTGTATATATGAATCACACTAGATGTTTACAGGCATACTTGACAAGTTGGAAAATGAAGATGACATGACCACATGCATTTGTTCCAATCAAGGAACCAGTTTCCTTGAATGGAACTCATATATGCCTTAATTGGACCACTAGAAATCGTTGTTGCCCTAATTGAGACAGATATGATTTATTGAATTTTATTACATTATTAAGCTCAAATAAGTGAATCATAATGTGTTTTAATTGTAAAAAATCATATTCAAAAGTCAAAATCTGAAAAAATACAAAAACTTTCATATGTAAAGTTTTTATAAATTTTGGTTATACAGGTCTACAAAACTTAACTAATTACTGAACGACTAGTCGACTACTTAACTGAAATAATTATTCTACCATGTAGTTACTAAAATCGTATTCGAAAGTATAGATTCCTCTGCGAACAGAAGGCTCTGGCAATACAGTTATTATGTCATTTTCATCGACATCATCTACTGCTTGATTCGGTGGCAAAGAATCGATAAAATTGTTGCTTCGCTGACTTCGCCTTAAAAAGTGAACTTCCCATTTACCGTCCTTTGAATTTAAATGTTCGTTATTGTTTTTATTAATTCAGCCAACATAAAACCTTGATTGACTTTTTGTGTTGTATTGCACAAGCCCCCATTTTCCAACTTCAAAATTATTTATAAGTATTCCATAATTCGGCTGTCCATCCTTACTTTCTTCAGCGTTGTCAAGTTCTCAAAATCAGATGAATCACTTTCCACTAATTTTATTTTTTTATTCTTAACTTTACTGACTTTGAGTATCGGTTTTATCAATTTCTTTTTTTTTTGAAACTATAACTTCGAGTTTTCGACATACTGCCCTTTTAATATTAACTGGCATTTTTTCCAATTCGTTCTTGTACGACGTACTCGTGACATCGGCTGCACGGGTTGTAAGGGTGAAACAGTGTTAACTGAGATGTGTTCTTGAGATATTGAATGATTATTCGATGATGATTTTAAGACTTGAACAAAGCCTTACATTTTGTTTTTTAATGTGAACGCTCATGAAACACTTTTGATTAGCGCTATCAGATTGCTCTTGGTAGTAACAATAATACATACACACCTGGACACGCATACTTGCAGGGTCTCGACAAGTACATCGTTGAGGACACGGAACAAGCGAGGAAGGATAAGTTGAAGTACCCCAGACCATTGAACATCATTGAGGGACCACTCATGAAGGTGATGGCGATGATGATGGAGATGATGATGAGGATGATGATGGTGGTGTTAGTGATGGTTGTGTTGGTAGATGCTGTTCATCGATGTTCTCTTTTATTCTCATATTTTTGTAATGAATATTGTCATCACACCCTAACCATATCCTCACCTAATCACAATTACCACCACTTTATCATTATCAATCATCATCATTGATATCATCCAAACCCCGTAATCAACATCATAATCATCACCACACCTTGTCATCATCATCATTATTATCCTGTAATCATCACCATCACCACAACTCCGTATTAATCATGATGAACAAAAAGGGCATGAGTGTCGTTGGGGATCTGTTTGGTTCTGGCAAGATGTTTCTACCCCAAGTCATCAAGTCTGCTAGAGTTATGAAGAAGGCGGTATGTTGATTGAATATTGATTGGTTGGTTGATTGGCTGGCTGGCTGGTTGGTAGCCTGTTTGGTTGGTTGACTGATTAGTGGGTTGGTTGATTGAGTGAGTGGGTGACACTGGGCAACAATAAAAATATTTTTTTTTTGTATCCTTAACTTTTTTAGTCAAGTTATACTAATTTTGGGGTAAGAAAAACGAAAATGCAAACAAAATTTTTTTTTTAGCTCTAGTTTCTGAGATATACAACAACAAAAAAATTTTTGGTTTTGCTTAATTACAAACATGCAATATGACATATAAATTTACTAATTTTATAATATTTAAAGTGCATTTAGTTTTTTCAATAAAGATTACATTCTAACAGTTTTAAACAATAAAAAATAATAAATATAAAGAATATTATGGAATATTTTCGCGCGATTGTGCCATTTTTGCTTTCCGCCTGTATGCGAGCTCTGGAGCATCCCTACATATAAACCAACATTAATCTGCAAGCATATCTTCATTCCAAGGACCATCATATCTTTTTTCCATTACAGAAATATCTTGGTGGGACCTTTCTCTATGTTCATCACTAACAGCTCCACAAAGTGGAAAGAGGTCTAAATGTGAGTTGAGGAAGTGAATCTTCAAGGACATGTTACGTCTTAGTTGATGGCATTTTTGCAGAAGTACTGTTAACAATTGGATGTAGTTATCATCTCTTCTGTGGCTTAAAAATCCACAAATCACTAATCACTCCCTTGAGAGATTCCCAAGTTTCTTTTTCTTGCCCCTTCAAAACTTCATCAAATGCAGGATCTTTCACAAGTTCATGTATCTATGGTCCAACAAAAATACCCTATTTAATTTTGCATCACTTAGTTTTGGAAATTTGTTTCTTAAATACTTAAAAGCCTGTCCATCTTTGTTCCTTTGACAAAATTTTTCATTAAACCCAGCTTAATGTGTATGGATGGAAGAAGTACATCTTTCAGCAACAAAATTTTTTTCACCTTTGTTGAGATTTCTTGCAGGCCAGTCCTTTTGTGTGTAATATGAAATTTTGTCTCTATGTCCCACATACACAAGAAGCAGCAGTATTTGGTATAGCCTAATTGCATTTCTAAAAGTGTGGCAATACTTTTAGGAATACTTTTAGGTCACCACAAATTTTCCATTTGTGTTCTTTGTAATTGATTGGGTTAAGAAGAGTTTTCATATTTAGGTAAGTTTCTTTCATGTGAGCTGCATGGCCAATAGGAACTGATGGAAAATGATTTCCATTGTGCAGTAATACAGCTTTCAAGCTTAGCTTTGATGAATCTATGAATAATCTCTATTCACTTGGATAATAGTTCAAATTGAGACAATACATTTATCCATAGATATCAACGCAAACAACAAGAAGATTTTGTTGCCGTTTTCTGAAATAGGAAACTTTAACATCAGATTGGAGAAGATTCCACTGTTTTAATCTAGACCCTAAAAGTTCTGCCATTTCCAGTGACAAGTCAAGATCTCGAACGAGGTCACTTAATTCTGCTTAACTCCATCTGTGTGGTGCATCATCTGTTGACACAAAATCAGAATCATTTGATGTGGAAGGCTGGCTTTCTTTTCCTTCTTCTATTTCATTTGTGCCTCCATAAATAAAGCATTATAGATAGCCAAGAGGCAAAATAAAAAAAGATAAAAAAAATTTTTCCAAAAAATAAAAATTTATACTCTTGAGGATAGAGTTTTGCTTTTGTCTTTTGAACTAGAACTAATATGTAATTTTTAATGTCATTTTCGGATTCAGCAGGTGGAAATACATAAGAAACAACTAATTTTGGTTCAGATACAAAAACACTGTTGGGCAGTGTGATTGAAGTTATGAGTGAATTATTGGGGTAATTAATGAATAAATGACAGTAAATAAAACGGATGGTTGACTAGATGGATGAATGAATGAAGGTAGGAAGAAACTACTGGATGATTGTTAATTGGTTGGCCTGCGGGTGAGTTGTTAAGCTATCTGATTGATTGTTTCGGATGTCAATAATAAAATCAAACCAGGCTGCATATTTTAATGAATGCAAAATTAATTATTAAATTGGTTTAAAAACTAATCAGATTAATAAATACACAATTAATTAATTAATTGTTGGATGAATCAATTAATTTTTGATGGAACGAATTATTATTGAGCTTATTGTATATTAATTAGTTTTTATTGGTTCTGTTGTTTATTCATTGTATTATTTATAATTTTCCATGCAGGTGGGCTACTTGATTCCATTCATGGAGGAGGAAAGGACTGAGAACATCAAACGAACTGGTGTTGATGACTTGGTCAGTCGGTCGGTCGGTCGGTTGTTGGCTGGTTGATTGGCTGTTGGTTGGTTGGTTGGTCGATTGGTTGGTTGATTGGTTGGTTGATTGGTTGGTTGATTGGTTAGTTAGCTGGCTGGCTGGTTTGTTGGTTGATTGGTTTGTTGCTCGATCGGTTTGTTGGTCTGCTAGATGTTTGGTTGACTGCTTGATTGGTTATCATACTTAGAGTTTAAGTACAGCGCCCATTTAAGTCCTCACGATTTTTCCACAGATGCGCTTTGATTCTTTTTCTAAAAACAGTCTCTTCAATTTCATTCATCTTCAGTTCCTTTGGCAATTTGTTCCACATCACTGAGTCGTACACCGCGAAGCTTCTTGAAGCCGTTGATAACTTAACCCGTGCTATTTGAAAATCATTGTTCCTAGAGGACCTTAAAATTCTCCCACCTTCCATCGGTCACTGAGGTTTTCTTGCACAAATCCATTAAGTATTTCGTTGCTGCACCTTTGACACATTTCTTCATCATCACCAAAACTTTGAAAACAGATCTCTCAATTGGCAGCCAATGAAATTCGTGAGGTATTGGCGTCACGTGATCATATTTCTTGACTTGTACTATAATAATCTTTGCCGCACGATTTAGTGGTTCCATGCTTGCTTGATAGGCCATCATTTACGAGATTACTCCAGAATTTTTCGTAACACTTGTCAATTAATGAATTAGCCTAATTTTTGACTCCACCTCTCATGACGTCCACCAATCAGAAAGGAGCGTACGTCGGTACCGTCGTCATAGCAACTGTGAAAGGTGATGTGCATGACATTGGCAAGAATATTGTTGCTGTGGTGCTGGGGTGCAACAATTATAGGTTTCTATTCGTTCAATAAATTAATTATTAATTAATTAATTAATGTTAAGTTGAACTATTCGAAATTTTTCATAAAAACACAAATCCTTCATGGAGATATGTCATCAGCCTTCATGCAAACAGTTTCAATTGATCAATGATTCAGGAGGATAATGAATGCTGTTCGATGTTTTTTAATGTTGCAAATTATAACAAATGCTGCTCTTATTAAGTTTTAATAGTAATAATAATAATTATTATTATAATTATTGTTATTTTTATCATGATGAAGAGTGGTTGACCTTGGGGTGATGACACCGTGTGAAAAGATCATTGAGTCAGTTATCAATGAAAATGCCGGTGAGTTTTTATTCTTTCGTCTGTTTTTCCTTCATTCAATTGTTCACTAACTTGTTCATCCATTTGTTCGTTCGTTCTTTCAGTCATTCTCTAAGCTTTTTTCTCTCTGATTATTCGTTCATTTGGTTGTTCACCAAGTTATTCATTCATTTGTTCGTGTTTCGTTAAGTTTACTTTCAATATATTCATTTATTTGTTTTATTTTTAACACTGTTTACAACAACAACAATAATAATAATAATAATAATAATAATGTAACAAATTATAATTGGATTTTATTTATAGACTTCGTCGGACTTTCCGGTCTGATAACGCCTTCATTGGACGAGATGATACACGTGGCTAAGGAGCTTGAGAGGCGGGGTTTGAAAATACCACTCCTGATTGGCGGAGCCACAACGTCCAAGTGAGTTTCTATTGGCTAGAAATTGTTGCTGTTGTTGTTTGCATTGATAATAGTTAATTTAAAAAGTTGATTAAAAACGAAAATATCTGAAATAAAGAATATTATAACATTTGTCACGATGAGCGCCAGCATTTAAACTAATTTCAATAAAGCAACATTCATAAAGATGAAATGAGTTATAATTAGAACGAACGAATGTGAATGAACTCGCAACTGCTGACCGCGCCACGCCAGGACGCACACTGCCGTCAAGATCGCTCCGAAGTATTCATCGCCCACCATCCACGTGCTCGATGCTTCCAAATCTGTCGTCGTGGTAGGCCTGCCATCCATTCTCTCCATAATTCATTCATTTACTCGTCCACCAATATTTCATTCAATCGCTCCGTATAACCTACATTATTATGCACCATTCATTTGTTTGTTTGTCCATCGGGTCTAACAGAGGATGGATTTGGTGTTTTAAACTGCCTGTGTTTTTTTGCTGTTCAGTAAATGAATTCTTTTCTTTGGGAATAAATAAATCAATCGATTTATTGATCTTGATGGATTGATTGACTGATTGATTGACTGACTGGTTGATTGATTGGCTGATTGATTGGCTGATTGATTGACTGATTGATTGGCTGATTGATTGACTGATTGATTGGCTGATAGATTGGCTGATTGATTGATTGACTGACTGATTAATTGATTGGCTGATTGATTGATTGATTGATTGATTGATTGATTGATTGATTGATTGATTGATTGATTGATTGATTGATTGATTGATTGATTGATTGATTGATTGATTGATTGATTGATTGATTGATTGATTGATTGATTGATTGATTGATTGATTGATTGATTGATTGATTGATTGATTGACTAACTTATTGATTGACTTATTGATTTATTGATTGACTTATTGATTGACTTATTGATTGATTAGCTGATTGATTGATTGATTGTCTGATGAAACAGTGTGGAGCCTTGAAGGATGCTACAAAGCGGGAAGAATTTATTGAGGAGGTCGCCGAAGAGTATGAAGATCTGAGAAACGATCATTATGAATCTTTGAAGGTTATCATGATTATGATGATAATGGTGGTGATGATTATGATTATGACGACATTGGTAATGATGATGACAATGATGAAGATGGTAATGATAGTTTGGGATGATGCAGAATATGATGCTAGAATTAGTCACAATAGAGATGACGATGATGAGGATTTTATTTGTATTCTTTAAAATTCGTTCTCCGTAAAAGGCAGAAAATGTTTCAGCATTCAAAAGATTAAAGGAATAATAATAATTAATGAAATGACATTGAATGATAAAGACGAATGAGAATTATGGAAAAAAACTGCCTGAATGTTGAAAGTAATTGATCAATCAAAATTAGGGTGGCCGTTTAATAGGAAAAAGAAACTGTTTATTAGGGAAAAACCAAACAGCACAGCATAACAAAGGTGTTGAAAGAAGACTAGTGGATGATTGAGATTGAAATAATGAATGATAGTTTTTTAATGTTTCCTTGTTTCCTTAAGAGTTGAAAAGAATGCACTGATTGTTCAGATGAGACTGAATGATTGATAAAAATAGAAAAAAAATGAATGAACAAATTGTTAAGATGACATTGCACATAAAAGAGATATTAGTGGAGAATGCAAAATTAACAAATAGAAATGATTCAGATTATATCATTGCGTAGATAAGGTAGGAGAGGAAAAGGAAATAGATTGAAAGAAAAAATAGATGAAAGAATGAATGATTAGTGATTGAAAAGTGAATTTCAATAAACAGTGTGTAACCAGCAGCTGTTCGTGGTGGAACTGAGTGGCAGGTTGAGGGTGGTGCCTGGAGAGGAATGCTTAATTTTGTGGTGATGAATAAGTGGTGAGGTCATATTTGCGTCTCTCTTGTCTTAAATGATAGCAGGATAACAATGAAAATAATCTTTAAAATTGAAAATCATTAGCTCGGGTGTTTGAGGTCACAGCAAGATTAGAATAGCACTGATGATCTTGGATACGTCTTTAAGCAGTTTCATTATCTGAGCTAACTCACTCACTATCTTTTATTGCTTTACTAAAATGTAAATAATTACATAGATTGTTGTAAAGTTTGTTCGTATTGTACGTGTGACGTTCGATCGGTTTCAAGTTTTATATTCGAACCAAGTCAATGTGGAATTAATTTTCATTAATAACAAGTAGGCGCGAGTCACAAGATTCCTATCGCCCGAGCAAACTGGACAGCGACTGATGTCACTCGTGTCTTTATTGATTAAATTTTTGTTCATCTCGTTGACAGGAACGTGTTTACATCTCATTGGAGGCAGCTAGGCAGAGGAAGTTGAAGATTAATTGGAAGATGGATCCACCAGTTTGTGAGTATTTGTGGTCGTGACGTGGTGAGGAAGACAGTTGGCATGATCTGGTGGAAGATGATGATAATTGTAAATCAGGGGTGGGCAAACGTTTTACTGTGAGGGCCACATTGAGAACTATTTTACCTTTGAAGGGCCGCATATGTATTTAAATAGCAAATTTTTTTGACCTGGGGGAGAATTTTTTCAAGATTTGTGGTTTTTTTTTCTTTGGTCATAATGTCTGACTGACGAACTAAGGCCTCGCTAGTTTGCCTACCTTAGTAGTAGATAGTGATTTGAAAAATAATGATATGCACACCATACAAATACATATAATACCTTAATGTTCTGCTGTCCAACCATCAAGGTCCTCCCTCATTTCTGGGCCGCAGAGATCTGATAAATTATGATCTGAAGAAGTTGCTGCCCTACATTGATTGGAAGGAATTTTTCAATGTCTGGCAGCTGAGAGGAAAGTATCCAAACAGGGGCTACCCGAAGATATTCAACGATCCAACTGTTGGTCAGCTGCTCCTGGTGGTGGTGGTAGTAGTGGGGATGATGGTGGCGTTTATAGTTTTTGCTGATGATTTTGTTACTGCTTTATCTTATTTACAAGAATTAAAGTTGTGTTGTGATTACATTTACAAGTTTTATTGTTCAACTAGCATTACAATTAAAAAATATTATAAGACATAATATTGCCTTACATTAATAAGTTTCAAGCAGTCGTTCATTTTGCACTGCCAAGTGAAACTGCTTCAACATTTGATTCAAACCAAACAACATTATTTTATTGACTTTAACAAATCAATCACTTAATTCAAGACCAACAAATAAATCAAGTAATTCACGTCAACAAATCGATCAGTCAATGAGACAACGCACCTTACATGGACAGGCAAAGAAGCAAAAAAGTTGTTCGATGATGCAGAGTTGATGCTGAACAACATCATCAACCAACAGTCTCTCCAATGTTCAGCCGTCATCGGCTTCTGGAGGGCTCAGAGTTCAGGAGATGACATCAAGCTGTTTGACTGCGTTGGTGATAACAATAACAAACAACATATCTCCACTTTGTACGGAATTAGACAACAAGTTAGCTAGCCATACACATATATATATATGTATATATATATGTGTGTGTGTATATATATATATATATATATATATATATATATATATGTAATATTTTTGGTTTATTTACTTGGTTAGTTAATTGTTAATTTATTTTATTATTTATTTATTCATTCATTTGTTTGTTTATTTACTATTATTATTTATTTCACCAAGTTTTTTTTATCGTGGTTGCGTCATCTCAGGCCGAGAAAGATTCCTCCTCAGAAGATTCTTACATGTGCCTTTCAGATTTTGTGGCTCCAGAAGACAGTGGCGTCCCTGACCACGTCGGCATGTTCGCCGTCAGCTGCCTCAACGTCGACAAATTAATTGCTCAGTTGGTTGAGGAATTTTTACATTTTTTGTAATTAAATTGCTAAAAAAAATGTATACGGTCAGTTAATAATAATTTTAAAATAATAATTTTAATAAATGCTTTGCTGTTTACAACTTTACGTCAACCTAATTTCTTCTGAAGTCAATTCATCATTTTATTATTTGATTTTGTAACATCTATTTATCTCGTCTAAAAATAATTTTTTGATATGTTCATAAATAAACTTGATTAGGTATGAGGCAGATTATGATGATTACCACGTCATCATGGTAAAAGCTCTGGCTGACAGACTGGCTGAGGTCTGCTATCATCTTTCATCATCATCTCAAATCGTTCATCACAAATATGTTTTCATCTTTCGTCACCAACTTGTACTCACTTTCAACGTAGTCTTATTATAATTGTCATCCATGACAATATCATCATTACCATCATCATTGTCGTCATCCTCACCACTGCAGGCATTTGCAGAGGAATTACACGAGCAGGTGCGGAAAGTTCATTGGGGTTATTGCAAGGATGAGAGCTTGCAAGCTAGGGAGCTCCATCAAATTAAGTACCAGGTGATGTGATGATGATGATGAGAATGTGATTGTGATTGTAATGAAGGTTGTGTTGGTAGAGCAATGATGATGATGATGACTCAACTGTTAATGATTACGTGACGTTATTACCATGGTAATAAAATGATGATGAACAAAATTTTTTATATCGCCCTCATCATTTTCATTATCCTAGTCATCATCTTGGAAATAATCATCAGTATTTTTATCGGTACCACCTGCTTCATTGTTATCATTTTTATCACGAGATTTTCATAATTTTGTAATTTATCACCATCCTCACCATCCTATCATTATCATTTCACTACAATCATCATAACCGTCGTCGTCATAACCATCATCATCATTATCATTACCAGGGCATTAGACCCGCCCCTGGCTATCCCAGCCAGCCAGACCACACTGAGAAGGAAACCATGTGGAACCTTTTGGAACCCCAACGATTGGGTAGGTGTCTTGTGGCTGAGGTGGATGTGATGACGACATGACTACCATAATGACGGTTGCTTAAAAGTGAAGGAGATGATGATGGCTTAGTAATAAATAATGAGGCTTGATGACATGATGATGGTGTTTGATGTTGATTATTGAAATGAGCATTGCTAGATAATTAACGTGACGATCGTGTTAGATTTTAAATGTCAGGTACCTCACCGCACGAATGTATGCACACATATATCTCACTACTGAGCAGCGACACGAGTTGAAGACGTTACTGGAGCGAGACAGGAGGATGGAAAAAATGTCAAAAGAGGGTTTTTTATACGGGAGAAAGGGAATTTTGGGAGGTGGGAGATAGTTCAGTTTTTTTCAAGGAATGGGTCAGGTTAATTAACGGTCAAGTTGGTGCCAGATATTATCTACGGGGTTTGATTTAAGGTACATGCAACGATTTCAAAATGAGTGGTATCAATTATGTAATTTCAAATAAAAACGTCAAGCTGGGTAAGATCGTTTAAAGCAAAGGTTAATGATGTTTATGGGCTAATTTGTGAGGGACTTGATGTACTGGTGCTTGCTGAGCCTTGACGTGGTACGGTTGATGATATTTCTGTCAATCTGGCCATGCCGCAAAGGTTTTGTTTCGTGGACTTTGTTAGGTAGCACAATATTGGTCATGGTGGATTGATTGTCTACTTCGGGCAGATTTTGGTGGGAAAAATAGATCTACCATTATTTACCGCATTCAAGGCAGTTTCAGTCAGATTGATAGCTAAAGGATATCAGTTCATTTTAGTGGCTGTATACTGACCGGGTTCAGTACAGGTGCTGCATCGTTCTTTGATGAACTAGTTTTAGTCCTTGAACATATCACAAGGATGAACTCAAGTGTTCTATTGAGGGGTGACTTCAATGTCCATGTTGAGAGAACTTATGATCCGAATACCATTCGTTTATATGAAATATTTGAGATGTTTCAGTTGGTTAACTTGACTTTCCTGTCGTGGACACAATAATTTTTCCAAGTGGAATATTTTCGGATCATAGCTATATACAAGTAGATTACTCAAACAGGTCGTAGGGTCAAGAGACGATTGGTCAGATATGGAAAAAACTAAATGAAGACGAATTCATAAAAGCAGTTCTAAACTCTTCCATTTTTGACCTTGCCGTAGTAATAATGTGGATAAAGAATTTTAATGATGAACTTAGGAATATCATTGACAGGCTTGTACTCGAATGTGTGAATTTTGACAGGGGTGAACGAGCTGCTCCTTGCATTGACGACGATTGTTTGATAACTAAACGCTGTTGCAGAAAGATGGAAAAGCCTTTTAGAAAATGCCCAATTGCTATAAATAGAAATAATTGGGTGACTTTGCTAAAGAATAAAGAAAGAATGTTTTCTGACAAACAAACACAATATAGGAATAACTTGATCAGGACAAAAAGCACTTTCAAGAATAGATGGCAAATTGTCAACAAGATTTTGTTTAGAAGTAAAAGTAGCAAATTGTCAGTTGGTGATGTTACGCTCACTTCTCAACAGTTTTTAAAATATTTTTAAGATAAAATAGAAAAGATTATTCAAACTACAAAAACCGCTTTCCGTCCTTTTTTAGAAGAAAGCCGAACACATGGCAGTTGTTTGTTTTTAGCGTTTCCGGTGATTTCTGAGGCTGAGTTGAAAGAAATCATTCTTTTCTTTTCATCAAAAACTGGTGCTCTTGATATTATGCCTACACATATCTTTTAAAGATACATAAATCTGTTCATCTGTTCTCTTACCAGCTTTATGAATTTTCGTTTGAAAATGGGTAAATTTTCCACAGCATGACATGGTTCTTCCGATTCTGAAAAAAAACTAGTTGTGATACCAATGAAATTTCGAATTACAGGCCGATATCCAACTCATCGTTTGTTTCCAAGATAATGGAACGAGTTGAAGAAAAATTTCTTTTACCGTAAAATGGTCTGATGCTGGTTCTACAATTAGGTTATTGAAGGTTCCATTCAACTGTGAAAGAAATGCTGCAGGTTTTATCAAGCTTGTTTGCTACGATGGACAATCAGAATATTACCTTGATGGCGTTCCTTGACGTGGCGTCTGCATTCGACTATGTTGACCACGGTACACTATTGAAGTGGTTACGTTTGAGCTGCGGGATTGTAGATGGTGCACGTGCATGTTTTGAGTCTTATTTGACAAACCGTACACTACAATTTACTTTTGAGAATGTGCTGTCTGATGCTTCAAAGATCAACTATGGAGTTCCACAGGTTTCAGTCGTGGGACCACTTCTGTTCATATAATATATACATCTGATGTGATCAAGATCATTGGTTTTCATAGATTCTTCTGCCTTGCCTTTGTTGATGATATTCAAGTGTCATTCAGAGTTGATGCATTTGCCAAATGTTTAGAGAAAGTTTGGGTGGGCATGGATGTCATGCAACTCATTAAATCTTAATCGATGCAAAACACAGATACTTCCGGTTGGCATCTGGCAGCAATTGTCGAAGCTTCGTATTAACTCTACTGAAGCTGGTAATGTTATTATACCATTCAGTCAAACAGCAACTAATTGGGGTGTTTTGCTTGACTGATGCGATCTTTCGATGAAAGATCGCATCAAAGCAATATTAATTTTGTGCAATATTTTCCTTAGAAATTTATATCGGATCGGACCTTGGTTGGATAGATCAATTATGGAAACATTGGTGCACGCTTTTATAATTTCTCTTTTGGACTATTGTAAGTGCTTGTTGTACAAATTTCTAGATAAATCAATTGATGTTCTTCAATCGATTCAGAATAGGGCTGCAAAGGTTAAAATTCGACCATGTAACTCCAATCCCGAATGAACTACATTGGTTGATGGTCGAAAAAAGAATAATTTTTAAAATTGGTGTGATTGTCTTCAAAGCATTTAATGGTCTAGCACCGGAATATTTAGTTGATAAGTTCACCAGGAAAGTATTTGCAACAGTTTCTCATCTCAGATCAAACGATAGTGTTTTGTTGGTGGTGCCGGTGACGAAATTACATACTGGTTATCGAAATATTGCTGTAACTTGCCTTCATCATTAAGAAGATTTGAACTGTTTTTTACATCGTGCAAAATAGAATTGAAAACATTCTATTTTCATAGTAGTTAAATTAAACTGTTTTTGATTTGTCACATACAGTTTATTTGAATTTGAGAGCGTCCGTGAGAATATTTAATGAGTGCTATATATAAATGATCTATGATATAAATGATATATATATATATATATATATATATATATATATATATATATATATCACATTCCATACATACTCATTTCCAAAATCAAATGAACATTCACATGTCAAAATCTACAAACGAATATAAAGACTTGATAACTGACGACAAACGTACCAACTCTCATCAAACTTACATGCCAACTGGTAACACACATACACACCATTTCACTGCGAACATACACATACTAACCATAAAAAATTATTAATAATCAACAAATATTTCGACAACGCAGTGTACTCGCCAAAATACAGCTTCATTCATGAAACACATTACTTTAAACGTATGCTAATGTAGTTGGACATCAATAGTCTAGGGGTGGTTGGTGTAGTAAAATTTTGTATTTTGTTGCTAGTCCAGTTGTAAATTATTCAGACGTCTATGATACACACCACCAGACACAACACTTACCATTAAAATGGCCACAAGCATCATCAAATGACGACAAACATACACACCTTCTCATATCAATCAAACACACCAACTTACCTCAAACACAGGTATCCACCTGACAGAATCCCTGGCCATGACACCAGCTGCATCAGTTAGTGGTTTGTACTTTGCACATGCCAAGTCTACGTACTTCAGTACTGGCAAAATTACGAAGGAGCAGGTTTGTCGATAGATTGGTTGATTTTTTCGTTAAATGATTGATTTATTTATTGCTTTATTAATGGCAGAATGATTGGTTGATTGTTTTAATTATCGACAAGTTCTCGTTTTAATAGTCATGAATAGGGTTGTTAGCAACGCTCCTCGGCGCAGCTTGAGGTCTAAGACAAGGCAGGTCGACTTGAAATTTCAAGCCGAACCAATCCAAGCTGAGAAAAAAGAAAGCTATTGGCAGCGATATTGTCGGAACAAAATTGAAAAACGAAGTTTCACCAACTAAATTTCGAGATTACAATGAAGTCAAAAAAATAAAAAAACCTATTTTTGGATTTTTAAATTACTTTTTTGGCTGCATCAGCTAGCCGCAGTTTCAACCAGTCAAGTTGTAGCTTGAATATCTTCATCATAAACCTAGTCAAATCCGCTTGTAACGCAAAGAAAAGCATAATTGGTCTTTTCAACTCGGCTCGGTTCAGCCCATATATTTTCATTATTCTTTTTTAAAATCATAATTTGTATATTTTTGTTTATCTAAATCTCACTTTGCATCCGATTTGACATATTACTTCCATTTTCACATACACTACCCTCTTCGCTGACACTACCATCAGTTTTTTGTTAACATCGCAAACAGGTTGAAGACTACTCACGCAGGAAAGGTACCCCATTCGCCAGCATTGAAAAATGGTTGCTGCCTGTGTTAGCATACGATCCGGATTAATTCATGTCGTAATCCAGATCATCTAAAGTCATATCGACAACAAGCATTATGTCCATTATTTAGGCAGTAAAATATTTAGGAGGAGAAATGATGAAAGTAATATCAATGTTGGAACATGTACAAGATATTGAACTAAAAAATATTTCAGCGCCCGTGTTGTCACTCAATCTGCTTTTTTATCATATCATTCTTAGACATATTATTGGTACGGATGTAAATTAGTTAGCTTCATTTTCGAACGAATTAGCGATAATTTAAATCTGCCAATCCATTCACACAACTGTGCTCATAATCAACATATCAGGTCTCACAGGCCCTTGTTTTATTCTTACCGCTGACGGCCGTGTCTACGCTTATAACCTTTTATGTTAATTCAGAACTATAAATGTGAATAGCATATGTTAATTAGCACTTAAATTTTGCTATGAGTTGTACAATAGTAATAGATAAGTGTTTATTATTATTATTATTATTATTATTAACGGGGTTTAAAGTGGTTCAGAAGACTATGGTCTGTGTAAGAACCACTACTAATTAGATCTCCTAATATCCTATCTGTCCGAGTTTGGCTTTGAAGCTGTTGAGTGAATTCGCAGAGACTGCATCATCGCTTAGCTCGTTCCAGGCGTTGACCACTCTACTACTGAAGAATCTGCTCTTTATTTTTCCATCCGAGTTTTTGAATATCTTAAATCAGTGTCCTCGTAGTTTATCACTGTTTACTAGCCTGAAAAATCTCGAGTATGGTGTTGTTTCCCTATTCGTGATCAATTTATATGTTTGGATTAGATCTCCTCTGCATCTTCTTTTTTTCAATGTCAAGTCGCATTTTTTCAATCTCTCATCGTATTCCATTTTTCCGATTCCTCTAATCATTCTTGTGGCTCTACGCTGTACTTTTTCCAAAACTTTCTTATCTTTCTGCATATATGGGCTCCATGCTTGAACACAGTACTCCAGATGAGGTCTGACCAGGGTTTTATATAGTTTCAGTATAATATGCTTCTCTCTGCTGACCATTGTTCTTCTTATAAATCCCAAGATCGTATTGGCTCTGGCCGCTGCAGCTGTACATTGTCTTGACGGTTTTGTGCTTTGATGAACAATGATTCCTAGATCCTTTTCTTCCTCTGTCGATCGTAGTTCTCTTTCACCAATTTTATATTCATATCTAGCGTTCTTCCTCCCTAAGTGCATAACTGCGCATTTGTCAACGTTGAAAAGCATTTGCCAGTCCTTGGACAAAATTATTTTTGCGTTCAAACCTGGTTTTCATGTGTTCTACCTTCTAGCGTAAAACGCTGCACTGCTACAATGTGAGCCACTCTGACTTCCAAATGTATTATGAATATCATCATAGTTTTAATTATAGTATTTTCTATCTAAAATATGCTTGGAAGGCACAAACAACACAGCAGTTACATGTGAATAGGCGTGAATCAAACGCATCAAAAGCATTGGAAGTGATAAATGGGGATTTCTTTGCTGTCGAGCTTGGCATCCGCAACATCGGGACCAGGCGCGTTAACCAACACACCATTTCACCTCTCATTCGTTTCTTACGACGAATTAATATAACATATTTGTAAAATTTAAATTTTGAAATTATTTTGACATTAATTAGATGGAATGAAAACGAAAAGAATATAATAATACATTATAATATAAAACTTATTCTACACAAAAAAATTCAAACACCAGCGATCGAATTATATTTTGTCAATGATCCTTAAACTGTAACAATATAGAACACATGATATAACGATAATAATGAAATTCATATACATGTTATTGTATGTACGCTTATATCGAGAGTAAATTGAATATATTCCATACATTTATGTATGTATGTAATTATTTATTGGGCTGAGTCCACTAATAATGTTATGTTATGGTATATGTAACAATAATATGGAATTTCTTATATATATTTATTGTCACATGTCTCAAGTTTGTATATATTGTTCTATGGCCGTGTGCGTATATAATAAATAAACGCAACATGAAATATTGAATCGTTGGTAGTTGAACGTTCGTGTGCTTCTTTGTTTGTGTTTATCATTTGGTGTTATTAGGATTTCTTTACATAGTTTGATCGTATTGTAATACGAAATTATATGTAGATTGTGTCTATTTTATTTTATATTTTTGTGATTAGCGCTAAACATTAATTTTGCTGTTGAGAATGGAACAACCACCGACGCCAAGTAAGACGTGGGGTTTGACGCCGTACGAGTTGCACCGGACGCCGCAAGAAGCAGTTACTGATAATACGGAGATTGCTGTGTCCCCGAGAAGTTTGCACAACGAACTCATGTGTCCAATTTGTTTGGATATGTTGAAGAACACGATGACCACTAAGGAGTGCTTGCATAGGTTATTCAATGGTTTTCGTTTTTAAAAATATTAATAATTAATAATAATATAATAATTTAGGATAATAATAACAATAAGTGAGACCAAAAAACACAGGAACTGAAGTTCAGAAATAATCAGCAGATGTTTAACTACTGCTTACTTGAGTATGTATGTGATATATGACAATGTTAAATAAATGATGTGCATTGGAAAAACATAGACTCTAAGCTTGGGTAATGTCCAAACACAATTTTGAGCCGACACATGTGCACTTTGGTTTTGCTGATGTTGACTTTGAATCCATGATCGTCCAGTCTGGTGTTCCAATTTTCAAACATCTGTGCTGCATTCGGGTCAGACGTGGCTGTTAAAATGATATCATCAGCATATATTAGATTCCAAATGCAATTTTTCCACTGTAGCAAGCATTTTATTGTTGTTAATATGAAAGCTGAACTAATAAGTGCAACAATGTTTTCACGAACATTTCCTTCATACTTGTCAGATGTATAAAAGCATGGTTGGTTTTATGTAGATAATAGAAAGAGGAGAGAAATCAGAGTGGATGCTTTCTTTTATTGACATTTTCAATCTGAAAATTTCATGTCAGAACTTGTTCTGTTTGGCATTTAATCTCAGTTTTCCCACCTCTTTTTACAAGTGGTATTGTAAATTAGTTTCCCTTTCATGTTGCTTAAAAAGAGTTGGGAGGCAGATCAATTTTATTGGGTTTTTACACACTCTGTTTATAAAATAATGTTCATCATATTTACCATTATAATGCTGATAAATATTTTTTGTGAACACTGATATAGTAGCTTTTGATTGGATATTTTGAAGGGGAAGTGAAATTTATTTGCCAAGTCATAATTCTATGCAAATGTGGAGGGCTAACACATCTATCCAACAATTTAATTTCTAAAATAATAAATGACAAAATTTTTGTATGAAACATATTTTATAAAATTTGATTTAAAGGTTCTGTCAGGAATGCATCATTACAGCCTTGAGAAGTGGTAACAAAGAATGTCCAACTTGTCGTAAAAAGTTGATTTCAAAGAGGTCGTTGAGGCCTGATCCAAACTTCGATGCTCTCATATCCAAAATCTACCCCTGTCGAGATGAATATGATGCCCACCAGGAACGTGTCCTGGCTAAGTTGAAGCAGACAATGAACCCTGCTGCCCTCACTCAAAACATTGAAGAAGGTTTAAGACAGCAGGCACTCAGTCGAAACCAGAGGAAGAAAGTGACTGATTCCGAATCAAATGACACACCCCGCAAACACCATGGCAACTCGGATGAATCTGCCGGTGAGAACTCGATGTGTGGAGACGTGTCTTCGGAGGGGCCATCGACTGGAAGACCCACAAACAAATCACCACCAGAGATTGAACTGGTCTTCAAGCCTCATCCATCTCATTCTGATTCAAATTCCACTCAAGTTAGGTACATCAAAACAACCTCAAATGCTTCAAGTTAGTTCTTTATTCACTATTTCATCCATTGTTCTGATACATTAAAAGCTGATTTTAAATTCATTTTTCATTTTGTTAACATTAAATTTTTCAAGTAGACAAAATTAAACTTCACAAAAAACCAAGTATTTTTCTTGATAATTTTTTACTCAACTTTTCTCCTGCCTTCCCATAGATGCAGGTTTGGGATCTTTAAATTACTCTTTCCATCTTTACAAGCTGATCTTTTGATTCTTAAAACTAAATTATGCATGTCTGTCCTCTTTTTTTTATGATTTGCCACAGTAGCATGTTGAAAGAATTTCAAAATTTTTGACCATCCAACAAAATGAACTTTTTAAAAAAGTATAAAATGATTTTTGAGTGAAATAATTTAAGACTTATTGCAAATTGCACACGACATTCAGTTGAACACCTATCAAAGTATTTAGCGATGAGAATTGCATTGGAGAAGCAACAGATCAATCCTGGTGCCAGTTAGTTCAACTTTCATTTCAAATTTCGTTTCAAGTTACTTTCATGATCTCTCATTATCAGTTCATCTTTGAAATGGTTTTTTATCACCACACTTGCATCTGTTTGCATTCGCCCACTTATCATTACATTTTCGTGTGCATACTAATTAACTTAATTAATTAGCTACACTACCATCTACAAAACATCGCCGGCACCACAAACCACCATCTTCACGAACCACCAACATCACAACCACCATCGTCACGAACAACCATCATTGCGAACCACCAACGTCACGAATCACCAGCAAAAACACAAAAACTTTCAATAACAAAAATTCACCACTCCCGCACAGGAATCCTTAGCAACCCTCCGAGTGACAAGTACAACATCTTCATCTCTACCAGCCTGGCCGAAGGCCTCCTTTTGCTACCTGGCAACCTTTCCCTGGCTCAAACATCAGAGAAATATTGGCACTCCACCAAACCTATGGTTCTTTATTATGCCCTGGACCTGCAAGCCTGCTGATGAATTATTATTATTAAGAAACGGTTTTATTGATGTTGTTCATTTGTATTGTAACTATGTTCATTCTAATGAGCCCAACGACGTGTTATCCTCGGATAAGTTTCATTCTGATTTAATAAAAGTTTTCATGACTTGACTTTGTCAGGCGGCACATTTAGATTAATTAATTATTAAAATATGGGCTGGGTGTTTAATTTTAAATGGCTTTTTTCGTTCACTTATTTCATCCGTTGACAATCTCAAACGTTTCCCATCAATGTTTCTGTCAAGATGGTCTCGTCATCTTCATCACCGCCACTTCATTATCCTTTACAATTAGTTATTGTAATTATTAGTATCATTATCGGCCATCAGCATTACTTATTTCATAATTGCTGATGCTGTTTTCATAAGATAATCAAATTCAATAAGAACAAATTAGCCTGTTTATTTCTTGTGAAATGTTATTGTTTCTTCTGAAAATTTTTCTATAAATGATACTCTGCAGTATTTATTCCCTGGTTTATCATCAAAATTATGTTTGCGTGTCCTCGGTCGATCGATATTGATCGGTACCGGTAAATAAAATTTCGGTAGCGATAAATAAAAAGTCGGTACCGGTAAATACAACAACAACAACACACGTTTAGACGACATTTTCCCCGAGATCGGAGGTTGCCGTTTGTCTACCTATGATGAAACCGAAATACCCCTCGACGCCATTCTGAGGGCCATTGTCACTTCTGTCATCATAAGTAATTTATTTGGCTAATTTTTACGCAGGACGACCTTCCTTACGCAACCACAGTTATAAGCGGTGGGTCTAGCCTTTGATGATCCAACATCACTCACAAGGCAGTGAGGGTCAGTTTAATGTCATAACCTGGACAGTACCGGTAAATGATTTTAAAATATCATTTTTTTGCCAATTTTCAATTTTGATGGTCAAACGTTTAAACTTTAAACGCATATGAGCACAAGTTCAATGAGCCACCGTATGTAACTAAATACAGATAAAGTCCATAAATACGTTGTGAGATGAAAATGTAAAATCGTGAACGCAGAGCTTTATTAGTAGTTCATCTATCAGTTCCAGCTGATGGGGTGTTAATTGCTCATAAATTCAAAGTAAATAGTGTAGTTACATCAATTTCAAAGCAACTAAGATGAGAATATCAGAAGGATGAGTTTGGCGTAACAAAATTATCATCGCTTCAAATCATTTTTTTATGCTTTTATAAAATATTAAATTCCCTCACTCTCTCTCTTTATATATATATATATATACAGCTATTTAAAAATGTTACAACATTGCGGGCTTTGTTCATTTTGCAATTTCAAATTGGACGATGCCTGCACTGCTGTGATATTTTAAAACAACGACATATCAGATAGTCTCGACCGCTGCAGTGGTCAAATTCTTACTTGTTGTTACCTTTATTATCTTGCTATATTTGTAATCTTGGAATTGTAAGCCATAGAGGATTGTAAAGAGATATCGAATCTATGCTTTGATTTCGCTGTGAAAACAAAGACACAAAGACGGAACAATACTATATAACTTTATAGATGATGGCACTTGATGCCAAAAAAAGCTTTTCTGTAGTAATAACGTTATTAATCATGTTTTGTCAAAAATGCCAAATATTTAAAGTTTTTTATTTAACCTTAATAAAATTCATCAAGTTGATAAAAGTCTCGTTAGAAAAATTGAGAAACTCTACTACAAGTTGGATAATGCCGAAAACGCAGTGATTTTTTATAAATAATTGTATATATATATATATATTTTATATCACTAAAGTACACACGTTGATTTATCCACACATGCATCATTTTGGGCCATCATTGTTTATTTGTTATTAGGATGATGATTTTCTAAAATAATTTATTCATCGGTAAATTATCTGTAATAAATCAGTAATTTATCGGTACATCAGTAATTCTTGATTTGGCAAATGATTCATTATCGATAATCGGTGATGAATAATTACTAAATCTCTCTATATAAATTAATATTCTCAGTACCTATGATGACCAGACTTAATTAAATTATCTGCTGCTTGTATTATAATACTGATCGGCTGTTATAGCAAGCGGTTGACAACATATAAATTAGAGATTGTATTGAATAATATTACTACAATATAGAATTAATATGACATAGAAATAATTAGTGTAGAATAAATCACCATAAAGCGGATTTAATTGGCGTAATATGGAAATAATTAACGTAGAATTAGCATAACATAAAATTAATTAATCAATGTAAAATTAAGGGATTAATATATAAGATTTAATTATCAAAAGTATGTATAATATAAGGAGGCTTGATGGCCTAGTGGAAGCGTCGTTTAACATGTACTCTCATACGATTTTTGTGGCTTGTCCTTGATTTCTCTGAACCTGGGAAGAGTGTAACATACCTTTCTTAAACCTCCTAATGTAATATAATGTTAATTAATGTGATGTATAAATAAATATTAAATAATTCGGCAAAATGACCGCATCACCAAATTGGCGTCAAATGCCGAGAGGGATCGCATTCGTATAGTTTGACAAATTTGGCCACGGTTCTCAAAAATGTAAAAACCAATACAATCGTTGGCTTGAGCTCTTAGTGTCTCTATTGGTTCCCCTGAGCAAGCGAAGCGTCGTGGTCACGATTTACCCCAAGTTACCCGCACACTCAACCTGTTTATAGTGCAGAGGTTAATGTTTAATGCATGATGCGCAGTCCTACAATTTTACAATCAGTCATAGCGTAAGCGCTATTGGCGTGTCGGAAAAATAAATTTACCCGTTCATCCTTCTCATATATTTTCTCTTCTTGTTTCATTCATCCAATTTTTATACGCCGATTGATTGATTCGCGCAAAAATTACTCATTCACATGTAGATTAGTGTTATGTTATAATATTTATCATTTGTAGCCATTTTATGTTGCACCGTCGCTTTTAGTTAAGACGAATTTATTTTCTGAACAAGGGGTATAAAAGATGGTTAACAAATTGAACGAACTTCACATAAAATTTGGCCAAAGCTGTTAATTAATTTGAATGAAGAAGGTGAATGTGGAAGGATTTATTAGAGAGTAAATACGGCAGGACCGTACGTACGTTTCAAGTGCTGGTGGCACATACGCCATTAAGGAAACATTTTACCATAGCCACTAAGGAAATATTTTACCAAAACACTGTGCTACATGATGCTCGTGAATTAATAATTGTAATAAAATCACCCTCATTATAATGTCAATAATAAAATGAATGACATTTGAATAGAAATGAACCGGTGATCAAAATCAATAACGCAATGGCGTGAACGGTTGAGTGATGATGAAGAAGAAGATGATGATGGCTAATATTAACAAGAGCTAGTTAGTTAGCATGTTGAAGAGTAGGTAATGATGGGAGGAGAATAAATTGTTAACCAAGTCTTTCAGGTTTGTGGTTGTGCTGTTGCTGATCCACGGCTTATTGCTAATGATGTGTTTGTTACTGATCTTTAATGCTTTTGGTTGAATGTTAAAAGATATCGCATAAATATTCATAAACATTAAATTCCTCATTACGGTGCCAAGAGAACCAAGCAAAAATTATAATGATTAGTTGCATATCATCAGTGATAATAATCGTGATCACCGTAACCCATTTAATACGGTCGTATATTATTAAGAATTGAGCAAAACATGGATTTGTACAGATGAAGGTAATGATGACGAATGATGAAAACGACGATGATGTAACGATGGGGACGATGATGATGATGATGTAATAATGGAGAGGATGAAGATTTAACGATAGTGTTATGATGATATGTGTTAATCAAACAATAGAAAGAAAAAGTTGTTAAATTCACGATGAGATGACGCTAACAGAAAGGTACATTAGAGTTATGCTGAGTTATTGTTAAACAATTTTCAAATTGTCTTTATTAATCCGTGCAAATAATAATAATAGAAATAATAATAACAAAAAGCAGCACTGAAAGTAAATGTGATTTCTTGGAAGAGTTCGTGGTTTATTGGGATTGTTCGATTGAACGACCTAGGTTGATGGAAGGAAACGACGATTGAATGAGTTGGCTGGTTTATTAAGTTGGATGGTTGATTGAAACGGTGGATTGGATTGTCTGGATTGGAGGGAGCAGTTAGTCCCCCTCGCTGTAAGTCTTCAGAAGATTGCGTGGTCGGTCGACCTGTGTGAGGCAATTTAACTTCTGTCATGTTGAACGTTTCAATTTGTTAAAATTCTTATTTTAAATTTAAATAATTGAAACAAGACTTCCAGAGTGCAACGAATGACATTTTAAGTGCCCCTAAAAAAACTATCAATGTCTCCATCATGAAAGGTGTTGCAGAACTTTTTCTAATTTCAAACTTGATGGTCGTTTGAAGCATGCAGCAAGACGAACACATTCGCACAATGTTCAATTAACAAAACAACATTTCTGATGAGCTGCTCAATTATGAAGGAAGAAAAAAAAGAAAAAAAGTTTGAATAAAACAAGCAAATAAGCATTAAACATATACAACAAGCAAACAAACCAACATTTAAAGAAGCAATCAAGCAAACAAACAAACAAGCAGACAGACAAACAAAAACAGACAAGCAAAAAGACAAACACAAAGGCGAACATACATCTAATCCCTTGAGCTCAGCGATGTGTAGAGCAAGAAGTTGCATGGGTATGATGGTGAGGATGCCCTGCAGACAGTCGACCTGTTGGGGCACCTGCAAGGATTTGTGTGCATGCTTCATCGTCTCATTATCACCCACGTTGCATATCACTATTGGCTGGCCCTGCAATCCACATGGTGGGGTGATGTTAATCAAAGTGGTGGTGAGGTATCATAATAGAGTGAAAGAAATAAACGTTAACTTTGAAAAGAAAAGATGATAAAGTGAGTTTTAACCGGGGATGCAGACATTTAATAAATGAAAACGTTCTGTGATACTTAGTAGAAATAATAAATGTTGAATGTCAGTTGAATGCAGATTTCGAAGGTACCAACGCGTCTTGCGGTAACTTGCTGCAGGGCGTTCATGCATTTCTGAAATTGTTATTCAACGAAACATTAAAAATATGGTGGACAGAGTTCACCAGTAACCCAACATCCCTGCCATCATTTGAAACAACAACAGCAACTACAACATGTTCCTAACACCATCATCCATTAGTACTAACATTATAGTCATTATCACCATCATAATCTTCCTCTCCCTTTTTTAATCATCCTTCTCTTTATTTTCACCATCATTGTTATCATCATCACATTACACTCATTCTAATCTAGTACAATCTTACTTACATACACGCACAAACGAACCAATAACCAAACAAAACAACCAAACAACTAACCAACCAACCAACCAAACAAACAACCAACCAAACACACACACACACACTCACAGGGTACACAGGATCCCTGGTGGCGATGATGATCATAGGCATGTCACTATCGACCAACGCCAGAGGACCATGCTTCAGCTCGCCAGCCATGATGCCCTCCGAGTGCATGTACGTCAGCTCCTTTATTTTCTAATGTTCCGATGGTGACGGTCAGATGATGATGTTGGTATTCATGAGGATGGTGAATGATGGTGACGAGTGATATGTACGATGATGGTGGGAGTAATGGAGGGTGAACGTACAGAATTTTTTTTTTTTTATTATTCTTTAAAAACCATGATGTAGAATGATGATGACGACGAACCAGCGCTCCTTCGAGACATGTTGCGTAATTGTAACCTCTTCCCATCACCAACAAACTCTTCTTGTCCACATGTTCCCGCGCTAGCTGCTCTATCTGGACGTCCATTTTCAAGACTTCTGAGATCTGTCCTGTATGTGTGCATGTGTGTGTGTGCGTGTGCGTGAGGTGTGTGCATGCGTGCGTGCGTGTGTGGGAACATCTGATGTATGTACGATGTTGAAAGTGATGTGGTGATTGATGGTGACATGTCTATGATCATGGCGATGTCAAATCTTTTGATTTATAAGATAACTTGTCAACCAACCAACCATCCAACCAACCAACCAAACTAACCAACCAACCAACCTACTAATCAACCATCCAACCAACTAACCAACCAACTAACCAACCTACCAACCAATTAACCAACCAACCAGCCAACCAACCAATTATCCAACCAACCAAACAACCAACCAACCAATTAACCAGCCAACAAGCCAGCCAGCCAACCAACCAACCAACCAACCAGGTAACTTCTTGAGTCCATCAATGATTTCATTCCTCCTCGGAGTCTTACTGATACGATCCTGGCTCATGACCAGAGCAAAGAGGACCAGAGCAATGTACTGACTCGTGTAAGCCTGGTAGCGTCAACCAGCGATCAGTTAATCGATTGATAAGTTAGTTGATTGAAAGACAAGTCAGCCGGTTAAAATATTAATTTACAATAGCATGAGAGTACACAAAAAATCTAATCTAGATAAAAAAAAGCAAAGCATTGAAAGAAAGAGGAGCCGCACCTAACCTTGGTACTGGCCACTCCAATCTCAGGTCCAGCGTTGATGTGGATGCCACAGTGCGACTCCCTGCAGATGCTGCTACTCGCCGTGTTGGTCACTCCGAGGACGAGAGCGCCTCGCTGCTTGCAGTACCTCAGTGCCAGCAACGTGTCTGCAGTCTCACCTGTTGCGGTGGGTGGTTGGTGGTGTGTGTTGCAGTTGGACTGTTGTGGGCGTGTTGCTGGGTGTGCTGTTGTTGGGCCCAACGTTGTCGTAACAAATTAATAAAACCATGTGCTGTTTGACCAGTAATAAATCAGTTAATGGTGTCGGCTGCAAAGCAGTTCGATATCCAACCAACGAACAACCGACCTGAACACTGATTGAACCAATAAGCATATGAAACGATGAATAATTAACCAATGAACAAGCATCACATTCGCAAAATCAACCTGATTGGCTAAGGAAGATGCATACGTCATCCCTGAAGATGGGAGTGTTCCTGTCCAGGAAGTCACTAGCCAGGTCCACCATGACACTCAGTTCCGTCAGCTCCTCGATCAGCTGACGAGTCTAACCATGAAATAATGTTGTCAACAGTGACGATGACAAGTAGAAAAGTGAACAATGACATAGAAATTGCATTACAAAACTAGCTAATTTTAAGGTTTAAATTATTAGCCAAACGTTTTCAAAACGATGCATCATAATCATTCATTAAACTATTATTACTAGTAAGGAATGCGACTGTGGTTCCGAATACGCAATCGAACCCGAGTCCTGCGATCCGTCCGAATCCAATACTTGGATACAGATTCAGATAACAGGAATCTTGATTACTTGGACTTTTTCAACTCCTATTTATTTTACTTTTTGCACAAACCTACCATCATCACGATCACATCGCCATCACTTGTAATCATCACAATCATCATTACCACCAGCACCATAGCACCAGCCACTAACAGCCACGGCGCTATGGAAGCTGGTACCACAGGCGATGATGAGAAGCCTCCTGCACCTGCCTATCTCTGCAATGTACGACTTGATACCTCCCAATGTCACCTGGGTCATTAATGATAATCAAACAATAACATTTTTATTTCTATCCACAAAGTAACAATCATGGTAACGACAAAAGTTCAACATCATAAAGGTCTAAATTCAAGGCTATGGAGCTAGATTGAGTAGAAAGTATGTAGCGGGATGTCTGGTGTAAAGATCAAAGGAACCTGATGATTTTCAAAGTTGACCCTCCCCCGCATCGTGTTCTCAACAGATTCTGGCTGCTCATATATCTCCTTCTTCAGGAATGAACTAAAGCCACCTGCAAACAATATAATCGTGTTCCATTCATCAACATCCAACAAACAACAGGATCATGTTCCATTCGACAAACAATGGGATCGGGTTCCGTTTGTAGTGTATTATAGGAATGCCAGACGTTTCGCCTTCTTGAGTTTTCGCCCTCAAAACGAATAGCCCTCATCTTCAGCAAGACGATTCAACCGCATGTGTTTGTGCGTATATGTTCACGTGTTTGTGTGAATATATTAATGTGTTTGTGGGTATCTGTGTATGTGTTTGTGGGTATCTGTGTATATGTTTGTGGGTTTCTGTGTATGTATTAATGTTTCTGTGTATATATATACTTGTATGTTTGTGTATCAGCGTGTACTTTTTTTTATCTGTTTGTGTTTGCGCGTTCATATAATATACGGGACATAATTTGAATGCTGATGTTCGCAGAATTTTGCATAGTTGTCAAATTTCGGTTAACGTATTTTGTGTGTGTGTGTGTGTGTGATAGTAAGGTGATGATGATGTTGATTTAAGCGCCTAGATAAATTAGATAAGGGGAGGTAATCAAAGGTTAAAGGTTACTCTCTCTTGCGCATGCTTCAGAGGTTTCAACGACAAACACACACAGCTTATATGAATACGCGTGCAAACCACGCATCATACACATTGCATATGATAGACGGGAATCTCTTTGTATTCGAACCCAGTCACTGCAGCAGCAAGACCAGGCGCCTTTAACCATTGAGCCATCACGCCGCCCAAACAAAGAATTTATTTGTTTGCTTATTAAATAATAATAATAATAATTTGATTAAAATCGTTATTATTATTATTGAAATGTTGGTAAGAGTGGTATGTTAGCAGACTCAATATAATGTTAACAAGGTTCGTTTGGGTCTAGTTTATTATCATTATCATTATTACTATTAACATCCTTTTATTATTTTATGAAAAATTCTATATACTAGTTTAACTTTTACCATCATCATCATCATCATCGTATTAAACTATTGCTTAATGTTTTCTATCACCATCACTACACGCATTTGCATCATTTCATTCGTCATAATCATTATCATCATCACCATTGTTAAAAAATCACCATAATCCCCATCTTCATCATAATCATCACCATCATTATCATCATCACGATCATCACCATCATTATCATCATCACCGTCATCGCGATCACTATCATCACCGTTATTCAATTTTTACGCTGTTACTCAATCTTTACAATCTCCATCAATGATATCATGATCATCATCGTCATAATCGTTATCAGCACTGCAGCCATTGATATCATCATTATCATTATTACTCAAGTATGGAACATCATCATCATAATTATCATCACCAGAACCCTTTATCATCATAATAATAATCATCAGTGGTAAGTAATGATAATGCAGTTGATGATTGCATAGTGGTATCACTCACCCCGGTCAAAGCAAATTGACTGTAAACTGATTGCCGTGCTGAGTTGTGCTCATCAAACGAACGCAAAACCAACAAATATCATTAAATAAACAAATACTATGACGTTTAAATTTATTGTATGAGTTTTTTGATACAGTGCCAAATAGTGAAAATCTGTATGTAAATAAAACCAATTTCAAATAATATTATAGAGTACAAGCGTTAAACTTATGGTGGGCGAATCGTCTTCAGCGCGGGCGAACGTCTTCAGCGCGAAGGTGGCAGGAGGCGAAACGCCCTGCCACCCTATTATATTATAAAGCAGCATATCCACAAACAGCCTATATATATGCCTATATATATTATGAAATGATAATAATAATAACGATAATAATAACAATAATAATAATAATAATAATCAGCATCGGCGTGCCAACCTTTAGAATGATGTTGTATATCCATCTTGAGGTCGGACACTTGAGTACTGGTGGCCATGCCAGAGGAGGTGTGGTCAGCATGTATGCGGTGGATGGTCAGTTGACCTCCACGCACTGCTGCCACATCACCATCTTCCAGGTAGATCACCTGAGATGTGTGGCTCACAATGGCCCTGTGGGTTACCATCACATCCACCAATCACAACATCTCATCCACCTATCACATCATCACATTCACCAATCACAATATCGCATAAACCAATCATATAATCACATCCTGCAAAACCAACCCAGCATCAGAAGAGATGAAGAACTCGATTTCCTTGTTATCCCCCATGGGCGCCAGGGTCGAAAGGTCATTGTTTGGCTTGTTGTAGGTCAAGGTCAAGCATGCAAAGTGGTTTGAGCCTCTCAGTTCTGTGAAAATTGTGCCACGTTAATGTACAGTTATGAAGGGTTGATCATTTGGTAAGCAGCCCATATAGAAATGTTATACTGATATGATAATAAAAATGTTTCGAAGCTTCATTGTTAGCAATGGGATGGTGAAGAATCAAGTTATGTATCAATTGAAAAATAAGTAAACTGATGCATTACATGAAACTTATGAATGTGGTTTGATGCAGTACGAACTGACGATACAAAAACAAGTTACAACGAAACTTGTATAAAAGCGGTAGTGGAAACAATGGCCAAACAAAGGATGCAATTAGAAGGTTAATGTACATTTTGATCCAGAAAATTATGTTAGAGAATAAAGAATGGGAGTAAATTGGTTGAATGTTTCAAAGAAATGTTGCAGAAAAAAAATTATTCAATAAAATACAACATTCTGAATGACAACTGGACAAATCGTCTGCTGTGTTGTGATGTAGATTTGTATCAGTAGCCTGTAGATTCGCAAATAACTATTAGGGTTGTTGTGCTGAAGACACTCCACCACGTTTTCTGGCTACCTCTATGATGCTATATAAAAATCCAAGAAGGTAATAAAGCAGAGGCCCCCGAAAAATGGACAGGTCAGTCAGTCAGTACATGTCTATCGTAAATGTTGACGAACAACTCAACAAGGAGGTCCAGCTGGTCCAACTTAACACATCAAGAAATAAATATGAGTAGCTCTGCATTAGTTAAGTTAGCTCATGAGATTATGAACAGAACCTCAGTGAAAATAAATATAAGCATTAAGTTCATACACGCCATCTGAAAAAAGAGGATGCTAAATGTGGAAGCATGCATCTCATTATAGTGGGGTAGGTCGAAATGTACCAGCAGCCGAATATAAGATTACACTTCAAATATCTAATGCAATTGGAAAGCATATAATAAATATATTAACAATGGAAGGAAAATTTAAAAAGCAATCTCACCAAAGAAATAAATTAAGATAATTTTTTGGTCGTTCAATGAAGTCATATGAAATGCATATTAAATAAGCTTGCAAGTTTGAAATATTGAAATATGGTAATAAAATTATAGCTTCTTCACCGTAAAAAATCTTCTATGTTGAATGAAATTAGTGAAAGTTTAAATTAATTAATTAATTAAATATCTAACAACGACATGTACAGTGGCGGATCTAGGAGGGGGCCTGTTTTCATGTGTAAAATCCATCAAAATTGAATGTGATAAGCAAAAAAGGTCGCCAGCCGCACTGCCACAAATTTTGGCCGGCCCGTGAAAATTTAAACATTTTCAAACTTTCGGCCCACTCGTCTAAATCCAGCACTGGATTTCTATGCAACTGTGTCACAAATCTATAAAGTATTGTTATAATGAAATGAGAAACTATAGCATTAGTAAAGTTAGGCATATAGTTATATATTTTTGTCAGTGACAAATGACGAATAATTTTCTTAAATATAGACAAACTCACTTATATAATAAATGATCATAAAGAAATAGAAATTAATTTATGAAAATATAAACAGCTGCAATACCTCTCTGCTTGTAGCTCCAATCTATGGCGTATTATAAATCAAATAAAGTTAAAACCTAACAGAAAAAATTAATAATTGATGTGAGTGATGTACCAGTAAATCAAAAGTGGTTTTCGTTACTCTGTGTGTGTACGTGTGCATGTATGTATGCATGTACGTGTGTGTATATGTGTAAGTACGAACGTGTATGTATATATGTGTGTATGTATGTTTGTGTGTATGTATATATGTGTGTGTGTGTAGTTGTGTGTGTATGTGTGTGTGGATGTACACGTGTGTGTGTGTATGTATATGTGTGTATGTACACGTGTGTGTGAGTGTGTGTGAGCAGACAACTAACAAAAGCAAAATATTAGGTTGGTGACAGATGGTGGATGATAAGCTTATCATGGAACATTTTATGAGCACCAATGATAGATGGATGGATAGATAGATAGATAGATAGATAGATAGATAAATAGATAGATAGATAGATAGATAGATAGATAGATAGATAGGTAGGTAGATAGATAGATAGATAGATAGATAGATAGATAGATAGATAGATAGATAGATAGATAGATAGATAGATAGATAGATAGATAGATAGATAGATAGATAGATAGATAGGGTGCTGTACAAATAGTATCACCATTATTATTACAATATTACAAATAGCATCACTATTTGTTGTCATTATGATTAATTTAAAATATATACGTAGAGTAACAGTGCAGATGTGAATGAAACGTAAAAATTGAGTGTGACCGACTTGAAATAAGGAAGTTAGGACTAACAGAATCAAATAGAGTAGATCTTTCTAAAAATACCTAACGCATCTCTATGGAAAGTATCAAAAAATCACCCGACCAAATAACTCAAAAAAGAAATAAACAGAAAAGCAGATAGAACACAAAAGAGGTTAGCTGTCAAACTTCCTGATCAGACGAGCAATTGTTACAACTGTTACACATGAAGAAAGAATTAAACGCTTGCATTGCTTCTAACTGCTTCAGATAACTTCAGACGTTACTACATAACTATACTTGCTAGAAGGTAAGCATTGATACAACATGCATTGTGAGGTGTGAATGAATGAATGAATGAATGAATGAATGAATGAATGAATGAGATCAAACCAGCATGGCGTAACATGCACGCACGAGCACGAACAGATAAACCAGCTACCACATGCAGATATCAAGCAGGAAGATCGTACATTTTTTTGTATGTATTTGGAATACTTAACATACAAAGTGTACATTTGAAAAACGCCTAAGCAGAAGGCTTTTGTGTCATAACCACATGTTCTTGTCAGCCCACCTACCTACGTGCTTTTCTACATGCATACTTAAAATAAACATTGAAATTACGTACATATATGTGTTTAGCAAATAAATTTCTGCAAACGTGATAGCGATGCGAGACCAACCTTTGCTGTAGACGATTGGAAACCTATCAGTGGCCAGCCTCGTCTTGCTCCTCACACCAATCACCAGCGGGCTGCCTCGTCTTATCATGGTTTTATGTCGAACATTAATTAGCATAAATTAACATAAAGTAACCTTTACCCTGAACATGAATATTAATTAGCCTCAATTAATGTTTAACAACATAAAAACATTCGTCAACGTACATCAGCATAAATTAGCATACCTGAACTAACCTACAACCATTAATTAACATAAATTAACATAAATTAACATGAATTAGCAAACACAGACCAACCTACAAACAACGACCTCTCCAGGGTAGTGCACGCTCTTAAACACCAATGCAAACGCTCCCTCCTTTGTGTTAATAAAAAAAAAATTTATTAATACTTTCATCCAACTTGAATCACCCAACTTGCGACGATATGAAATAGATGATATTTAACAAATACATCGTGAAAAATGCTATCACAACAATCATCACTTCCAGAAACATCCAGGACGGGCCAGGTGGAAGGCAGGGCGCCAGAGGTCTCCACAAAATAGGATCTCCAAATGATGGAACTATTACGATTCATCATCAACCGAGAATGATTTTTTTTCGAATTTGCACCAATAAAATACACTGGCTTCCACAAAAGAGTTCAAACAAATATGGAATAAGGAAAAAAAGATCGCAATTTTCTTTAAAAACCATTTTGATGTTGAAAATATAAAATTAATTAAGTAATTATAGGCATCCACCTCTCCAAAGCCAGCCCTGCAAACATCAATGGATAGCCATTAACAAGGGTGTAATTAACATTACCATCGAGAACATTATTGTTATAATCATCTTCAAAACCACCATCACCACCATCACCATCAACACCATTTAGCCAACAACAACATCATCCTTATCAACACCAACTATTCACCAGCAACATCATCATCAACACCACCCCCACCACCCAACCAAACCCACCACCCAACCAACCAACCAGGTGAGGCAGGATTCCTTCAACGAGTTCAGAGAAGGAAGGAGGTTGTTGTTTGTTCGCATCGTAGAGGTGCTTCAACAACTTCACGATGGCCTCTGTATCTGTCTCGCTTTCAAACGTCGCTCCCTTCGATAACTTATCCATTTGATGGATGGATAGATGGAAAGATTGATGGATGGATAGATTGATTGATGGATGGATGGATGGAAAGATTGATAAATGGATGGATGACTTGAATGGATGTATGGATGGCTTGAATGGATTGATGGATGAATAAATTGATAAATAGATTGAAAAATGGATTTGTAGAAAATGTATGAATCAACTAGCTGTTAGAAATATACAACAACAACAACACACGTTTAGACGACATTTTCCCCGAGATCGGGGGTTGCCGTTTGGCTACCTATGATGAAACCGAAATACCCCTCGACGTCATCTACATCCGTCACTCGCCTCAGTATCACGCAACCCCGCTTTCATCCTGTTCTTCTCCACCTGCTCTCTCCATCCCAATCGCGGACGACCCCTTCCTACCACTCCTTCAACCTCGAACTCCAACGCTCGCCTAATCCCGACCCTTTCATCCCTTCTCAACACATGTCCATACCACCGCAATCTCGATCTCCTTATCAATGTCACAATGTCCTCATTCAGTCCCATCATCGACATCAGCTCTGTACTACTCCTTCTATCCTTCACTTTAACCCCACACATCATCCTCACCATAGCTCTTTCAGCCATCTGCAGTACACTTTCTTCCTCTCTCCTCAACACCCAAGTTTCACCACCATATACCATCGCTGCTCTCACACATGCTTTATATACCCTCCCTTTCATCTTCACTGACCATTTCTTTCCACACAATACCCCACCCAGTTCCCTAAATTTCATCCATACCACACGAACTCTAGCCGTAACTGCGCTCAAACATCCTCCATCCGCGTTCAGCTTATCCCCTAAGTAAACAAAGCTTTCCACTCTTTCAATACCACCACTCAACCCCGTCCTTGCGTCCGTCCTATTAATCACACCATGAACACATTTCTTACATTTGAACGTGCCTTCCACCTTTTTCAGTGCCCCCCTCACACCACTACATGACTTATGCACCCATTTCTGACATCCTATACACAATACCGAGTTAGCCTTCACTCTCCTGTCACATACTCCACAGGGGTCTATTTTACTTATCACTCGCTCCCCACCTTCCCCACTCACCATTACCTTCGTCTTACCAATATTAACTTTTAATCCTTTCTTTTCAATAACACTTTTCTATCTGTCAAATTTTAACTGCAATTCTTCCATGCTATCAGCCATCAAGACTAAATCATCTGCATACAAAATCTCAAATAACAACCCCTTCATTATGTTTCCACACACAACATCCATCACAATTGCAAACAGAAACGGTGATAACACTGATCCTTGATGCACTCCTAACTTAACACTAAAAGCATCCCCCTTCCAACCCTCACCTTTGTCTTTGCCCCTTCATACAGCTGCATCACAGCTTTAACAAGTCTCTCATTCACTCCTTTCTTCCTCAACGCCCATTCAATGACCTTCCTCGGTACTCGATCAAAACCTTTTCTAGATCCACAAAACACATGTACAATTTTCGTTTCTTCTTTCTATAATTCTCCTGCAACATTCTCACCATGAACAGCGCATCCACCGTTCCCCTACCAGGCATAAACCCACACTGCATTTCCTTAACTGTCACCATATTTCTCAACCTCCTCTCAAGCACCCTCTCCACTACCTTCATTCCGTGCTCTAGCAATTTCACACCCCTATATGACCCACAATATAGGGGTGTTAGAAATATAGAAATGGGATGGGTAAATAATGGAAAACAATAAATAATTCAAATAAAATAAGAAAATTAATAAATCAATAGGCTGAAAATGGATAGATAGATCCATGTATTGAAGGATGGATGGATAGGTAGATAGATAGATGGATGGATAGGTAGACAGATGGATGGATGGATAGGTAGACAGATGGATGGATAGGTAGACATATGGATGAATAGATGAACTGATTGCTAGTTAGATTGATCAAAGATAGAAAATATATTCAAAGTGACTCAAAGATGCACTAACAAATGAAATGAAGTAACAATGAACCATAGATAAATTTGGTGAAAAAATTAAAAATACTGACCAGGAAAGTTTTGAGGTCTTTGTAGTTGGTGATGATGCCATTGTGAACCACAACAAATTCTGCCCATCAATTGTGACAATGATCACATTACAACATATGGTTAATATAATGATGACAACAATCACAGTAATGATGTGATGGATGATTTGATGAGAAAAGGAGCTTGCATTATGTATTGCTGAATGAACTGAGAAAATGTTTAATCACATCAGAAAGAACCTATAATATAACAACATATCTAATATAAGATGGGCATTCATTCAAATGCAAAATAATGTTTCAAACCATGTTAATTTGTGCAAAAGAATGATGACATTTCTGGATCTCTTAGTCACAAGTTGCTAATGATTTTATAAAACAACACCTAAAACTTTACAAAACTTCAGCTAGATGGAAAAAAATTAAAACACATTTATTGTTAATATTTAAATTTATTTACCAGATCACTCCATACTAGACCACTTCATCATTGCCCGTGACAATTACATAACCTATCAGCCAGTGCATGTATTAATTTATTTTATCAACTTATTCAACAATTTAATTGTACACAAAGAGCGGGGAACAAAGTGATCATGTATGAATGATGATGTTGGGTGGGAGGGAACAAAATGTTCTTCATTTGTTTTCAGTTCTATTGCTGATGAAATGAAAAAATCCTCCTAGAAGAAATTTGACTTAGTTGGAAAGGAATTAAATTATTTCCCGCATGGAGCACGGTGATAGTTGAATAGCGCGGACAACATTATTGCATCAGTGATCATAACAAAACCTGACACCAAACAACACCACGCAATGCAACACAGTTATACAACACCATAACACACAACACCACACAATGCAACAGAGCTATGCAACACCACAACACCATGCAATAGAGCACAACTTTACACCACCCAACACAACACAACTATGCCACACAATTTAACACAACAACACAATACAAAATGACACACAACAACAGCAACAAAAAACCCCACACATTTCAACACAGCAACAACAACAAACCAGCATTTGGATCAGATCTGTGTGGGTGGGCGTTGGCATTGGAAGGTTCACCATGCGTGGCCCACCTGGTGTGAGCCAAGCCGACGTGCCTTGTCACCAGGTTTGACAGGTCGGATGATAAACTGTACTCTGTTGTAATAAATCATTCAAGTCCTTAGGTAACTTGCTTGAATAGTTATCATTTTATTTATCACATTCTTTATAAGCAATTAAAATTAAGTGGTAAAAGCAGAGAACAATGCAGAAACACAAATAAAATTAATGAAAATAACCTTTTATCTTTTTTTCCAGCAAACTTAATTTACCAGCAATCTTGATCACATCAATTCCTTTCTCTGATTTTCCATCGATGGCAATTCCTGATTGAAAATTTTTGTTGTAAATTAACATAAGTAAATCAAAAAACATTATTATGAAAATATAAAATAAATTAATACAAATACTATCATATTATAAAGAACATAAAATGAAAATAGTTTATAATTTATAAGACAAGAATGAAATAAAATAATAGCTGACCAACGGAATCGTAGCCCTTGTTCTCCAAATGTTTCAACCCGTCAAGAAGCACTTGAACTATTTCTTGGCGGGATTTTGGAGTCAAATGATTCAAATAAGCGAAGATTCCTGAACAGTTTTAAAAAAATAATAATCCACCATCCCATTACATTACAAAAAAATTTTGTATATTAATATTAATATTATATTAATATATATTTTTAAGATTAATATTAAGTTTAATCTTTAAATTAATAAAAGTAAAAATTGACATAAATGCAAATAATATAGTTATATATAATATAGTATATATATATAATAGGTATATAATATATTTATACTTTTATTTTTATCACCTTGCCTTAATTGTCAAAATAAATTTAATAGTTAATTTAATTGAAACATTGAATTTGATTGAAACTGAATCATATTTTATTTAATTTGTAATCAAGGTAAAAATAAAAAACCAAAAAAAAAACAAACCACACATATCGGCCAAGAAGAATATCGGTTTGAATGAAATGAATAGGAAATGAAATAATTAAATTAAAATTATACAATGAATTGTCACAGAAACTACAGCTCAGAGTCAGACTGAAAGATAAATAATTAAATAAAAATTTTTAATAACAGAATAACACGGACGTTATCTGGCAGGTTATATATCTTACTTAAACGTACTTACTAACTTATTTTGGATTTATTTGTTATTCTTATTGTTAGTTTGTTGGTTTTGTTGTGATGTTGCGCCGCTGTGCGCTCACTCAGGTTGGAAGCAGTGAGCCGTGAAACGTATGATAACGTTAAGTAATGGAGGAACCTTTCTTTGAAGTTAGATCAATATCGCACCATACACTAAGATCATTTTTCAATTTTAAGAATCAAAAATATGCCAATAATCGGAATAATTTTATATATAAACTTTTATTGTTATAAAATTAATTAATACAAATTAAATTAGTGACAAATATTTGTTCAATTTTTTACTTAAAAATTGAATAAAAAAATAGTTTAATAGTTGCAAAATGCACTGATTTCATCACTAATTAAATTATTTATTTATATTTTTGTCTAATAATAGTGTGAAAAATAATTTCTAAAAAAAGGTAAGAAAAAGTCGAAGCGAATGTTCAGTAAAAAAAGTTCGATATTGTTTAGGGCAGACAAAGATATTCAAAGGTCCAACCAGGGATTGAAACGAATTTTTGCATTGCTAACGAGCGCGGCTTTTTTGAAATTGAATGTTGCAGGCCTCCTTGCATGAACTTTGAATTTTCAGTTAGCAGGCAGTTGCTTTCTATTTCATCTCGTTTATTTATAACCATGAAAGTCTTCTACATTGACTAATCATATATTTTTTTATTTCAACTATTAGTTTTAAGATGAAACTTGGGGACAGTTCACAGAATATTAGCGAAAATGAACCGGGCGATTTTACTCCAGGTACTCCCCATCACCAACAAAAACACAGAGAATTAGTTGATCAGACACCCTGGACCCCCACCTCAAACTTTAAACTTCTTCTGAAAGCTCTCAGTCCCGACATTAGAATCAAAGATCAACTGCTGCTAGCAGGAAGAGATTGCTCTGCAGATTCACAATTCTTTGATGGCAAGGAAAATTCTCCAGAAATGAAAAAAGAAGAAACTACCAGCAAAGTAAAATTTGTTGGCAGGAAGGAAAAATCGTTGGGTGTCCTGTGCCAGAGGTTTGTGAGTCATCCATGTTTTGTTTTCTAATTCAATTCTCCAACAGTCTATCTAGCTAGTTAAATATTTCTATTAAAATTTAATTAATTTAATTAAATTTTGTTATGAAAAATTTAATTAATTATGTATTTCTTTAACTTAACTGATCTAACAGGACTATTTCAAAATTAGTTTAATTTTGAATTCAATTTTAAATTTTTCATTTAAAATTTTTTTGAAAAAGATTCTTGAAAAAATATCCCCCATATCTGCCTTCCGACAGTTACATGGAAGTTTGTTTGAAAGAGGCAGCTGAGTATTTAGGTTTTTTAAAAGATTTCATTTGAAAAAGCCTTTTTTTTATTCCATTTTAAATATTAAATATATGATTATACAGATAATATTTATTTTATACCTACAAACTTCTAAATTATAAATTAAATTATAAAACTCTTATAAATATAATATAAATGTGATGATCAACGAAATGAACAGGAGTTGGAAGGAGAAGAGTTTATGACATCATAAACGTCATGGAAGCCATCGATCTCACCAAACGATTAGCAAAGAACAGATATTTATGGATTGGCAAGAATAAACTTTCAAAGACCATTTCCGAGTTCAAAGTCACATTTTGAATTCAAAATATTTTTTAAACTTTTATTAAATTTCAGTTAAGTTTATTTGCTATTATATTTTATTAAATTTTTGCACCACAGATTTTTGTAACAAGATATAAAAGTGTTTAATAAGTATGTCACTGACCTCGTGGCTTGGCAGCATTTGTGATAAAATAATTTTTTCACCAAGGATTTCATATTTGCAATCAACAAAAATGCATCTGTTATTAATGTTGCATTTATTTCGTCGTTTCATATTCAGACTGATCTGTTTGTTGAAGTTGTTTTGAAATTGGATTCAATTTAATCAAATGATACAGTGGTTTGATTATAATTGTGCTTGTAGGATCTGTGTGTTAACTTAACAACATTAACAACAATACGTTTTGTAATGGAGGTGACATTTTGCAGGTCCTGGCACTGCAGGAGGGCATGGACAAGAAGATGGAAAAGTTTCAAAGTCTGGAAATGTTGACGAGCATGTCGAAGAGTCGTTCATCTGGTTCAATGGAAGCTTCGTTCATAAAGTCCTCTTCATCAAACAGTGCAGGTTCTCTCATGACCCATTAGAATTTTAGTCCCTCATTTCAGTAAAATTCTTAAAAAATTCATTTTTTTCATCCACTTACTCAATACTAAAAAACTTTGATAATTTATTTTTCAAAATTTGTGACAGCATCAGAAGACACTCGAAAGTCGCTGAGCTTTCTCAGCAGGAAGTTCCTCATGATGTTCCTCGTGTCGAAGGTCTGCCCGTCGCTTCCTGCAAACATTTATTTCTACTCTGCTTTCGTTGTTTACAAATTTTAAATAGAAAGATTATGATTGGTGCTTTTGTTAACCAGAGGGGCAATGTCATGTCATGTCATGTCATGTTAGGCTCAGTATTATAGCCTGAAGGAAGCGCAAGGAAAATGCGTTCATCGAAATAAGCACACACAGTTTGCATGTGCTTTTTGTGTGCTCATTTCAATGTGTCCTGTGAGTGTTTATTTTGATGAGTGCTTTTGTCATGCAACCGTTCAGTAGGGGTGATGGACGAGTGGCTGATGTGGAAGATGATGCTTGGTTGCTGTTGGTGTTGGAAATGTGCTTGATGATGATAATGAATGTGCTTATAGTTTGTTTAATGTTGCTGTTGATTGTGTTGTTAATTGTTGTTGAATCTCTCCGCCACCAGGACAACAAGTTGTACCTGGAGACAGGTGCTCGGATGCTACTCGACGACATGGACATCGACAAATCCGATGTGTCCAAATTTAAAAGTAACACCTGGATTAGTGGTGACGATGATTTGGTTGATGCTTGGTTTTTTGGTTCCATTGAAATGCACGTGGATTGATTGTTGTGTGCCTGGTTGCTTCTGTCTTTGATGTCTGTGCTCATGAACTTCAGTCATGTTGATTGCTTTCTTCAGTTCTTCAATGCTAAATACTTCTCAACTCAATATGTATTTACATAATATCTACATTGTTTTGCGACAAACCAATTACATTTATTTTATTTCTTGCACTATGGTGCAGCTATGATAAGAAGATTGTACGACATCGCCAACATCATGTCAACCCTTGAACTCATCAAAAAAGTTCACATGTCAGAGTTGAAAGGTCGCAAGCCCCTCTATGTCTACATTGGTCCCAGTGCTCTCCTCCATTCTGATGTCATCGGTCGGTTGGATGCTTGTTGCTCTGTCCAATATTATTTTATTTAAAGCGCTATCTAACGTAAACAAAAACTTTTCTTGGTTCACTTTTATTTTTAAAATTATCAAATTTTATATTCTTATTGTTCTTTCATAATGAATTTGACTTAATTGATATTTCTCATTTGCCACCGAACAAACGATCATCACTGAACCGACCAATCAGATAAAGCACCAGCCCCCCATACACCCAATCGAGTCCCCCAGCAACAGCAGAGGAGGCCGGCCATGCAGAGGCACCTGAACTTTGACGTCATCTGTGAGGCCGCGTCCTTCGCTCGCAACTCACTCAACGGTTTCATTTGTTTTGCTCCGTCCAACATGTGGTTTTGTTTTGTATCAATGTATCATGACGTATCATTATGTTTTATATCATGATGATGTATCATTGTATCATGACGTATCAATGTATCATGACGTATCATTATGTTTTGTATCATGATACATTGGCGGGGTGGGTGGCAGATAGCTGAATATTTGATGAGCTTGAAATAACGATAGACTACCAACTAAATATTTTTGGTTGAAGTTTAACTAGTTTAAAACGAAAAATAATTTAAATATGGAATAAAAATGCAACCAATAGTTTCAAACAAATTTTTATGAATTGAGACTCTGATGCAAGTATGTTGAGCAGCATGGTGAAGTATCAAATATCATTGCTGGTTTCAGTTGAATGGGCTAGTTGGGTGTGACCATTGAATCAGTGCAAGCAATTTTTCACTCTATTAAATGCTTTTCTGCTTTTTTATTGCTAAGAATAATTTGGTGCAATTTGTGTTGGGTGCAAAGTTTTGCAAAGACTAAAGAAATGCAGATTTCAAGTAGCCCAAATAGTTAAAAGGGACTTGAAATTTTTTAAAGTTGTGTGTGTATGTGCATCAAGGAAGGCACCGTAACTTAATTCAATGGACAACAATTGCAGGTGATGCTTCTCATGGCTCGGTTGAGTCAGTGGTGAGTGAGTCGTGTTCGAATGAGAGCGACGACACAAAGGTGGCTGATGAGGAGGAAGATTTCACTGCCAGCTCAGACATCAGCTCTCCTGATAATGATCACGTTATGGGTCCGAAGAGGTTTTCTTTCACCAGTCCGATGAAATTGGAGTGCAGCGAAGAGGTGGTCTCTGGTAGGACGCCTCAAGTCTCGCCATCGTTCAGCGACGGTACAAACAATGACAGCATCGAAGCTGACGATGAACCTGACAACAAGTTGGTGCAATCGAATGTCGACAGGCACTTCGTCAGCAGGAACCTGACCGACGCGACGACACCATCGTCATCGACTCCGAAAAGTCCCAAGAAGCTGAGCGTCATCACGCTGCTGCATTTCAAGCCGTCCAAGGGGATCTGCTCCTCCTACTCCTTCCGCGGCATCAAGTTCGTACCAAACTCCGCAGGAATGGGTGGAGTTTCTCAAATGAAGAGTCCATTGAAGAGATTCCACAGTAGCGACCACGTGGCCGCCAGCGTAGCTACCGTTGCTGCCCGTGCCGTTGATGAGTCGGGCGTTCCTAAGAAGGTGTTTCGTCTGGTCATCAAGAAATAATTTACCGCTATTTATTTAAATTTATCGTTATTTATTGTATCCAATGCTTCATAATATTATTTATTTAATTTTTAATACTCATTCTTGCTCTTTTCAGTGTTAAATTGCCTATCGGTGGTTTGTTTATTTGCGTGGTTTTATATAAGTGTTGCCTAATTGAACGTTCAACCCTTCCGCCCCTCGTCAAGGTGTTCATTTTGTTGGGAAGATGTTTTAAATTCGATCACATTTGTTAATAATTAACTGTCTGGTGTGATTTTGTTTTTAATTTTTTTATTTGCAATATTTCGTTCCATGTTTGAATCATTCATCTTTATTCTCGATTTTAAAATGATCGTATTGTAAATATTCAATAAATTATGTTCTGTAAATATTAATATATTTATATTCATCTACGTTAGTCTAGTTGAAATTTAAAAAATATCAAATCACAATTTATGATCGAGGCATTGAAAAAATTTGAAATAAGCATAAAATTTGAGAGTTTGCAAGCGCTGAAACCAAAATGTGCCGAGGGACTGTCGTGTCGTGATGCTCATCGTCAGACCATGCACGCACACAAACTTGTATACATTTTATGTCTATGAAAAGTCAGGAAAATGAAAAAAAAACATCTGGAACTATTTTTGACAAGAAATTGCAAACGATATAAAATTGCGTGATGAATATACACAGCCGGTGATAGATATTGTACAAGTGTTGACGTGCCATCATGTATAGTATGAAAGTGGAGACTGCTGAGACGAAAGAGACTGCGCGAGCGACTGTAGAATGCTCTTTGCGAGGTTTGAATCTATCCTTTGAAGAAGCACTTGACGCCGAGGAGACAGAGGACGAAGAAGAGAATGATGGAGAACATGAGGACCAGACCGACACCAGTATCACTCGAGTACCATCTGTTCAGGCAACTCTGCAACTTTTTTATCGTTGAGGCCAAATATGATTCCTCCTCTTCCAAGGCCAGCGATCTGCACTTCGACAACTTCGGTTGCTCTTTGTCTCTGTAAATTCATTAAACATTACCTTCACAATTCATTAACATTACCTTCAAAATTCATTAACATTACCTTCAAAATTCATCAACATTACCTTCAAAATTCATTAACATTACCTTCAAAATTCATCAACATTACCTTCAAAATTCATTAACATTACCTTCAAAATTCATCAACATTACCTTCACAATTCAGTGAACTTAGTAAAAGTTCATTGAACATAATATGAAGAATATTTCCAACAATGTATTTGAAATTGATCAACAACAACAAATCTATAAGTCATTTTAAATTGAAATATTAAACTCCTAAATTTGTTTTCATCCAACCGGCTCACGTTTGAACTATTTTAATTCGTATATACTTCCACGCTTGAACTTATTTACGAGTTCAATTAAAAATTATGATGCTCGATATAAGCCGTGGAGCTGATGGGGGGGCACTGATGGGGGGGCACCGATGAGGGCTGCACGAACCTCAAGGTCAGCTGGGTCATTAGACTCCTGCTCCTCTCAAAAAGCTTCCTCTTCAAATTACTACACAGGGATTTCAACGGATTCCTCTCGACTGATCTGTCGGTGCAATGGCCAATGAGGTCAATGGTGGTAATGATTATGATGAATGGTGATGATGATGATAATCTGATGGAAGGTGATGATGACGATGAACGATGGTATGGATGAGGACGAGGTGTTAGCGTGGAGGATGATGACGAGTCGTTGCGAGGGACAGCGCGACAAACTTGGAGCTTTCATCTTCAATGGCAGGTGAGACGATGAATTTGGTGACTTGCTTCTTTGGATTCAAACATTTCTTGGATAATTAATTCAATTATTAAATCAGTTTTGTTAAAGTCGCCAAATATTCAAAGCAACAACTTCATTTATTTTTTCATAACAAACAAAGAGCAAAACCATTTAGCATGATCATACGAAGAACCAAACTTCAAAATATGGCAAATTTGCTACATAGGAAAAAGGTATGACTTTAATTGTTTTTTGAATTGATCAAATGATAGCATGCTGGTGTGTAAATGTCTAGAGGATTGTTTGCATGTGTTCACATTTTTTGCGGTCTCAGCAAAAAAAACATCAAAATTAATGTAACTAACAACGATAAAAAACGAACAACACCACTGCCAACAACAACACCACCACCAACAACAACAACACCAACAACAACACCTACACCACTACCAACAACAACAACAACGAACAGGTGTGATGGTGAGAGTGACTGGTGGTGTCTTGCTTGGTGGCGTCCTCACCAGAGCTATTGCGCTTACTCTGCGACTGAAGTCCTTTGTTAGGTAGGTGGTTGAAAATGTGGTTGTTGTTGTTGTGGTTGTTGTTGTGGTTGTTGTTGTTGTGGTTGTTGTTGTTGTGGTTATGAGGGCTTATGTTTTTGTTCATGCGTTTCCTACATTAGTATATTATATTTATTATTATAAATTGTATAACTTATAATGCATTGTATACATTTAACTTACTATGTAACATAATGTGAAACAATATGAAAATCATGTACATATAATGGGCTGTTTGTAAATAGCACCGTATTGAGAAACTAAATCAGTGAATCATAAGAGCGAATGAATTGTTCCGTGCCAATGATTTGGCATAACTGGAGGTATTAAAGTCTGCGAGATAGATTATTGTCTGTCTCGTCTGCATTGAACATTAAAGAAATCCACCCCATTTTTTATTTTTAAAAATTTTCAAATTTTCGTAAATATTTTATAACAACTCATAAACAATTTTTTTCTTTTCAATTGAAATCTAAATAAAATTTTTGAAATGTTCACTGAATCTATTGTGTAAGCAACAAGTAGAACTACACACAATTCAACAGGCGCTGGTTGAACAGGATTTATGAGCAGAAAAACATTTTCTAACCTAGACCTTTCGAACTCTTTGAAAATAAATATTTGCAAGCCTGTATGTGTGTGTCTATATTTACTAAAAATTTTGACGTGCATATTGAAATACATTGCAAGCATCGTTGCCACATATAAACATGTTCTGCTCCTATCTCATGTTTTTCATTTAGGTTCATTTCGTAAGCATGCAATGAGTCACCGCAGAGTTGAGGAACTGAGCTACACGTAAACAGATGAAAATAAAAACGATTGAAGTATTCGGAGGAAAGGGGCTGAGTGATTTCATGCAACTATCTCTAACGAAGCAAACATTGATTTGTAACTTATAGAATGAATAGTCTGAAAATTTCTAACTGATTAACTAATTAACAAATATATTTGAAAAGCGTACAATAAAATATAATAATGAAAAAAATTAATAATCTGCCATGCATTTTCATCATCGTCGTCACCATCATTGTCATCGTCACCACCCGCCAGCATCGTCATCATCAACACCATTCATAAAAGTATTTCAATTTATGTAATCTTGAAAATGGTTATAACATTTAAATATAATGAAATAATAGGAAAATGAATGAATAGATAAATGAATAATAACAGGCATCTAAAAACATCATCAAACGTGTTTGAAATGTGTCTGCACGTTCGTTTAACTTCTAATTAAACACAACAAATAATTTCTGAAATTTTCCATAATTGTCGAAATTAAAAATAAACTCATTACAACAGAAATTACAAATAAATTATTATTAAAATTGCAGGCATTTTCAAAGTACGAACTAAAAATCACTATTGAAGATCTTGAAAACATTCTGGAAGCCTAGCGGTTACTCTCAACTTGTTCTTGAATATGATATGGCATGATGGGATGTGATGGGATGTGACATTGAAATGATGAGTTGTGGTTTAGGAATAGAGTTTGAAAAGGGAAGGACTGCAGAAATTTTAGATCCGTGTTTTCCATATCCATATATAGGATCTACATGAGTCTTGATCCAAGTTACTTGGGCATTTATTGATTTACATGATAATATAGAAATTGTTCTGGATTTTCAAAATTGAATATTTAGAGACAGTTATTTCTAAACATCCGACACTTTATCACACATTTCGATCTAATGAATGAGGCAGTATTATTAGTTGGTGGTTTAATTTTAAACATCTTGAACAAAGCAACCATTAAAATTTATAACTTTTGACAATATATAGAAATATATATGTTTGCAAATGTAATAATTGTTCACAACTGGTGAGAAAAATCTCTGCTTACTGAATTTTGATTACATTTAATTTGGCCAACATTATATTCCGGATTAATCTACCAAGTATTCGTTAACTGCAAATTTGTCGAATCATATCGTACATCGGTGTGTATTCGAATCCGAATATAAAACTGAATTCAGAACAATCGCGTTCTAAGATGTGATATACGAATATGATATGATATAAAGTGAATAATACTGATACATGATATGGTAGGATATGATAGGATTTTAATCATGATATGGTTTATTACTCTGCAGTCTTTTTACGAAGACAGATAGTTTTGGATCTTGAAGATTTATTTTGTCATTAGCTTGCTGTTGATGTTGTTGTTGATGATGCTGATAATGTTGTTGGTCGTAATGTGAATGAGTATGCTGGTTTCGGTGATGTTGTTTGTGTTGTGGGTTGTGTTGGTGTGATTCCTTTGTTTGCGTATTTAAAAAATAGAAAAATTTATATTGAATATAAATTTTTAAAAAATATATTTTTATCTAAAAGTAACTTCGCATAATGAATAACAACGAATCAATTAATACGAGATGGTGTAGCGGTAAAGCACCTGTGACAGATGTTGCAGTGACCGTATTCAAATGCAGACAAATATCCGCTCATCACATGCAACGTGTGTGACGGGTGTGTCTGTGTTTACTGGCATGCACTGTGTGTGCGTTCGTTTACGGTGCTTTGAAGAAATGCTTCAAAGAAATTTTGAATGTTGAAACCGTTTACAAAACGTCAAACCGTAAAATACAGCAAGTATAGTTTTACAGTAGTGGTGAAAGAATTAAAAAAATTCGAATCTAACTCTGAAACGTGGCCCAGTTCGCAGTGAAGATGGTCCAGGAATGTCTGTTGATGTTCAATAACCACAGGATAACACGTTTCTACAACTCATCGCAGTAACAACGCGGCATAACATTCAACAAAATAGCACAAAAGTGCATAGCATAGTATAGCAGAATAACAACAATGTAGTATCACAAGGCAGCAGCAAAACAGAACACAACAAAAATAAGCAATAGCAAAACATAGCAACTACACCAACAACAAAAACATAAAAAACAACAACAACAATATTTAAAACAACAAAAACATCAACAATAGCATCAAAAACAGCAGCAGTAACATACAGTTACACTATAACATAAACATGACATAAAAAGCTTATAACAACAAAAGGCATTGAATTATAACAGACAACACAAGAACAGAGCAGAACAACAAAACTGCGACAGTCATGACAGCCCATATGAACAACAAGAACAAAAGAGAAAGATAGGTCAGGTGCATGCATGTAATGGTATGCAGTAGGTTGGTTGGTTGCTTGCCTATTTACATGTTAAGCGCTACATAATGACCACTGTGATGGGCGCGTCCATTCGTACAATCGCCTCAATAATATTTGCCACTTGTGAATCATGATATGCAGAAAGTAAAAAAAGCCCCTACTGCTACTGCTACTACTACTGCAACTACTACTAACAATACTACTAATACTACTACTACTACTACTACTAATACTACTACTACTACTACTACTACTACTACTACTACTACTACTACTACTGCTACTACTACCACTACTACTACTACACTACTACTACTAATACTACTACTACTACTGCTACTTCTACTACTACTATTACTACTACTACTACTACTACTACTACTACTACTACTACTACTACTACTGCTACTAGCAAAGACAACAACCACGATGACAATAATAACACGAAGACATCAACAATAACGATAACAAGAATAATCATAAATAAGTTTTCCAACCACCACCACAAACAAAATCATAACTACAACGACTGCTTCATTAAAAATAACATCAACAATAATACAGCAACTACATAAGCAACAACACCAACACGTTTATTACAACACCAATTACATCAACAACGTCATCACTCAGAAGATTAACAAACAACAGCAACAAGACAACAGCAACAACAAAAACAACCAAACAACAGCAACAACATTACCACCACCATTAGCAGCAGCAGCAGCAACAACAACAACAATTACAAAAAATTAAACGAAATAAACAGAAACAACAAAAACTGAAAAAAAACACACAACAAAATATTCCTAAAAATGATTGAAATCTGTTTACAAAACATGACAGTAAGCACCTAACAGAAAACTATCGTTCAAGAGAATGTTTAAGCTGGATGGTAAAACATATTAGTGAAGAACTGCTAAAAAGAGAACAACGTACGTATATATTGCTATGGAGATAGCTGCTTAAACAATTGAGATAGCAAAATAATATGAAAATGAAATCATCATTGCACAAGAAACTGCAAAACAACAACAATAACAATAATCATGAAAGCAACATTAACAACGACAACAACATTAAAAACAGCAACAACATTAACAGCGATACGATACGATGCATTTTATTTGCTTTCTGAAACAGAAGACAGAATGACCATGATCAAGTAACTCATCAATGACAATGACGTAAACAGCAGTCTTGACAACAACCTTAGCAAGAAACAACAACAACAAAACAGCAATATTGACAAAACAGCAACAACAAAATCAATTCGTCAACACCACACTATCACTGCAACAACATGAACATCATTGACGTAACAGCAGAAAATAAACCAGCCCACATAAACGCCAACACAACACATAAACATTGCAGCAACAAAAGCAGCACTAACAACAGAAAAACAAGACAAAAAATTTAAACGTTAGACGAAAAAGACAACAAACAACATTGCAGCAACGGCAAACAACATCGCAACAACAACAACAACAAAAAACAACAACATCACATCAACATTCCATACTACGAACAACAAAAAAAACCCAACGGCATAAACAAAAACCTATAAAACGAACCATGTGACAAGACGTCGTTGAGGTTGTTGTCAATCAGGGCTTTCCTGCAAATTTGTTATTGGCAGTCAATTTACTTTCATTTCAATATTTCATCACAGTTATTCTATGCAAGATATAATTATAAAGTCATTTATTTGCCGGTCAAACAAAATTTTTAAAATATTTATAACGCCACGTTACGAAAATATCAAATGGAATTTTATTTACGTAACATTAGAATTTTTCATAAAATAAATTTAGAAAATTATTGTGATGTTGTAGCCACATTGTTGTGTTGTTGCTATGTTTTGTGATGTTGATCATAATATACAAACAAACAGGCAGTCAGACAGAGAGACAATCAGACAAACGGACAAACAAACAAACAGCAGACATACAGACAAATAGATAGACATAGAGTGAGACGTGACAAACAATCAAACCTGGCAATTTCAAGATCACTTCTGTCCTTCTCAAAATGTTCTTTCAAATTTTCGACGTGCTTCAGCATCAGATTCATGGCGTGATTCATCCTCAACTCCTTCCAACCATCAATTATTCATTCATACGTACAATAAGGCGGAGAAACACCTCAATACGTCACATTCTCTCATATTTTCACACTCACAATAGCACTCAATTGCATTATTCACATTCTAAACATCACGCAAACTCCAATATAATGATATCATTTGATCCAGTTTATTTATTTCCAACAAAAATCTCAGTTTAGTGGATATATGCAATTTAAAGTCACCATGTAACTATGCAATACAAATTTAATATGCCTCTTACAACCGCTGAAGGTATAGAAGGTAAAGTAATGGACTAAGAGACTGTTAGACCAGCAACAAAGAGACTGTTAGACTAGCAACAAAAAAACTGTTAGACCAGCAACAAAAAGACTGTTAGACCGGCAACAAAGAGACTGTTAGACCGGCAACAAAGAGACTGTTAGACCGGCAACAAAAAGACTGTTAGACCAGCAACAAAAAGACTGTTAGACCGGCAACAAAAAGACTGTTAGACAAGCAACCAAAAGACTGTTAGACCAGCAACAAAGAGACTGTTAGACCGGCAACAAAGAGACTGTTAGACCGGCAACAAAGAGACTGTTAGAGCAGCAACAAAAAGACTGTTCGACCAGCAACAAAAAGACTGTTAGACCGGCAACAAAGAGACTGTTAGACCTGCAACCAAAAGACTGTTAGACCGGCAACAAAAAGACTGTTAGACCGGCAACAAAAAGACTGTTAGATCAGCAACAAAGAGACTGTTAGATCGGCAACAAAGAGACTGTTAGACCAGCAACAAAAAGACTGTTAGACCGGCAACAAAGAGACTGTTAGACCGGCAACAAAGAGACTGTTAGACCGGCAACCAAAAGACTGTTAGACCGGCAACAAAAAGACTGTTAGACCGGCAACAAAAAGACTGTTAGACCGGCAACAAAAAGACTGTTAGACCGGCAACAAAAAGACTGTTAGATCAGCAACAAAGAGACTGTTAGATCGGCAACAAAGAGACTGTTAGACCAGCAACAAAAAGACTGTCAGACCGGCAACAAAGAGACTGTTCGACCAGCAACAAAAAGACTGTTAGACCAGCAACAAAGAGACTGTTAGACCGGCAACAAAGAGACTGTTAGACCGGCAACAAAGAAACTGTTAGACCGGCAACAAAAAGACTGTCAGACCGGCAACAAAGAGACTGTTAGACCAGCAACAAAGAGACTGTTAGACCGGCAACAAAGAAACTGTTAGACCGGCAACAAAAAGACTGTCAGACCGGCAACAAAGAGACTGTTCGACCAGCAACAAAAAGACTGTTAGACCAGCAACAAAGAGACTGTTAGACCAGCAACAAAGAGATTGTTAGACCGGCAACAAAAAGACTGTTAGACTAGCAACAAAAAGACTGTTAGACCTGCAACCAAAAGACTGTTAGACCGGCAACAAAAAGACTGTTAGACCGGCAACCAAAAGACTGTTAGACCAGCAACAAAGAGACTGTTAGACCAGCAACAAAAAGACTGTTAGACCGGCAACAAAAAGACTGTTACGCCAGCAACAAAAAGACTGTTAGACCAGCAACAAAAGACTGTTAGACCGGCAACAAAGAAACTGCTAGACCAGCAACAAAAAGACTGTTTAGACCAGCAACAAACATTTGGTTGTGCATCACGATAACATCAACTTAAATGTTAAGTTAGTAACTGCAAGCTTTATGTTCGCCGCAAGGAGGGAGTGAAAAATGTAGAGCCAATTAACATCAGCCTTCTCCAGAGTGCTTCCACTCGAGATGATGAGACACGATACCGGTCGTGTGATGTGGTGTGAGATGATGTTATGGGAATTGATGTGATGTGGATTGATGTAATGTGGATTGATGTGATGTGGGTTGATGTGATTTGATAAGGTTTGATGTGATGCATTGTAGTTTGATAAGATGAGTGAAGATGTTTTGTAATGTGGTCTGGGATGTGTTTTGATGTAGAGTTGTGTGGTTTGATTTATTTGAATGTGATGTGTTAAACACTTCAATGTCTTTTAAATACGCTTTTTCATTAAATTAGAACATAAACACACAGATGAAAGCTTTCAAACGTTCACAAGCAGACACAAACATACACAAACACCCACAAACCTGATGAACAGCTCCATAAATTTCGGCTTTGCTGGATAACCTGCAAATGTAAAAGAAAATAATTTTAATCAACTCTTAGAACATTTTTTCTTTCATTTGTTGATGAAATTTTTCTGAACAGAAAATAACACTAAGGTAATAGCGTTTTCAACTGAACCATCTAAAATAACATTTATCGACAGTGGCAGATGTAGCAACCTGCAGCGTTTAAGACGGGCTGCTACATCTGCCACACCCAATGAACACGACGGACATTTAATATGCAATCATGCTGGTTTTATTGCCTACAGAGCCTGAATTTTAAGCAGGCCATCAAATCTAACGCAATACAAATTGTCTGATCAACATTCTTCTGAAACTATCACGTTAAAAAATGTTGAAATTTTTTTTTATTTATCAATAAAAATGATAGCAGATGATGAATAAGATGAATGTTATATAATGTGGCGTTGAAATGTGACAATATTAATCGCATGATATAATCTGCCAAGTCACCATCACATCAAATCAACCGCTCAAATAATAACGAAGCTAATAAAGAATTTATGAATTATTTTTAATAAGTGTTGTTGAAATCTGACTTGAATTTCACAAAATTGATTATAAATGGAAGATATAATTTATATTGAGAAGCAGAAAGCCAATGACAGTGAGCAGGCAGGCAGGCAAGCAAGCAGACACGCAACTAACCTGTTGATAGAACGTTCGAGAACGTTGACATGCTGCTGCATTTTGATGAGTTCGTGCAGGGCAGGCTGGTCTTCCATCGTTCGTACACTCATGTCCTTCATGATGTCAAGTGATGTTGATGTGAGGAGACAACAAAGGTGGATGGACGTGTGTAATGAAGTTACCTCGTCAACAAATTCATATAAGGCAAGTGAATTCAAACACTTGCAAAACTTTTAATTATAACTCTTGTTTGTCTTGGTTGGGGGTGTATAGAAGGATGATGCGTGTATATGGAAGTTAATTAAACCCAGAGTTTGTACAGTGGCGTATCTATCTATGTGTTTCAGTTCAGCACAGATGTCTATGTTCTATATATAGTTAGACTAGAAGTGTCCGTTCGTTTGTATGAGAGCTCTTCAATAATAATTGGAAATTTCTAAAATGTGTGTTAGCACGGAATGAAATGTAGGCAGTTGTTGAAGAGGGTTGTACAGTGTTGCTGTTGCATGTTGCTGTTGTACGTTGTTGTTCTCATTTTTTTGTGAACATCTATCTAATTATAAGTGTTGTTTCAAATGTTTGTCAATTAAATGCATTTAATATATTTTCACTGTATGCCATACAATTTAGCTTTTAATAAGATGAAATGGATTTGAATCGACTGATGAAAATTTGTATAGTTGTGGGAACGTTTCAAATATCAATTGAAGACCATATTTAACTGGTTAAGAAAGTATCAACAATTTATGTTTTTGTTTGTTGGAACAAAATTTGGAATCAACTCAAAACAAAATTGCAATAAAAATGAAAAGACTCAAGAAAGAAAAAACAAAATCGTTGGGTTTTAAAATGCAAACATGAAGGGAAGCAGTACATTTAATGAAACAATCTCGAGAGCCTAATGAAAATTCTTTGCGAGATCACGTGGACCACTTGGAAGAAGCAAAAATTTTATATTCTCATGTTAGTAGCTGGAATGTTCGATTACTGAGAACATGTGGCAGGTGTGCGTGTGTGTGTGTGTAAATGTATTATGGACCAAAATGTGCCTACCCACCCTAAACGAATGATATGAAATTAAATGACAACTGAACAATACGCATTATCAAAGTCATGTTGTATTGCATAGATCACACAGTTGAATGAATTCTATCGTTGCAGCATACACAAGCAATGTTAACTGGTTGACTGGTACAAAACGATTCATCAGCACAGCATCATCATTCCATGGACACCTAAGAAACGAACGATGCCAGGCAAGTCACGTACCTTGATGACGCATTTGATGCCATCCATCTCCCGTTGAATGTTCTGTTCGCTGACCTCTCTGGCTCGAAAGTGGCATTCGAATCTCTTCGTCACCGTCAGCTGGTCAGTTTTCAGTGAGAGGGAGAGAGCGTCGAACTTTTCCTGACATGCAAATGTATTTCAGTCACTATAATAATTATAATTGATTAACAATTGATGGGAAATATCATTAAAAAAATCTGATGTTGTAGTTTTCAAAAGTTAAATTTTGAAGCTTTTCAACTCATTTGTTATTGTTGAAAATTTTTAAATTGTTGGAGTATATTTAAAAACTGTTAGTTGCTGATCCATCAACGAGTTTTTTTATATACTAAGGATTCAATTTTGAAACAGCATTTTATGGAAACGTGAAAACAATTTGAGAGAAAAGGAAAATAATATCTACAGAACGTTTTTGCGCATGCTAAAATAGCGATGTTTTGAAGAATAGTTGAGGTCAGAGGTCACTTGTAAAAGGTTACGTAGGGCAATTCTGCATGGAAAACAATTTCGTGAATAAAATGTATAAAAATGCAGAATGTATTTGAACGAAGTGCAAACAAAAATTAAAAATATCCACTAACATTCTATCAAACAGAAAAATATAAAACAAATAATCGATCAACTAAGTGTTCGAACAAATAAAATCAAACCTGTGTTTCTTTCAGTGAAAGATTTGAACTGCAAAATAAATTTAATGACGTGAATTTATTTCTGGTGAAATTGTTAAGTTCAACGCATTTTTTGCCTAGATTATAACATTTCTATTGTACGTTAATTTACGTTTTATGGTTTATACAAATATTATTATTATTATTATTATTATTATTATTATTATTATTATTATTATTATTATTATTGGGATATTTATGAAGCCCCAGTTAAATCGTTATCTCATTAAATACACAAAAAAAGTGAATGGTAACAATAACCAAACATGGCAAGACTAACAAATCCATGTCGAGAAAACTTGGCGACTTGTTGATGTTGGTGTCCAGAAATGATGGATTGTCTTCCCTGGCTTCCTGTGGCGCTTGCGTTAGTGGATTGTCGTCGATGGTTGCTGCTGCTGCTGTTCTTGCAGTTGTTGCCGGAAATGTTGTTGTTGGAGCAAGAGTTGTTGTTTGCGATGTTGTGTTAGAATCAATCGCTAAAGAGGTTAGGTCATGGAAGGGAATAGGATCTGTTTCAGGGTTGGTAATGTTTGACGGTAGCTGGTAAGTGTTCAAGTTGTTGGGACTGATGTCCGTTGTTTGAATGTCAATGAAATCAGGTTGGTGAATGCTGACGTCATTATCAGCGTCATCATCGTCTTCATCTCTTTTGTAAGGATGTTCATCGTCAAACGTATCAGCTAATTCATCGTCCAGAGCTGAGGGTAGCAACACCTTTCAAATCATCAACCAAATGAATCACTTTTTGCGTGTTAAGTTATTATGTTGTCGTGATCATAAACGTTTTCGCATTGTGTGTTGAATAAGTTAAATTGTAAATTGCATATCATCGTAAAAAGTAAAATTAATTTTGAAAACATTCCACCATGCACATTCACCGAATGTCCAAATGAGGAAGTCTTAATTAGATTGTTAGATTGTTCGCGCCATTAATGAACGGCGTCGTCTCTCAATCCAATTATAGTGACGTTGATGAAGTTTTTTTTTTTTTTTTTTTTTTTTGTATAAAAATTCGTTCATCAGTAAACTTTTCCCCACCATGCAATCACGCAAATAACAAACATGTAGCAGTAGTACATTTAAGATTTCAAAAAGTGCATCTCTATGTACATCCATTATCACTCAATTATCTGAAAACTAATTTATGATGTAACAAAATCTGTTTTTGAACATTTGCACCTCATTCATTTTGCTAGAAATGAATTAGACAAAGAGGAATACTAATTAGAGTGAATAGTATATACATATAAACAAACATATACATACACATACTTCTGGTCATATGTACACACACATACACAAACATATACAAAACATATTCGCGGAATGTATTACACATTGTATATAGGTGAGTATTGAATTGTAATAATAAAAGTTACAACGCACTCCAAATACTCATTCATTGCACACTAAAATGCATTTTTCATTTCAAAATTTTCTCACGTTGTTGTTCTGCTGCCTCTTTTCAATTAGGGAAATTCTTCTTGCCAGTCCAACTTGAGATGTTTTGTTTCCGCTGTTGTTGTTGTATTCGTCATTATAAGAGTGGCGATGTTGTGGCGGTTGATGTTGTGGTAGTTGTGGTTGTTGATGTTGTAGTAGCAGCTGTTGTTGATGCTGTGGTAGTGGCTGTTGTGGCTGCGTTGAATGCTGCTGTAAGTATTGATGGTGATGTTGCTCGTGAGGGTCGTTAGAGAAAGTTCGACCAAATTGTGCGTTATTGCTGCTTGCTGTTTGTAAAATATTTTGCTCGTTTCTGCTGCTGCTTTTGTTGAAGCGGTTGTCGTCGTCGTCGCATTGGTGGTGGTGGCCGTGGTGGGCAGATTTGCTGATGTCTGAGGCAGTTTGGATTGTAATGGGCGTCGGTGATCTGAGGACTGATGCGGGGTGTTGGTGGTCCTCCAGGGATCTACTCGCATTCGAAATATTTAGTTTTTTTTTATTTTCATTTTGTATTTTGTTATTTTAAAAAACGAAATTTATTTGCCGTTCTATTTTTTTTTAATTTTCAACAGTAAGCAAAATAATCTTTCAACAATTTTAATAACTTTTTTCCTAAGTGGAAAATAATTTTTTTTAAATTTTTAATTGAAAATTTAAAAAATAAAAATAAATTCAAATTGTCTGAAACGTGTGTTGATGAATGCATTAAATGGGCAGCTGCCTTGATACTGACGTTGATGTGTTATCCTGCCGGTCAGAACATGGTCTCAATGATCGACAGATGTTATCGCTGTTGTGGTTGTTGTTGCTAGTGGTGTCATCTTTGTTGTTGTTGTCGTCGTTGTTGTCATCAGTGATGTTAATGTCTTGTAGGGGACTTTCGACATAAATGTTGGAAAATTTTTGATATGTATCTTCACTCATTGCTTTGTGTTTCGTTCTGTGTTTGTTGCTGGCCGGCTTGTATGTTCTGCTGTACATGCAATTACCATTAATATGATCTTCCTCTGTCAATGTTGACAAATGTCTTGATCTGATGGTGGCTGGACAGTCAAGTTGTTGGCTCTTTTGTTGCTGGCGTTGTGATTGAGTCTGTTGTTGTTGCGGCTGCAGATGTTGTTGCTGGTGTTGTTGTTGTTGATGTTGATGTTGTTGTTGCTGATGTTGATGTTGTTGCTGATGCTGATGATGTTGTTGATGTCGTTTTTGATGTTTCTGATGTTGCAGCGTTTGATGTTGCTGGTGAATCTGATGTTGGTTAAGGTCTCTGTGGTGTTGAAGTTGTAGCCGCTCACGTTTCCTACTCTTCAAGTTCTCGTTGTCAAAATAATAATTTTGATATCGAGGTATGTTATCAAAGTAGTTGTAGGAAGATGGATGGTGGTGTTGGTGCCGCCCGTCTGCTCTGTCAACCAAGTAAGGATCTGACGCGTTTCGTTTGAAAGGACTTGTTGAGCAATCATTCATTCCACAGTCGTCGTCCTCATATTTTTTATACTTCCTCTTGCAGTGGTGGCAGATGTTTTTTTCAAACTCATCCGATGTGTCGGTTTGTTTGTTTGTTTTTGAACGTTCGCTGACTCTTTTATTTTGCTCAATGGCTAATTTGAAGCTGGATGATCGGTAGATAGACAAAGTTCTATCAAGGTGTTGGCTGTTTTCATCGCTGTTGTCTTTATCATCGTCCTCATCTAGATCATCAACGTTGTAATCAGCCCCATCATTGTTGTCATTTGTGTCGTTGACCTCTTTTCCGTCTGCAGTTTCAAAAATTTTTGGTGCAACTTCACTTTCCTGGGCTGGTTCTTCGTAGGACGAATCCAGGAACCTGATGTTCCTGGTGCAGTCGGACTTGGAGCCAAACGAGCTGAAGCCACTGGTGCTTGATCCGGTTGAAGAGTTGATGCCTGCGTGTCTCGAGACCGAGAGCAGGTTCTTCCGCCTGATGCTGCCAAACAAACTCAAGTTGCCTTGTGTCGTCGAGGTTGATGTTGCGTTGGTCGCTGTTTTGTTTGTTTGGGAGGGTGTGGTGGGAGATGTTTTGATAAGAGAAGTTTGTTTGGATAATGAAGATTTAAAGCAGTGGGGGTGAAAAGGGGTCGATGATTGATGTACGCTGCTGTTGCTTAATGTGGACGGTTTGTTTGCAGATGTTGCGGTTGTCGCCGGGGTTGTTGATGGTGCTGCAAGTGATGTTGTTGTTGTTATTAGAATTTCTGTGATGTCTGGTTTCTTCAGAGAAACAAATGAATTCAATCTTTCATTGCTGACGTCATCGGTCGAAAGATCTGTCGGGCACGATAACATTCATCAATCATCAATTTCAACCAGTTTTTGTTTTTATATATGAAACTAAATAAACACACACATACCACACACACACACACACACACACACACACACACACACACACACACACACACACACACACACACTCATGAATAAACAAAAACATTCAAAACATACACACACGCACACATATATACACGGACGCACACACGCACGCTCATATATATATTTAAATCCAAACAAGATATCACGCAAGTATGAAAACTTTGACTAGATAGACCATAAAAAATAAATTATTAACGAAACAAGACTAATGGCCAAAATATAACATCTTCTTTGTTTAATTAATTAACTTATTCGTTTAATCATTTCTATCATTTCTAGATTTATTTCTTATCTAAATTGATATGAAAATACAGTTTCATATTACCTATTGATAGTTTTGCGTCGACAACAGTTATATTTAACTATAAACAAATAGAAAGAACACAGTTGAATCGTGATGTTTGCTCAAACGTCAATATCGTGCATTACAATTGTTTTTGGTTCATGAATTAGTTTTTTCCGAATAAGTGATATAATTTTGTTTTGCAACTTTTAGAGTCTTCTGAGGAGAACATTTGTCGCTAGGCCAATTAAACGCCGTGAAGGATGTTTTGCAGTCTTTCAATGATTTTGTCATGAATGTTTTTCATTTCTATTATACCCAAACTGCTGATTCGAGTGTTTTCATTGGTGCTTTCGAGATAAAAGCATTAAGAAGATTTTTCTATTCTGTGTTGAGAGTGGCAGTACTTAAAAGATATTGTACATAAATTTTGAATATAAGTTCAAAGTTGTAAAGTCCAAGAAAAGATCAAGCAGGAAATAGATATGTAAACAGTTTTAAAAGGGCGATTAATGTAAAAGTTTTTTTTACAAATCAATAAAAATTATATGGCATCAAATGTTATAAACATACAATTTGGTGTTTATACAGGATTTGCAATGATTAAAAAAACGCATGCATGTTTTATACCTACCATGACTTTGTTTTCATGGTTCATAGATAAGAAGAATTAAATTAAAAATATATACTATGCATTCAAAAACAAAACTGTACTGTACTGTAGCTAAAAAAATCAGTTTAAATATTATACATTTTATTATTTCGCTAATATTAGCAAGCTTAGAATAAACTCGAATTCCCAGTTATAAACTTTAGTTAAACTGACCAACTGACGAACCTCTGTTAGCAGGCACGATGCGAGCTGACGATGAGGGGGCATGCCTCCATCCCGATGCCCCTGAAGTTCTGTGTGCTCGTTGATGCTGGCTCTACAGGGTCGACAGGTGTGTTTTGTTTGGGTCAGTGTTTTTGAGTATTAATAGTTGTTTCACTTTTTCAAATTAAAATATTATATTATATTTTTACTTGTATCCGAAAAATAGACAAATCGGATAATAAAAATGAGTGTTAAAATGTAAAGGTGAAACAAGTTTATAAATAAATGAGGGTAAATGATGAAAATGATGATGACGACGATGATGCGAGAACGAAGCTTTCCAAAAGATACAGAAGAACAACAACGCATTCCAATTCCTGGATGCAACGATCCTTACTATGTACGCTCGCCTGCATGCAGTTAGTTTGATACAATGTCTTAATATATTATATATATAGGATGGAAGATTTGAATGTACTGAAGATTAATGTGTATAATTGAATTTGTTTATATATAATTATTATTATTATTGTTATTATCATTGACATTATTATTATGGTTTCTAATGATATTATTATTCGAATTACAAGTCTGTTCACGTACATACACTGCTTCAATCGGCTACGTTTCCACCAGATTATCAGGTATGTTTTTGCAGTGAAAGTCAGAAAATTGTTTCAAATGGATTTACAAATTCTTCGAGCTCTTCAAATAATATTCTTCTGCGTTTTTAAAATAAACAAAAACACACACACACCACACCACACAACAAGCACACACACACACACATTCCAACACACACCACAAACAAACATACAATTAACACACATTTATTCACTCATGAATAAATTTTGAAAATACTTGATTGAAATTTATTTATTATTTACAATCCCTTTCCACAGTTTTAAAACACAACAATAGCGAGAAAAAAATTTTCATATATAAAATTCGAACGGCAAAGGAATAAAAATTAATTTCGTTGAAATATGAAGCAAAATTTTTCCTAAATAAAACCTAAATTCTTTTTTGCAATAGTTTTCCACCACTTATTCATAATTTTCCAATCAAAAAATTCATCGCATTTGTGTGGCCAGAAAATTTGAACAAAAAATTGTCATTAAAAATATAAAAATACAAAATTTTCCAAAAATAATAAATTAAGCGAGCAAGCACATAGGCAGTTTCAATGATGTAATGTTAGTTACTTTGCAAACGTTTATCACGCTAATCATGAAATTTGGTTAGACCAAATTTGGAAACTAATTATGTTTATTGTCGTTTTATATGTATATAAGTGTGTGTGTGCGTGTTGTGTGTCTGCGTGCGTGTTGTGTGCGTGTGTGTGTGTGGTTGGTAATTATGTGTGCAAACGAACAAATATTATGATCGAGTAAACGAATGTTTATGCTTGTAGCAAGCATGTATATTGCTTTTAACGAAACGCACGTGGTACGTTGTTCTGTCTGAGCGATGATGGTCCTCTATCATTATATGCATGCCTGTCGTTTCATTGCATTATTTAAAGCCATTTGTGTTCGGAGCCCTTTATTGCGAGTTATATCCCTCCATGTCGGGGTCGGTGTGCTGTTAGGCATTGTAATTTCAAGATTTACGTTTTTTTGTGATCATTTAGTGTATAATTTTTTACCAAATTTGTTTTTCTACTCCAAATAAACAAGTCGAAACAAAAAAGTTTTTAAAATAGTACAATTGCTTAATAAATTACATGATTGGTTGATTGATTAATTGATTGATTGATTGGTTATATGTTGAATTCACAATACAAAAATAAAAATTAGAAAATGCAGATTATATTGGAAAGGAACTAACGTTGATTGGCAAATTATGAACGATTTTCTTTAAATTATATCTTTTTCAATCCTCTTTTAGACACCTTATTGTGTGTGTGAATAAATAGTTTCAAAATGAAACTATATGAAAACAAAATGAGTTTTTGTAATATAGTTGTCAATTTTTATTAGATAGGCGGACAGGTTGTTTCAAATCGGAGGCGCTTAAACAGGGGAATAACCGATAACTAATCCTGTTCATGATCAGTTGATGTTTTAAATTCAATTTCATTGTTAAGAGTGTAGAAACGTCTGAAATATAATGAAGTTACAAAATAAAGTTTACTAATGTAACGTATCCACATTTTAACATTTTGTTAACAAAAAAAATTATTGTCAACAAACAACTGAGAATGAAAAATGTCAAATTTTTAACCTCAAACGCATTTAAAGCCTGCCATAAACGTTTGAACCCTTTTTGAAAGTCACAATTTGTGGCATTTTAAGTTTAGAATGGTTCACTATCACGAATAATGATTAAAAAATGGAACTGTACTACACAATTAAAATTTGATAAATTTTTGTGATAACAATATATTAAAATTTATTTAATTCACCATAAAAATTGAAAAGTGCAAAGCGAACCCTATAAGCTTCTAGCTCCTCCTTCTCCCTTTGTCACAAAGATTTACAAATATTTTGTTTGTTTGTATGTATGCAGGTTCAATAGACAGGGTCAAACTTCAATCTTCCAGTAAATATTTTAGCTGCTGGATTTTGAATTGACTGTAGTTGGCATATGATTTCATTTTGTTGTTGGAATGAATAAATACATAAACTAGATAGACATTTTTATGTATCCTCATCAAACGAATTTCTGATCTGTCTGAGCCTCCTTAGTTGAAACGATCATTCCTTGTTCAACTTTTTGACATGATGATCCAAAGACATATTTTGAACAAACGTGATTCCAGATAATTGACTAATGAACAAAACTTGATAACTGATCCAGATATGTCAGTGGAGTTGACACGAATCATTTGCAATTGTTGCCAAGTTCCGACAAGAAGAAGCTGAGTTTTACTTTCATTTAGCATAAGATGTTTCATATATAGACATATAACTATGTTCGCTCAGTACATATATAAACACATAAATGTTTAACCATTCATAAAGACCATTCATCCGCATCATTTGTTCTAACGTATTCTTAATATAGTATTAGGTGGTGGAGTCGAGATCCAGTGTCAATAAAAAAGCACGGAATTTTGACTTGAAATGTTGTAGGTTTATGATGGCTCTTAGATAGGGAGGTACAAGTTCTGTCCAAATTTTAAGACCTGTTATTTTTATGCTTGTCTGGATTAATTTGAGACAGATGAAGTTAAGTGGTAAATTTTTTTTTGCTAGGAAGAAGGGTTTAGTATGGGAATCGGGTTTGAGGTTAAAAATTGAACGTATTGATCTTTTTTGAGAAAGTATTAGGTTATTCAGGTGGCTTTTAGGACTATTTCCCCATAGTGTGATGCAGTAGGTTAGATAAGGGTAGATGAATGTGTAACAAAGCGTGCGAAGAGCAGAAAGAGAGAGTTTATATTTGATTTTGTAGAAGATGCCTGTGAGTTTGTTGATTTTGTCTGAGGTAGTTTGTAGGTGAGAATTCTATAAAAGATTTTCTGTGATGGTGATTCCAAGAAATTTGGTAGACAGGGTGCGGCTTATAGGAACGCCGTTAATTAATAGGTTTAGGTTAGGAGCTTGGTTGGTGAGTATTTTTGGGCCAAAAATAATGTATGCACATTTCGAATAATTTATGATTAGTTTGTTATTGGATACCCAGTTAGAGTATTTTTGGAGTTCAAGATTGATAAGTTCAGAGCAATCTAGTAGGTTGTTGAAAGTGAAAAGAAGGTTGGTATCGTCTGCGAACAGTACGCATTTGGTTGAAGGCGAAACGTTGCAGAGGTCATTTATGTAGATAGAAAATAAAAGGGGTCCTAGTATGGATCCTTGTGGTACCCCGTGATGAATAGGAGCGTGCTTTGAAATGATGTTGTCCATGGAAACATATTGTGTCCGTAATGAGAGATAGCTTCTCATCCAGTCGTAAGCTGTGCCTCTTACTCCGTAATGATGTAGTTTGGATAGGAGTATTTTGTGATCGATGACATCGAAGGCTTTGGTCCAGGAATATGCCAATAGAAAGATTTTTGTTATTCATTTCATTTAGTATATGCTGAGTGAAGTCAAGAATAGCAAGCTCAGTAGAGTGGTTGGGTCTGAATCCGTATTGGTTGTTACAGATAGTATTGTTGGAGCAGAAGAAATTAGAGTCTTTTAAAGAAAAGGTTTTCAAGAATTTTTGACAGCGGGGAAAGAATGGAGATGGGTCTGTAGTTGTTAATGTCATCTTTGTTTCCTTTCTTGAATACCGGTATGATTTTGGATATTTTAAATGAGTCAGAAAAGATTCCAGTGCTTAGTGATAAGTTGAAGATATGATTAAGTGGTGATATGATAGAGAAAATTATGCTTTTGATAAGGAACATGTTGAGTCCATCGTCTGCATAGCTCTTTTTGTTTTTCAAGATATTAACAGTAGTTAATATTTCTTGTTCAGTAACAGTATATAAACAAATGGAATGGGGTGTGGATGGGCCCATAAAATCTGTAGGACTACCATAGCTGGGAGGTTGGTTTGAGAGTAGTTGGCTAGCGATGTTTGCAAAGTGGGTATTGAGAAGGTCACAAATTTCTTGTTTATTTTCAATTGCTTAGTTGTTGATAGTTAGTTTGGTGATTGATGAGTTTGGAGGTTGCTTGTTTAGAATTTCTTTGATAGTGTTCCATTTTTGTCCAACATTGTTATGTGCGTCTTCAAGTTTGTTAGAGAAGTAGTTTCGTTCAGTTTTTCATTTAATAGATGTGAACATGTTTTTGAAGCTTTTGTAGGTGGCAATGTTGCGGGCGGTTGGATATTTAAGGCTTATGATGTATAGTTTGTTTTTCTTTTTCGCAAGGCTTAGAATGTTGTCATTGATCCAGTATTTTTTCTTTTTGTTTTTGACAGGACGGAGGGGGGCAAAAGTGTCTAGAAAGTGAGTTAAGATAGTATTCAAAACAGAGCAGCAGTCGTTGACATTTTTTAGAGAAGTCAAAGAATTCCAGTTGTGGTTCGATAAAAAATTGTTGATGTTGTTTATAGATTCTTCAGTTAGGTTTCTCAAGTGCTTAATAGGGGCATGGTTAGAGTTTTCTGATTTGGAAGCGATGATGAATATAGGGAAATGGTCAGATATGTCAGACAGTATTATTCCAGATAAGTGATGAGTTAGGTTGTTAGTAAAGATATTGTCGATGAATTTTGTTGATGGATCACTGGTTGAAGGTTGAGGACGAGTGGGAGAGAATTTAAAGACTGGTACGCATTCTGCTGCGGTCAGTCCAATAGTTTCCAGATGTTCTAGGATCTTTTCTTTGACGCAGCTTTTCAATTTGCCTACCCCAAAAACAATTTTTTTGGGAGGCAAGGGAGCTGCAGATAACTTGAAGGACTCAGGTTGTTTGGAACCTACAGTAATTGGGGAGTATTTTTTCTTTTTTTTTGAAGTAACAGTGCTCCAAGAGCCTTCGTGGCCACTGGAATTAGATTTGTTTTTATTGATGTTATTGTTAGGAGTTGAAAGTGAAGAACGAGCAGGAGCAGCTACAACGTTGAGATCCACCAGCGATTGGGTTCCCTGCTTCAAGATTTCATCAGATGGTGGTGCGCTGATTTCGGACGAAGCCGGATGAACGATTTTAGGAGATGATGCATCCGAGCTGTACGAGGCATGTTTTTGTCCTGCTGCTACCGAGTAGCTTTTAACATTGTTTACGTTGGTGTTGTTGGTAGTATTAAGTTCACTTTTATGGACTCGAGGGGCTGCGTTCAGCATGCTGCATAGATAAAGTTGCTGATTGTGCAGCATATTGCATATGTCGCTTTTAATTTCGTTGAAGTTAAATTTAAGAATAGAGTCATTATTAGGTTAGAACTAACGTAGGTAGGAAGCTCTGTTGATAAATTTTTTTCGCAGACTAGTCCTAAATAGCGAATGGTTTCGCGTAGTTTGTCCCTTTGGTCTTTCTTTTTAGGACCACGTGGTATATCGAAATTAACATCAATCTTTAGGAGATTGACGTCGTGTTTGATCAGTTTGAGGGCAGGCGAGATTTCTTCCGAGCTGTAGAAGTCGGACGCATTATTAATAAATATATCATTATTCATAAACTCGTAATTATTTGATAAGTAGCATAAAACTTCGTTAAATCGTTAAATTCTGTTTACACGCCATGATGCCGGAAACAATGTGTATGTACTTATGTATGTATGTGTAGACAACAATATTAACATCATTAACGACAACAACAGGAGCATCAACAATAAAACAACACCGAACGAAAACTTATAACAACAACAAAACCTTTTTAAAAAATTTCCATCGTTTGACTGCATGGCAATAAAATAAATGGCAATAAATAGCTGATTGGGATTATTAAAAATTGATGAAATTTTTCACCACTGGTTACAAATGGTTTCGCACTGACCTTGTTCAAATGCAATCTGCGCCATTTATTTTTATTTTTGTCATTGTTTCGTTTGCTTTTTCTTTTTAAAAGAGGTATTTAATACCCAATGCGAGATACGTGGTATAAAATGCCACTTCAAACTTTCGATAACAATAGTTTTGGAATACTGCTACCATTAAGTGTTAGTGTTTAATAAAAAAATTTCATATTATGAACAAAAAGTAATAAATGATGATAGGATGATCAGGAGTAAGAAATTTGGAACCGCTTGATTAGGATGGACGATGGATGGAGATTCTATCGGATGTCCATCAGCCTCCAATACCAATATTTCCAATCTAACAGCTGCCACAAAATGATCCTTTATGTGGCGTGCATTTGCATGGAGTTGAACATTTCAAAGTTGTTGGGGATTGTTTTTGATATTTGTACCAGGAATAAAATACAATGGGAGTTAATTTTTTAGAAAATCATTATTATGCACTACTTATTTGATGGTGCCTTGCAACGCGCATTTGTCAAAGTATTTTTTGAGTGTCTCATTTATTGAAATTAAAAAATATTATTGAAATACTTATAAAAGAAATGTTTGGTGAAAAATTGGTTTTAGAAAATAAATTGCTGAAAAAATAGAAAACTATAACCTTATAGTACTTGCCGGCGATGTTTCTCATTGTTGTTGTTTGGCGATTTGCAGGACGCAGTGGTGATGCTTTAAACAAAACAACACAAACTTCAAAAATTGAGTTTAAACATTTGCACTCGTTCAAATTTTTAAAGTAATTGTTAGGATTATTTTTCCTTTGTCAGAAAAGTTGGATGAACGCACAAATGTAGTCAACCAATTTAATATTTTTTTACTAACTAAACATTGTTTGGCAAAAAATGGTTTTAAAAAAGATTGCTCGCTCAACGATGCTTAAACATTTATTGCTTTGTTCATCCTCCATGTTTTATTGTTATTGCTTTTGCGAAGTTTAAAGGTGCAATCAATAAAATCGCGCCAAACGTTTAATTAAGATTGAAAAACAATTCAAGTTGGTGGACATGCTTAATTGATATGATTTTTTTTCTTGTTTTATTTCAAATTGTTTTCGAATGCATCTTATGCCGTTATTTAGAGTTAATAATGACTGACTCAATTGTTCTTCATTCCATTACTTGCAGAGTTGCATGAAAATACTTGAAAAAATTGCTTCCGGGTCATCTGAACTGAGGCGTAGCATTTGCAGCCATTGAAAGAATTTCTGGATTCGTGAGATAAGCCTTAGAGGTGTAGTAAAATAAAGGACCACATTAGTTAACTGTCGCAATATTGTTCTGAATTTGTAAGAGCCTCATGTGCAATTCATGAAAATAATAAAAAAATTATGCTGCGTGATTATTATTTTGCTTAAAGTGTGATGATGTTTCAACGTATGAAATGAGCCAATACAATTCAATATCAAACATAAACAATGTATGTCGTTATGAGGTCAGTCAGCAACAATTCAACATGTTTTTGGACTCACAACATCCAATAAATGCATCAATTCGATGACGTAAATCGCCGAACTTCCACACGAAACCTCAATTGGACAACCTCATTAGCTACCTTCTTGTTGGTCCTTCCTGTTCATCCTTCATGTTCATCCTTCCTCTTCATCCTACCTGTTCATCCTTCCTGTTCATCCTTCATGTTCATCCTACCTGTTCATTCTTCCTGTTCATCCTTTCTGTTGATCTTTCCTGTTCATTCTTCCCGTTCATCCTTTATGTTCATTCAACCCGTTCATCCAACCTGTTTATCATTCATGTTCTTTCTTCCTGTTTATCCTTCTTATTCATTCTTCATGTTCATCTTTCCTGTTCATGTTTAAATATAGAACATCTAACATCATCATCCTCTAATATTTCATCTCATCCATCCAGCTTTCAATATCTCATCTCATCTCATCTCACGAACGACGGATGTACGATAATTGATTGCTTCATTTATTTTTTATTACTGTAAAGTATATAATATATTTTTAATTATTTTTCAGTTGATTTATTTCCAAAATTTCAAAGTGATTTACTTACTATTCACTTACTTACATTTTAATATTAGTAACACCTAAAATACTTAAAAATATTTTTGATTCAAAAATTTTCCCAGAAAAAATAGCAACCAAACAATTTATTTTTCACAAAAATTTTCTAGCAGACAAAATGTTGCAATAACAAACGATGGTACGTTGAAAACATGGAAGTGTTTCCACATGAGCTGCTTGCGTGAATTGGTTCTTTGTGCGGTATGATTTCTAATAATTCATTTTTTTATTTTTTCAACTGAGACTTTTATTTTTTTTTAAAAACTTTCAGAAGTTTCTCTTACTGAAATTTTGTTATTTAAAAAAACTTCTTTTAAGGTTATATGTTTCGAAAATTTGAGTCTACCGAGCATTGATCGTAATTATTTCAAAAAAGAATTTATAATATTAGTTTTTTTAAATATTTCACAGAAAATCTAAATTTGAAAAAACCAAAATAAGAAAGAAAATGAAACTGCTCACAATAAAATTTTACAAAACTAAAAAAAATGGAAAATGGTAAAATGAAATTTTGTTTGATTTGAAAAGTTAGATCGCTGCCTTCCAGATGCAGTTTTGCGTTTTTTTGTTTTGCCTTCGTGAGAGTTTCAGGTTTGGAGAAATGAAAATATTGCACTCTTTTTAAATGGAAATATTTTATAAATTACTCATCAACGTATTTAATAAAAGTTATACATATATGTGTATATATATAAATATAAATATATATATATATATATATATATATATATATATATATAACTGGCACAAGTAAAATCTTGTAAATTGTTTTGCGATTGAAATTCACGATTCAAAAAAATATTTTTTTTTCATATTTTTTAATTTTTTCAAACAACATATCGAGAGAGGTTTCTTTCCGCATGATTCAAAAGTTCCAGCCAACTCATAAGGAACATTATTGAAATGTTATAAACTGAATACAGACTTTTATATATAAAATTTTTAAGGTGTTGCATGGCGTCATGTGTACTATTGGTCGGTTGGTGTTTGGTTGATAGATTGCATTATGTAATTGGTTGGTTGATTGTTTAGATAATGTGATTAGCGTTTCTTGAAATAATTGGTTGATTGATTACCTGGTGTGACTGACAATAAATGCCTGATGTGATTAATTGATAAGTTGCTTATATGGTTGGTTGGTAGATTGCTTTGCTTGCATGCTGTGATTGGTTGATTGACTAAATGCTGTGATTGATTGATTGATTGAGTTCATGTTGTGATTGGTTGATTGATGAATCCACTGCAAAAAATTACAGGATGATTAGTTTAATGAAATAATTGATCGCAGGTCTGAATGTAAAAGTAGGCAGGGGTTCACTGGACCTCATAACAGAATTGAAAAATAAAAATAATAGCGAGTTGGTAACTTTAATTTTTTTTTATCCCTGATTATTATTCCCTGCTTCCTTATTAGCTCAAACAAATAGCACTCTTGCTACAATCGTTAATGGGATAATTAAATTTAATGAATTTTACATGACTTTAACAAATTGCTAATTTTTTTTTAAATAATTTTTTTTGTTAGCAATTATTATTGACAATTTTTCGCAAAAAATTTTGGTTCCTCTGAAATTAATTAGGAGCCTGAAAATCTGATTGGCTTTAAAAGATAATAAATTGATTTGTTTTATAAAAGGCTCGATTGAAAGGTTTCCTAAAACGATTGGTTGACGAGTTCTATAAAATGATTGATGGATTGTTTCTATAAAATAATTGATGGATTGTTTTTATTGAATGATTGGTTGATTGGTTCTATAAAATGATTGGTTGATGAGTTTTATAAAATGATTGGTTCTATAAAATGATTAGTGGATTTTTTTTTATTAAATGATTGGTTGATTGGTTCTATAAAATGACTGGATCATGAGTTTTATAAAATGATTGGTTCTATAAAATGATTAGTGGATTTTTTTTATTAAATGATTGGTTGGTCGGTTCTACAAAATGATTGGTTGATAGGTTTCATAAAACGATTGGTTGACGAGTTCTATAAAATGATTGATGGATTGTTTCTATAAAATGATTGATGGATTGTTTTTATTAAATGATTGGTTGATTAATTCTATAAAATGATTGGTTCTAAAAAATGATTGGTTGATTGTTTCTATAAAATGATTGGTTGATTGGTTCGATAAAATGTTTGATGGACTAATAACATGAAACTAATCTATGCTATAAAGCGCTGGTAACTTGTTTTTTGTATTTTCAAGTGCCTCTACAACAATCAATTTAAGGGGCTACATTCAAAATCATTATTGTTGGACATTCATTCAATTTCAAATGAAAAATTGCTCCAATCTAATTTATTAAACTTCTCAAAAACGAAAATTTGTTTAATATCATCAAAATAAAAATAACTATCTTTTTAATGCATTCAAGCACAGACATGCAATTAATCACCCAACGAGAAAATAAAATTTCCAGTAAAATAAGAAAAAAAATTATTTTGATTCACACACACATACACACACACATACACTCACACACACACCACATACATACACACACAAACATGAAACGGTTCATCCATTTTATTTTCTTGTCCTCTCATTTGATACCTTCCAACCCAGCCACTCATCGTCATTATATTTTGTCATTATCATTCATTCTTGTTTGTGTCATCATCACCTTTATTTTGTCACTACTATATTCATTCGTTATCATCATCTTCATTCGTCACCATCATCATCGTTAGTCGTCATCATCTATTTCAAATAATTCCAACAACCGGTTAACGAGCAGGCCAAAAAGAAAGGATTTTCATCCCACTGTCCATCAATGCCAAAAAGTTTTTTCATGTTTTCTTAGAAATCCATCAATTGATATTCCCTATGAGTATCGAGCAGGATTTGTTCAGAGAGGCCTTCAGAAACTTCGTCGACGCTCATTAATTCAAGCACCCTTGCCGAAGCAGCTCTCAGCAAATATATGTACGAGGATATTTTATCGTTATTTAAGCAAAAATACAAAC